GTTTCCCCTCAGTCGAACTTCTTGGCTTCTATGTCGACGCGCTTGGCCTGTCTACCACGAAGGAACGCACTGAGGCCTTTCGGAAGATGACCTTCCCTAGAAACCTCAAGGACCTCGAAACCTACCTTGGCGCAACCGGTTTCCTACGAACGATGATCCCGTACTACGCGCAGCTCGTGGAACCGCTTCAACTGCGAAAGACAGCGCTGCTGGCTGAAGGCCGTAAGCTTGGAAAAATCACACCTGGGAAGAAGTCGCAGCGTCAAGCTTATACACGTCGCACATACTACGAGCCAACAGACGCTGAAAAGATAGCTTTCGAGGACCTACAGAACACTATCTGCAGAAAGATGCGCTTGTACCATATGGAACCATTGCAGAAGCTGTTTATCCAAGTAGATGGATGCTTGCAACGAGGATTTGGCGTAATGATCTTTCAGTTGAAGGAAGACTATATCTGGCAACCTGGCAAGCCGATCCCCTCGCACGCTATCAAACCAGTAATGTTCCTCAGCCGCTGCTTGACGAAAGCTGAAATGAACTACGGTCCCTCTGAGCAAGAGGTTGCGTGTCTGATCTGAGCAACGAAACGCCTGCGCAAGCTGATTCAATCAAACCAAGCGCAGCCTGTAGTTGTCCTCACAGATCACGACGCCACGCGTAGCATCGTTACCCAAACGCGCCTTGACACCTCGTCTACAGACCGTGCTAACCGACGTCTTGTCAACGCCTCCATCTACCTCAGCCAGTACCAGTTCGACATTCACCACCTGGCTGGGAAGCTCAACTATGTCCCTGATGCCTTGTCAAGGCTGTCTGCAACAGGAGATGCGGAGGCGCGATGGAGCGACGAACCAGCCACTCTCGACACAGTAGTTGATGATCTACCCACAGTCTTCCTTGTCTTGTCGGAAGCACAAATATCTGAGGATATGCGACAGCGCTTCTGGCGAGGATACAAGGAGGATACAGTCTATAGGAACATCATCACAGACCTGACAAAGGTCGGTTCAGCCGGAAAGAAGCCTCCTACCTTGGTAAACAATGAGAACATTGTCTCTGCTTCTAAGCCCGGCCACCCATTCCGCCTGAAGGACCAACTGTTGTACAACTACGACAATGATGGAAAAGAACGCCTTGTCGTTCCACGACCTCTGGTGCAGGAACTTCTACGCGACGCACACGACGATAAGCACTACTTTGGCAGAGACCGCATGATGGCTGAGTTGGATGGTCTTCACTTCAGGAAGAAGCGACTGCTTGTCTCACAGTATGTCGATCACTGCCACGAGTGTGGCGCTCAGAAGAAGCAAAACCAGAAGCCAGCAGGTTTACTCCAACCGATTCAGGCCCCCTCTGAACCTATGCATACGATCTCCCTCGACTTCATCCTTGGATTGCCCTCAGTCGAATCAACAGGCACCCCGTGGCAGGTAAAAGGCTCCAAAGCCTACAACTCGCTGATGCCCGTCACTTGCAAGACCTCCAAGAGGACTCTACTGATTCCAGGCCACTCAACCTACTCAGCCAAGCAATGGGGAGCTGTCCTGGGCAGACAGCTGCTGTTGAGCGACTGGGCATGCCCTCGAGCGATTATCTCTGACCGCGACGCCAAGTTCACCTCAGACTACTGGACGGGCCTATGGAAGGCCTTTGGCACGCGTCTACAGATGACTACAGCACACCACCCTCAGGCTGATGGAGCAGCTGAACGAAAGAATCAGGATGTCGAGCTGGCTATCAGATACCACGCTGCTGAACACCCTGACGAGGTTTGGATAGACCTAATTCCCTCTTTGCAGTGGAATCTGAACAACTCACACCAACGCTCCATTGACGCGAGCCCTCACGAGTTTCTGTTCGGATTCAAGATCCAGTCACCGTCCGACCGATTAGTCAACATCACCAAACAACTGTCCGAGATACGCTTTATGCGTGAACACCTGCGAAAAGACGCGCAACTGGCTATGGATATCGTCGCAGCAGACAACAAACGCACGTACGATGCCAAACACCGACACGAAGAATACGAGAAGAGCGACAAAGTCTGGCTAAAACTTGGCAAGGCATACAAGCCACTGCTGCGCCAGGCCAACAAGACACAGGCTCTTCGCGAAGGCCCTTTTACGATCATCAGAAAAGTGTCACCTTTGGCTTATGAACTTGACTTCAAAACTGGTGACCGTGATGCTGACGTTCAAGTACACCCAGTGGTCAGCATTCAGTACCTGAGTCGGTACAAGCCTACCGACGACCCCTTCAACCGCCAGCTACCTGAGCCTGGCCCGATCGAGCACAACGAAGACAGCGATGACTCAATTGGACCTGATGAGGACTACTACGAAGTCGATTGCATCGTAGACAAGAAGATCGAGCGACGAGGTGGCAAGAATACAGTGCGATATCTGGTGCGATGGAAGGGATGGTCCTCGCGGCACGATCGCTGGAAGGATTTGAGAAGCCTTAAGTGCCCTGGCCTCATCGAGGAATACGAACGCGCACACCCCGACAAGGCTACAGAAATCCTCGTGAAAGACAGCCCAGCTGACCCCGTGAAGAGAAAGCGCGGCCGGCCTTCCAAGAAACTGTTGCCTGACGGCAATGAGGATGGAGAAGCCGTGCCAGCACGGAGGAAGCGAGGTCGGCCTGCCAAGGGCACAGCCTCCCCGGCTGTCAACATTGACGCGTCTGACAACGCGTCTGGAGGCCTCCCTGAGCCTGAAAAGGATGGAAAACAGGGCCCTGAGACCTCTCCTGGCCTCCGAAGAAGCGCGAGACTGACACGTGGACACGTGACCCCTAGATAGCTGCTGAGGACAGCAGGAACGTTTTTCCGTGGCCGGCACTTGTGGCAGTGGCCATAGGGGCCTTAGGTGAATGAGGCCTGGGTGGCCACCCTGACTCACTGGCCTGGGCCATTCAATGGAAAGGCAGTGAGTCGCCAGGTACGCTAGCTCAGTTGGGACTAGTGCTAATTGCCTTCTATATAGAAGGCAATTGGCAAGCGTGCCTTGAGATAGATTAATTGAAGAATCATCTTCCCTTCTACCATTTGTACAGCCCCTAGAGTGCCTTCTACAAAGGAGTAGATCCTCTGAAAGCTTTTCTTCGTTGCCTTAGCTCTCCTTATCTTCCATTGTTATGATAGCTAGAGTAGTAGTCTGTAGAACATGGAGTGCAGTAGATCAAGAGTTCTCATACATATAAAGAATACTACCTACTTTTCAAATTCTTTAGCAAGAGGCAATAATCAAGCATGCTTTTCTCTTCTTTTCGATTTTGAGCCCCTTGGACAGATCTAAGACAGGTTTTTCACCCTGTTCTTATGCTCGTATGGCCTTAGTTTGCTATCCTTATCTGTACAGGCATGCTTGGGTTGCACGAGCTCTTGCTCATTGCTTCGGTAGCTGTTCGTTTCTTTTCTCGGAGGGCGACAGCGCCCTAGTTCTGGTTCAATAGCAAGCATCACATCTTTCAGTCAAGGATTGTTCATAAGCTAAAGAAAAGTTGAAGGACTATATGCAAATAGCAGTCTAGTCATGATGGGCTATAATAACAAGGACCCGGGGTATATTAACGTGCGCTCCGCAAGAGAGCAGGAAAGTAGCGACCTCCAAGTCATTGCGATGAACTGCCCGTTAGACCGCGATCATCTTGGTTGTATTTACTTTTGCGCCATAGCTTAAGAGCACCGGGTTTCTAAAAAGTACTTCATAGTAGCGATCTTGATAAAAGGTTGAAGAGGAAATGAGTCACTAGCTTAATAGGCTGTGAGTTGCTCCTGGCGAATGTGGGCTAACCCTGTTTAATGTGCGTCAATGGCTACCATGGCTTAGCTTCATACCGGAAAAGAGAGCAACGACCTTCGTTTTGTGAACCATCGTTGCAAGAACCCAAATGCAATAGTAATACGCGGTATAGCGATCTCTGGGAAGCATCAGAAGGTGCTGGTTGCTAGGAAGGATATAGATCAAGGGGAGGAGATTACTGTCAATTTTGGTGGACAGTTCTTGAGCTAAAACCTCGGATTAGGCGTGTCTCACTCTTCTTGTTCACTTCAAGAAAGAATGACATCGTCCTCGACCCGTACCCTAGCTCAATGCAGTATAGTGCAGAGAAACTAGCATTCGTGAGTTTCGGCTGCAGCCGCTCTGCCCCCCCTCCTCCTAACCACGGTGGGCGATGGCGCTGCCCAATTTTCATGTCAGAGCTACTGCAATACAAGTCATTCCGGCTTCCTTCGATTCATTTCAAGGGCAAAACTGGGTTAACTCAGCGGTCTCTCTCCTACATGCGACAGGACTCGGGCATAAGGTCTAATGCCAATTGGTTTTCGGACAGAGCAAAACTACTAGGGCCCTGCCACGTATACGGAGTGGCTGTCAAGTAAGGAGCATAAATATAAATGATTTTGTATGTTTCAGCCAATATTGGGCTCTTTAGCGATCCTCAAAGCCACGAGCCTGCCTTGGGCAAGGATTGGGAGTTTATATTAATACTTAGTAGGCTGGTTCGACTAATCAAATAATCTGCAATCTGCTGCAGAGGCTATCAGCATTCAGACTGAGACCAATATTATACAAGATGAACGGACACCTGGGCTCGAGCTGGTGACACATCCTGATGAAACCAGCAGCGAAGTCGAAGCCGATGTTGTGAACAGGCCGCTCAGGCGGACTGGCTGTACACAAGGTGTGCAGAACTTGCAGCTGGCTAGCCGCATACAATCAATCATGCATCAGCATCGAGTCCCGCACAGTCTTAGGCGCAACTCTTGTACTTGGCTTTCTCAATATGTTTACTACAGTTCATGTTTGGTAATTTCAGTCTTTCTTCTAGTTACATAAGGGAACTTGACCGGAGTGTTTTTTTCCATCACAAGCGCTGGAGCAGCATCAGAAGAAGAAGAAGAAGTTCATATTAATAGTGAAATCCTACAGCATTATTGAAAACTACTTCTCAGTTTCCGATATATATGCTGACAGAAAGTTGCTATCATATTAAGAACTCCTCGCTATCGTAAGTTTCTTCCTAATGCCTCCTGGTCCGTGAGCCTGGAGTTTGCGGTTGTCGGATCTGAGTGTCGTGTTGTCGGACTTGAGTGTCGAGTTGTCGGACCAGAGTCTTGTGTTTTCGCGGCATAAGATATCAATATGGCTCCGCAGCCTATCAATCGCACTCTGGAACCCTGTGATCTGGGATTGAAACTCCGTATTGTCCGATTCAGATTTCTCGGCAATGCCCTTCTAATACGTTGCTTCCGCCCCAGCTTCTCGGCTGACCACTACCTGCATTTCGAGCATCATCTGCATACCTTTGCAGAATTCCTCATGCCGTCTTTGCAGAGTATCTGCCTGTGCTCGTTTCGACTGAGCCCACCGTATTGCATTGTCGGATGCTGCTTTGTAGGTAGCTTGAGCCTGGTCGATGCTTTCTTCAGCGTTTGCGTTGGTCAGCTCCAGAGCTTCAGCCCTCGCCAGTGCCTCAATGACCTCTCTTCCGGGAGACATGATGAGGTTGCAAGATATTGACGGTCTGAGCTCAGTGAGGCATAAAGGGCATCTGCCATTGCCATCGTCTTGCCACTTCTCCCAGCAATGCGCATGATACACATGTCCTAAGAATATGTCAGAATGATTGTATCAAGAAGTGATCAGCAAACTGGTATAACTTGCTACAAGATACAGTGGTAAGCATGCTGCCATTTGAGTATGGTTCCAAGCATATGCTACAATCTGCCTGTGTGGTCTGATTGTGTAGCGAGGGCGTACTGGAGAGTCCATGATGGTGGTATTATATGAGACTGGCTTTCGGACAAGAGTATGATCAGACAAGAAGGTATAAGGAAAAGTGCAAGAGTCAGAAGAGACATGGACACAGTTGATGCTGCATTGCGTCTATATATACCCGAGATACATGCAGGATGAGCTGGGATGTGCTATGCTAAAAATAAGAATAGTTAATTAGTTAAATATTTTCGTTAACAGGTTAACTAAAACTAACTACTCATTAACTACGATTAGTTTAACTATATGTCGTTAATTGATCTCTTCACTAAAACTAACCTCAAAAGTAGTCTAGTTAATTTGTAGTTATCTGCTGGTCAATTTTTTGGACATGTCTTTTTAAAACGAGGCGTATTCATGACGATTGTGAGAGGGAGGCTATGTGCGGAATGTAAACTTCGGATGGCGTATAATGACAGGATATCGGATCTCATCCCAGTCTCCCTTGGTGAGATAGATAGCATTGGATTCATTATATTCCCCATATTATACAAGCAGCTCGGCATTATCAGATTCATTCATAACTCGCAAGATACGTTTCCTATCCCTATATATAACAAAATCGGTACTAAGACATTTTTTGCTAACGCCATGTCGGTCGTTAACACTACGCATTCCACCTTGAACGAGTGCAGGGGAGGAATATAGTCATACTCGGATTCCGGTGTCTCATTCTTACGATCTCTCACGAGCTGACCTAGCTGGGCTGTCGTATATATGCCTGATCTGATGGTTGAGATCCTCGTGAGACATGGTTCGATCGCAGGCGTGCTTGTCGATTTGATGAAGATAGTAGACGCTTCCCGATGCATCTGATCGCTGTTGTGAATGAGCTCTGGAAGAACGGTGTGGGTGTCTAGAGGGAAAAGCGTCCGTCGGTGGCCAACCTCCCAGACCACAGCCAATTATGACGCATCCCGCAATATGGCACGAAACTGGTAGTTCCAAAAGCTACACTTCCTGGAGTCTATCTAGCAGGTGATAATGTGTGCATTGCTACCTTGGCCATTCCATCAAGTAGCGGCGAGTCGCTGGATGTTATACGGAATAAGCGGGAGCAGACGCTAGCTAGGTTGGCAGATCTAACATGATGGAATATGGCTGTAATGAGTACTGAAGTAATCTGAAGATTCTTTAGGTGCTTTAAAGGTTTATTATATTAACAAGAGCAGTGCTTACTATCTTTTGGAGCTACTGAAATTGCAAGGGTTTTAATATTTAACTACTAATGATATATCTATCTAGGTATAATAATAGTCTCTGTCGAACTCCCTTAGTTTTACCTGATAATAGGGTGAATTATCCTTGTTACTATTGTCATCCTATCAATGGTATCAATACGTAGCTGTAAACCTCCCTTGGCTCTTTTCCTCTTTCTGTGAGACATCTATCCAGTTGTCATTCCTGAGTGTTATAAATATTGTGGGGTAAATTGTTAGCTGTCAGGTAACTGACCGTCTCACTGGCGGCCTTGATATTCTCCTACTCCGGGTTCTAAAGGCATCAGGTTCAGATTATAATTGCAGTTAGGTCAACTGGCGCTGAGCTTGTGCTCAGCCCCGGGTCTGCTTATCTGTGGGCAATATTAGTTGAGGGGGCTGAGTAGCTTCTCTTTGTTACAGGAGCTTCATTCCTTGATGCTCCGGTCTTTGTTGAGTGCAGTCTAGTATCGTGACATCCAAGTTCACAATGACAGGCTTGGATTTCGAAGTTTTCAACGCCTGGGGCTGTATATTTGAACTCTTGAGCGTGGGTTTCGATACTCTGATCTTGTCTCGGACTGTAGAAATGTCTGATTGCCCTGACCAGCGCTGATAAGAGGAGACTCTTGGTATAGCTCTCAATGCGGGCGGCACTCTGGTCGTCAGTCTCCCTGACAAAGGGAAGAGGGCCATGAATCCACCATGAGCTGTTGTTGCTCGATCCACCCCGGGAGGATCTCGTGCGACCGCAGAGTTCGTTCCGCAAATTCGAGGCGTCCCTGAATAGATTTTCCGCTGCGTGCTGAGTGTCCAGAACCTTCCAAGTCCGTAGCACCAGCTTGTTTCTGGGAATCGCGCAACTTTTCCAGTCTGTCTCGCTTCTTCCGGAACTGCCCATAGCAGGCAAGATGGTAGTCCTGAAACTCGATCCAAGTCTGCTGCTGGCTCTGCTGCTGCGGGTCCAACAGCAACTGGACATGGCTACCGAGTCCGTTCCTCCGCTGACGTTCGCAAACACTAGCCACAAACATGCCGAACGAATTGTGTTGAAACCGGTTCCGGAAACTTTGTTGAAACGCTCGAGACTTCCGCCAATCTTCTCTTTGAGCACAAAGTACCACATCGCCTGTCGATGAGAATGATTGCCAGTACTCTATTATCGGTCGGTATCTATTGGGTTTCGTACGGGGATGTTGAGTTCTGGTGGGTAACAGGCAGGACAGCCATCGCCTTCAAGCTCTTCTCGCGCATGAGCCTCGAGCAGGCGAGATTCTTGGTCGTCTTCATCCTCGTCTGGAGACGATGTTATTGTCCTGCACTATCACAGCATTAGTATAAGGGGGATATATATGAAAAGAAGGAACAGACGAACAATAATCTCGAGCAGAGAGCTTTAGCATCAAGAGCATTTGTTGTTAGTTGCCGCCTGAGGCTACTGCAGTATCAGCCTGACTCCAGAACTGCCCTCAGCTTGTTCAATCCCCTTACTCTGCTATCCGGAGAGCTGCATATTGTTCGGACCCAGAAGATGTCTCGATGCCTGGAATCTTGATGGATTCGGGGGCTATTACGCCGCCTTACAAACCTGAAGTTGTCATACCTAGAGGCTTCGACGGTATCAACGGGTGATTCAGTTGGAATGTCCATTGTACACACAAGGTAGAAGTAATTTGCTGTGCAATACAAGGGACAAGAAGGGCATGCAGACTGTGTGTGTCCGCTGGCCAGCCCTCGAGTTGCTTTTTCCAACACACCACCCCCCCCCCTTTTCTTTTCTGTAAGCCACAGGTCCTCCGCCTCCCCATCCCCCCCCCTCCTCCCACCTCTCCTTCTCTCCTCTCCCCCCTGTCACACAGGCACTCATCATCATCCCCATCGGTGACATCAAGAAGAAGAAGGAGCAGCACAGCCGGCGATGTCTGCTGGCAGGTCCGGCAGCCTGACTGACAGCGGGATCGACACATTCAAGGCTCTCCCGCAGCGCTACATCGACGAGCCCGAGTAACCTCCAGTGCTCCTTGGCGCTGTTTAGCGTCACGCCGCCCGTCCGCCTCACGCCCTTCTACATGCCCGCCTCCGTGGCCCCCATCCCTATGGCGCCCCCCCTCCCGCTCTCCCTCCCGCTCTCCCCCAGGTCGTGTCATCCCTCTGGGCGATGGGCGGGTCCCAGAGGCGGTTCGCAAGGGGCTGCGGGGCCAGGAACTCATCTGGTAGGTCCAGCTGGGCGGCGAAGGAGGCGGCGTCGCCATGAGTGTCGCGCGTGTCATCCCTGCTGTCCTCGGCGCGGCGGCCGTAGGGCCATCTCGAGGGGTGGGTGTGTGTGTGTGTGTGTATGCTGACCACTACTGGCCGCCAGCTGCTGTGGTGGCGTGCGGTGGTGGTGGTTGGTAAGAAAGTAGAAAGGTGCAGGGCAGAGGGACTTTATAATTATTTGTTTTTGTGCGTGCTGTCTGTCCTCAGGCATGCATCTCTCCTTCCCTCCCTCCTGCGCTGCTGCAGAAGCAAGTACCATAAGCAGTGCCTGCCGGTGCCAGGAGAGCTGAGCTGCAGATGCCCAGCCCTAGTGACACAGGTCCACGGGCCGCCGACACATCTCAGATCAGGTGCCACTGTGGGGGAGAGACGAGGGCTGTCCATGGGCGGTGGTGCACCCGTACATATTCCATATCACAAACGGCCTCATGGCCTGGGCTGACAGTGCATAGCCCCGTTACACGACAAGACACCACATGGCCACACAAGACAGCAGTGGCACGTACTACAAGAGCCCATACGCCCTGGGCTGGAACCGCTACACGCCAAACGAGGGCACATACGAGAGACAATACCAGCCACGCCAGGCTGTTTTGGTTCGGCATTTTGACCTCAAGAGCCCAGCGATACAAACTTGTGCAGGGGGGTCATCATGAAGAGGGGGTTGAATGGACAAAAGGTGCTAAGACCTGCAACAATGCTGCTATTGGAACAATCCCTCATAAAGAAAAGATGGGATCTGCAACAATATATGCTGATGGAGACAACAGGTCCTCTTTGGTAGTCACACCTCGACATCTACCTACACCTTGTCCACCTACATCGGCATGTTCCTAAACTATCAGGATATCCATTCCACAAGACCTCCCTCTTGTTCATCTATGTCAGCTTGTTCCATGGCCTGTCAGGATATCAGGATGATTATTCCTACAAGATAAGCTCCTACTGACTTTGCTCTCTTCTCCCTATAGTCCTCGACACCCTGCAGCAACATGTTACAGACTATCCCCAAGGCCCTTGACAAGGAACTTCAGCAGCAGCATATGCCTACATAAACCGAAGAGCATAGCCAGGACAAATACTTATATCCTGCTCATGTGCTGGCCTCTTTCGTTTACACCTGCCCACACCTGCCCACGCCAACCCACACCAGCGCTGGTGCTCCTATACTACCTAGCCACCCGCGTATCATGCGGCCCGAGGGCTGACAGCTCCCGCAGGAGCTTGTACAGCTATGCCCGCTCGCTGGCCTCGGGCCCCCCGAGGCACTAATCCGTCGCTGGGTGCGTGTCGCGGCGCGCGTGGCATACCACGGTGAACAGCCAGGTCAGCAATCAAGCATGGCTGCTTGCGCTTCAACAAGGTTGGTACTCTCCTGTCGGAGGATCTGCGGCTCAGGGCTGACGCCATCAACATTGACCAGAATCTGTGGCCGCCGCTGGTGGTGGCGATGGTTGTGGTGGCGGAAGGTGCGGCGGCAAGGGACGACACCACCCACCCCCTTCGGATCTCCTCTGGGTCCTTTCTCCCCAGGCCACAAGGACAGCTTCGTGCTTGGCGAACCAGCCTTCATGGCCAGGGCGAGCCCGTGGCCCATGATACAGAAGTGACCATGGGTCACGGGCAGGTTAGCATCAGGTGCCATGGATCGTCCCGGCTCTCACCGCCCTGGTAACATTCAAGGCCCGCCCTGGCAACATCCAAGGCCCGCACCGGGCCTGTGATGCTCTTCACGCCATGTCTCAGTAAGCACGGCTGCACCCACCCCGAACACTGCACTGGCCTCTTTTGTTGACCCCTCTGGCCGCACGCAGTATCTACCAGGCTCGCCTCCCAGCCCAAGCCCGGCCCCAGAACGCCTCGAGGACCTTCGCCGGACCAGACAGGACCGCAGACGCGCGGGATGCTGACGAACTTGCAGAGAGCCTGCCAGCTGCCTACTCGGCTAGCCACTTGGTGTCAGGGACGCTGCGTGTTCTCCTGGCTAGAGAGGCCATCTCGGCCAGCCTGGAAGACAGGCAGTGCAGGAAGGCAGGCAGTGCAAGAACTCGTTGAGGCGGGCGGCCAGGGTGGTCACCTGATGCCAGGGCACGAGGCCGGGCGTGTAAGTTACTGCTAACCCATCCCATGGAAGAAAACAACTCGATAAGGATTACCTATCCTCCATCTCTTAGAGAACAAGGCTGACGATGCGTTGAGGCAGGACCCTACCATGACAGGACGATGTGCCCTGACATGGGCCGATATGTTCCAGCGCGCCGAGGACTGGCTAGACGACCATCTCTCTATCTTCTTGGTATGTTCTTGTGCCCTTCTCTGGCCTTTCCTACGCAGCTCTTGCATCTTTATAGGTCGTCTCCAGATCCGCCCAGATTGGGCTGTCAATACGTTTTTTTCTTTTTTCTCTTCTCTTCTCAACCAGCAGCTTGGTTTTCTAATCACTGACTTGGATCTATATGCACTACCACCGCCAGCGTGCAGAGCTGCAGGGCAGTCGACTGCTGGGAGCGGCGGCCGCGGCCCCCCAGGACCAGCGCTCGGGGCCTGCTTGGCCTCCTCACCCTGATTTTTCAAAATGGTCCTCATAGCTTCATCGGGATCACTGACAACCGATCGTCCATACTTGGGAAACTTGAATCTTCGACGAGCCCTAGTGCTATCTATTGATAATGGCTTGGAGCCGATGACATAAAACTTCCGGTATTGGTCACTGCATGCTATAGACCACCACCCAAACTAGTTGACGAGGCTTTGCTTATTATATGGGTTGATCGACCTGTCCGCGTAGAGCACCGGGGTCTCCTGAGCAAGGGTCGCCAATCTCTAGCTCTTGCAACAACTATTTGTCGACGTACAGCCACGTCTTCTGCCCGGCCTTCAAATCTTGGTCAGTCAAGGCGGCAGCGCTCTTCTGGATTGCCATATCCCATACTGACATGGTGTTCCATCGCTTGAGCATGTATCCCAGATGAGCACGCTCGCTAAACAGATCGCGGAGGTAGTTATCGATGTTGTAGGCAGTGACTAATCTGGTGAACGAGTGTTTGGCCTGGGTCTCAAAGAACAGCATTCGAGAAGAGGAGAAGATCGCCCGGATCTGTGTGTTGTGATAGGCATCTTTGTTGATTCTGATGATAGAAGGAATAAATTGATTGTTGAAGGAAGAGGAAAAAGAAATCTAAAATTAGAAAAATTATAATAATCAAATCGATTTTAATAGAATGCATGGGAGCTAATGGAAATGCCCTTTCCTCAACAATCCTGGGTCGTGCAGCCTTTGCCTATTGATCATCACAAAGCTGATCTCCCCAGAGGCACCTGCAAGGTCAACTCCCTAGGGATAGGGAGCAAGAGCTAATACTCTTTCCTCCACACATGGAAGATATTGTAGAAGAAATAATCTTCATATGAATTCGAATGATTCTCGAGATGGACTAGATCAAAAAGTTACAAAGCACACTTGGAGCACTGCAGGACAGCTGGTTCCGTCCCGCTCGGCTACGTACCTCGCCCTGTCTTCTCTCGTGGCGGCGTGGCTGGGCGGGCCGGTCATCACAAACCTGCTTTTGTCTGCCTTTGAGACCGAGCCTGGGCGGGCGGGCGGAATCCTGAGAATATTCTCGGGGGGTATTTCTCCTCCTCCTGACCTCTTTTTGACGAGAGCCTACATATTACTGAACAAGACGGACTGCGAGGAAGCGCTGCGGGGAAACAGGTGCCAGGACTTCAACATGCAGATAACCTGTTACGAGGAAACGCACCCGTTCTCCAGCACGTTATCTCGGCGAGACGATGCCCAAGTCCCTGGAGAGTATATTTGTGCTTCAGCACTCTCTGGCAGGTATGCCCGATCCTGATGACTGCGGAGATGGCCCAGGAATTATCAGCAGGGCTTATCCACCCCTGGGCACGCCCCACTGGCTGCTGCCACTGTCAGCCACCACCGTCCACAGCTGAGCGCAGAGGTGCATGCTGCAGGCCCGCCCACTGCTGCCCATCTCCTCCAGCAACAGCTCTCCCTGCCACCTCGTACCAGCAGCCCTGTGATGGTCTGTGGCAGGACAACATCACAGCTCTCCTCCTCATCTCGTCCACAGATGCGCCCGACCCGCCTCTCATTGGTAGTTGACTGGCTGGCCTTTTGTCCTCTCTCCCAATGCCATATGCCTGCCACTGTGCTTCCTTCTTCTCCCTTTCTTTGTGGCATTCCACTCCGCAGTAATCAGCCTCCACTGTCAGGACTTCAGGACTGATAGAGCCAAGTTTGTATGATGCAGGTTATGCAGTCTCTTACACTGGGCCTCACCCCTTGGCTCCTGGTGGGTATTCTTCGGCCACCAGCCTGCCCACACGAGGAGGAGGAGGAGGAGGAGGAGGAGGAGGAGGAGGAGGAGGAGGAGGAGAACGAAAGTGCAGGCCTGCTGTTTCCTGCTGTGCACTCCTACAGGACAATCCCACCGGGCCAGCAGGTCGACGCCTGCCTTTGCTCGGCTGCTGGCTGCAGTTCCCAGACGCAGCAGCCAATTATCAGACTCCTTGTTTGGCTGGTCAGCTCAAAACTCCTCTTGGGTGATGTCCACGCGAGAGCTGCATAATTTGCCAGGGCCGGCTGGAAGTGAACAAAGACAATGCATCTCCCAGGCGTCGGCGAGGCCCGAACAAAAGGGACCTCTTGCCCACATGAATAAAGACACGGCTCATATCCCCTGACCTCTGCGGGGCCAAAACAAAGCAGCCCTTAACCCACACAAACAAAGGCTTCTTTTTCGGCCGGTTTCCTCTAGGCTTTAAAATGTCTCTCGTCGCTAGTCCCCATCCCATTTCTCAAAGTCGACATCCAACCCGCCCTAGACCCAGTCCTGCAGCCCCCTTAACTGGAGACCTGACCTGAGCCGTCCCGGACCACGCTGACATCTTCTACATAGACCTCCTCCTCCTCCTCCTCCTCCTCCTCCTCTTTTTCGTCATGACAGGCCGAGTTGCTAAGACGCGGCAGACTCGACAGACCCGGCAGACCCGGCAAACCCGGCAAACCCGTCGCTCTCGGAACCCCCCCACGCTCTCCTCAGAACAGCTACTAAGCACTATTACTGTCGCGGGCCAGAGCGAAGGTATGTTAGCAGCGTGCCCTTGTTTCCGTGAGGTGTAGAGTCCGTGCTGACGCCTCCAAGATCCTGCGCAGAAGTTCCCGGACACACGAGCACCCAGGGCTGAGGACGACGAGGCAGGAGAGGCAGCCAAGGTATGCACGAAACGATCCCTTTTCTTCTTTCTGCAAGACACTAGCTGACGGGGTTGTGACTCAAGCAGGCAGCTCGCACACCTCCCAAGCCTCCGAACCCGCCCTCCCTCGCGCCCAAGGCTGCGGACCCACCAGCGCAGGCCGCTGGAGCCACGTGTCTGTGCAGGCGGGCGCCGCTGACGCGCAAGAACCTCGCCCTGCTCGACAGGACGACTGGGGAGAAGGGTGCCGGTGCATCGGGCCTCCCTGATGCCACGACCAGCAACACAAGCTCGATCTCGAGCACAGCGCCCGGCTTTGCTGCTCAGGCTCGAAAGAATGGCATCTTCCTCTACCCGGACTCCAGACCTCCTGCGAACCTCGACGAACTCCGCCAACAGTATGCTGCATCCCGCATTTCAGCCTCGCCCACTAAATCAACCTTCGAGAAATATAGTTACAAGGTTGAGAAAGTTCACAACGAGGCTGGCATAACTGCTGCGAGCCAACTTCTGCTGAAGGAAGATTATTCAAAAGGTTATATCGATGAGCGTAATCGGCCATTCACAGGCTATCCACCAGATCTTGGGTTTAATAACAGCCTGTCTGCGCCGCAGCCTGATTACATCCAGGGTCTTGAACGAAGTGCATTCATGCCATTCCCGGTTGATGAGCAGCTCAACGGAGCTATTCTTTACAAGAACGACCATAATCCCATAACTCTGCCACATCTAGCTGGCGAGTGGAAAGGCCCTGGGAAAGCGATAAGAGCCACGCGGCAGAGCGGTTATGATGGAGCCTGTCTTGTCTATGCGAGGAACCAAGCTCTCTTGTATCTCGGAACGCCTGATCCTCCCGGGCATGCACAGGTTACAACTTTTACCTCGGACGGCACAGACCTCCGCCTGTTTGCGCACTATGCCAGGACATCCTCTGTAGATGGCACGACTGAGTACCACCAGTACCCCATCAGCTCAACAATGCTCATAGGCACCCACCAGGACTTCAGCAGGGGCCGAAGGGCGCTGCGGAACGCACAGGACCACGCCATGGAGCAGTCTCACCAGCTGAGGGACCAGCTGAGGGACCACTGGCGGGAGCAGCAGCGCCGGCCGGCCGCCGAGGCCGAGGGTGGAGACGAGACTGTGTGACGGTCACGAGGCTGAGGACAGAGGCGATAAGACCCAGCGCCGGTCCCGGGGCTGTGGGGACTGCTGCTGCTGCTGCATGAGTCAGGTGATGGCTGTTGGGGAATTTCCTTTGTAGGGTCCGGCGCATATAGAATGTACCATATACTGCTTTTTTCTTTGTATTGTCAGATGCATATAGAATATACATCAACTACCCCGCTGAACAGAACAGATGCCCCTGCGCCGGAGAGATGAGAGAGGTGAGAGAAGCCGGCCGCGAGGGAAGATGGAATCTGTGAGGGAGGACGAGGCTGAACAGGACAAGGAGTCGGCGTGATGGCGACGAGATCAGGCCGGGCCGGCATCATAGTCGTCTCCAGCTGCAGTCCGAAAGAGACGCCGGCCTCCCGCGCCGCCTCTCGACACGCCGGCACGTCTTGGTCTCGCCGCGGCGGGTGGGCGAGAGGTCGAGAGCAGCTCCAACGAGCGCCTGAAAACGTGAAGGCCGAGATTATACTTGCTAATGACGCTTGGAACGGGTTACTCAAGTCCATAGATAATCCTATCGCATCGCTGCATCCCCTCAAGACGGTATTGCAGCTAACATTGATAAAGAATACTTCAACGAATCTCTCAGCTCCAAAGATACGTACAGATCTTCTCGCTTTTATTCACGAAGAATAATGAAGGCACTATCCAAGGTGAGCTGATCATTATCTAATACTGCATGTATTGTAGGAACAAGCTGACCTTGGTATAGATAGCCAGACTGTGCAAGATCTGGAGTTGAAGTAATATATAAAGCTCATTGAGGCCCAAAGGACTAGGAGAAGTTATGCATACAGATCATTCTCGTCAGAATACCAAGGCCTGAAACCCAGAGATATGCATGGGCTGATGGAGCGTAAGAATTTGCTTTATAGCCTAAAACAAAAAGATCGTGATTTCGGCTAGAAGTCATGAGATGGATCTTGTTGCTACGAAGTGCTAGATTATTCTCAAGTCTGAGGAGCATGAGATGATCATCCAAGCAGCAGAAGCTCAGATCAATTGAACTATAACATGCTTGCTTGCATCCGAATTAGCTTCCTGTTGATCTAGCTTGCTTTCATGTGATGGAAAGCTGCTATGCTGAAGAGAATCTCAAGCTTCGGCCTTGCTAGACAGCGCTGATATACTCAGCCCTTTCAGAATAATAACCATCCTGCTAAAACCCCACGGAGCACATCAACCAGACTGCGCTGCTGCACCCAGCCCTGCTAGGATAATAACCATGCTTGAAAGAATGCTCGGAGCTGTGGTGATGATGCTCTAGAACTGCTCACTAGCAGAAGATACATACCCTCTTACCCTTTCTCTCTCTCTCTCTCCACATGTTCACAAGTCCTGAGTTGCTGCTGAGCGTTCTCCAGGCTCCGCCCTTGTCAGGCTGCTCGCTAGCGCGCTCTTCACCTATCCCTAGCACCGAGACCTGCAGCTGCTCTGCCCTGCGCCTTCTCCTCCAGCTATTAGCTTCTGCATACAGATGCTGTTGATAGGGCATTCGGGGGAGGGATAGGAGGCTTCAGGCCAGACAGCGCTTGTTGAGCAGCAGAGAGCAGCTGGGCGGAAGCTTCGAGTTCCCGAAGCCTACACTTCTGATAAGCCTTGGCTATCTTAGCTCTATAAACTCCATCAAGTGCTATGCATGCTGATTATAAAAGCTATCCAGCTTTATAACGAGATCCTCTCTTCGGCTGCTGCTGCTGCTGCTGCTGCTTGTGCTGTAGAGCTGAGAAGGAAGGGAGTGATGGAGAAAGCTCCCTATCCTCATCCCTCGAACGGACAAGCGGTCATGCAAGATGAGAATGCAAATGAAGCAGAATATCATCTTGCCTATCTATATTCTAGATAGAAGCACTGATTGCACTATGCTTATATTTTCAAAGCTATTCTGATCAGCAATCTGATTAGCACAAAAGCTGTTGTCGTTAAGATTATCATACGATTACAAGGGTTACATGCTGATGAATGCAGAGAAGCAGGGAAGCAGGGATATGCAGTGCTGCTCAGAGGTGGTATGCTGAGTTCAAATAGCATTATCATCTCGACCATGTAAGCCAGCTCTCTCTCTCTCTCTCTCTCTCTCTCTCTCTCTCTCTCTCTCTCTCTCTCTCTCTCTCCCCCCCCCCTCTCTCTCTCCCTCTCTCTCTCTCTCTTCATCTCTCTGCCCCTTCACACAGGAAGCTAGTTGCTGATAAGAGACAGCCCTGGATTGCTCGTCTCCTGAGCTATGATGTGCAACTACATACTCTGTATATTGAGTACAAAGACCTATCGGATCTCAGCAGCTCCGCCTGGTGTACCAAGACAGGGTGTGTGAGTTCGACCGTTTACGCAGCTATATAAGCTACAGCTATTTCCAGTTAGCAGGGAGTGGTCACTCCTTTTAGCTGTTCGCATAGGTTATGCGCCCTTCTGCTTTCTTCCCCTTGATTAAGCCACTACACAGCGAATTACTACTTCAGTAGGGGACAATCCAGCCCCGCTTAGGAAAAAAAATCGTTCGAACTATAGATCACATCAAAAACAAAGCCAGTTTCAAACATATGCTACCAGAAAGACAAGGCAAGTCTTTAACAATAGCCACACAGATAAGAAGAAATCTGTATCAGAAAACCACGAACAAGGAAAAGTCCGTTGCACCCAAACCACCATCACAGTTCGGCCTCCCTAGTCTACTCTAGAGCTTAATCATCTCTAGAGTAGAAAGAGAGTGTGTGAGTCCGACCGTCTACGCAGCTATATAAGCCACAGCCATTTCCAGTCAGCAGGGAGTGATCACTCCTTTTAGCTGTTCCCATACAGAGTCATTCAGGGAGAACCATGCCAATGCACATCGCGTTCTCGCAGATATCTCGAGCGCTCTGCTCTATCTGGAGAACAAGAGCATTCTCCATAACAATATCAAGCTAAGCAACATCCTCTACAGCAGAAACACTGCAATATCCAGAAGGAGCACAATCCTTATTGACTTTGGTCTAGCTTAGAAGCTCGGATCTATAATCGGAGAGAGTATATCTTGGTATATTCTCTCAGAAAATCGAATTAGATGCAAAGAATATCTAGCAGATATTTGAGCACTTAGTATTTCTATGCTCTACCTGATGAAGTATATAATGCTGCTAGAAAAGCAGCCCCAATTCCCAGCATAGCAACTAGCTCAACATTATACCAACTCTTAGATACGTGGACAGATGATATAGTAGTTTAAAGAGGTTAAACAACTGCAGTGCGGTCTGCAGGCTAGGTTTTTGCAAAGACACAGAGAAGGAGTTGAGCTTGATGTATATATCAGCAAGATGTTGGAGCTGAGTGAGAGCTAACGGATCACCAGAAGAGAACTTGCGCAGGAGACACAGCGATGAACATCGGAGATGGCTGCTGCGGACTAATAGCAACGTATTCTTGTGGTGGCCAGTGTGGTGGCTTTCAAGGCATAGAGTGAAGTCGGTCCCGGGTTTTCATACAACTATAAGGTTACTATCTCCTTTTTTTTCCTCGAACAAATAGCAACAATAGACAATCTTTTCCCTTCTCTTTTCGATTTTGAACCCTCTGAACAGGTCTAGGACAGGTTTTTTTATGGAAAAAGGTCTGTATTGATAGCTGCTGAAGAAAAGAGAAGAGAGGGAAAAACAGTGGAAAACAACCGCGAGGTGGTTGAGGCTATCTAGGCGGAGGGGTTGCCTGGCAACCACAGGACCAGTGGCTCACTGGAATTCGCACAGGATTGCAATCAAAGGCGTGGGGACAGATTTGACCGCTGAACGACGAGAAAAGATCCTCGGTTCAAGTGAATCTACACATACCTCCAAATCGTTCAGACAGGGAAAGGCAGGGAAGCATCCCGACGATGGCTCATGGAGAAGGGTTACGACAAACTCAGTCCTTACGGCACAAGGCGAGAACGAACCAACAAATACACAAATGAAAGGCGATACTGCGAAGGATTATCCCACCATCGAGCAACCAACGAAACAACGAAGCAGTAATGAAAAATATAGTGCTCAACGATACCTCTTATTATTACGATGTGTGAATAAAGACAAGCTAGGATTGCAAGAAATACTTGAAGGCATATCAGCAGAGTACTACGAGTTTTACAGGCTTTTTCAGGACAAGCTAGAAACAGGGCTCCCGGAATATAGCAACTTCAATCACAAGATATTCTTATAATCAGGACAGCAACCCAAGTTTTCAGCCATCTACGCATTGGATAAGGAACGATTAAAAGCACTCAGGGAGTACCTTAACGAAAACTTGAAGAAGGGCTACATACGACCATCCAGGTCACCAGCAGGATATCCAATCCTATTCGTACCAAAGAAAAACGGCAAACTACGACTATGCATCGACTACAGGCAACTCAACAACATCACTATCAAAAATCGGTACCCACTCCCACTTATCAAAGAACTACGGGACAGACTACAAGGAGCCACGATCTTCACGGCACTCGACCTCAAAGGAGCATACAACCTCATCAGAATGAAGGAAGGAGAGGAATGAAAAACAGCGTTCAGAACACGCTACGAGCACTACGAATATTTGGTCATGCCATTCGGGCTTACCAATGCACCCGCCTCTTTCCAGGAACTTATCAATCACGTTTTGCGAGAACACCTGAACCATTTTGTCATCGCATATCTCGACGATATCCTTATATTCTCGAAGACATTGGGAGAACACCGACAACACGTCAGGACAGTGCTACGACAACTACAGGACGCCAGACTACTAGTGAACCCCCAGAAGTGCCACTGGGAAACAACAAAGATTGATTACCTCGGGTACACGATCGAACCAGGAAAAATACGAATGCAGGATAGCAAACTCAAAGCAATCAGGGATTAGCCTCAGCCACAAAATATCAGGAACATACGGGCTTTTCAAGGATACTGCAACTATTATCAACAATTCATCAGCAACTACGCAAAAATCACGCAACCACTAACGAACCTCACAAAGAAGGATACTCTATTCGTATGGAACCAGGAGCAGGAAAAAGCATTCCAGACTCTACGAAACAAGTTTCTCGAAGCACCAGTGCTGCAGGAAGCAGACCCGAACCAAGAATTCGAAGTACACACCGACGCATCGGACTATGCGATCGGAGGAGATCTCTTACAGCGAGATCCAGAAGGAAGGCCACGCCTCATCGCATGCTTCAGCAAGAAACTCAACGGACCTGAAGAACGATACGGAATCCCGGATAAAGAACTCATGGCCATAGTATACGCATTCCAGGAATGGCGACACTACTTAATTGGCGCAAAATACACAGTAAAAGTGTTCACGGATCATAAAAATCTGATAACATTCACAACAACGAAGGTTCTTAACAAAAGACAAGTTCGATGGGCAGAATTCATGTCGCAATTCGACATAAAGATCACCCACATCCAAGGAAAAGAAAATACGTGCGCAGACGCACTCAGCAGACGAACAGATCACCTATTGAATGAACAGCCAAAAGAATGAGTCCTACTCCACCAAGACAAAGAAGGAAACCTTCTACAGACTGCCGAAATCAACACCATCACGAGAATCAGCTACGAGGGCAAACAACCCCAGGATATGACCAAGGACGAGCAAGACGAATACATCAAGGAAACCCATGACACACCAGCGCATGGCCACCAAGGAACACAAGCAACATACGACCGAATAAGGAGATACTGGGATCCCCCAGGCCTCAAGGCAAGGATCAGAGAAATCCTACAGCAATGCAACACTTGCAAGAAAAACAAGGCAGAACGACACAAGCCTTACAGACTATTACAACCTCTACCAGTACCTAAGACTGTTTGATCATCCATCAGCTTAGACTTCATTACCAAGCTACTGCTATCTCGAGAATTCTTAACTAATGTACTATACAACAGCATATTAGTAGTGGTATGCTGACTGAGCAAATACAGCTACTTCATCCCCTACAAAGAAGCAAGCACTGCAGAAGAATTTGCATATGCATTCCTACGAATTATCATCGCACAATACGGAACACCAGAGGAAGTCATCTCCGATAGAGATAGGAAGTTCTGTTCAAACTTCTGAACTTCGCTCATGAAAGCACTAGGAACCAAGCACAGAATGTCGATGGCATTCTACCCACAAACAAACGGGCAGACGGAAAGAATCAATCAGATTATCGAAACATACCTTCGATATTACATCAACCAAGAACAAGATGATTGGGTCAGCCATCCACCGCTAGCACAATTTGCATATAACAGCGCAACCACATCAATCACAAAGAAATCACTATTTCACGTATTATATTTCACGTATTATACGGATAATAACCAACAGCTTACCACGAAGCACTACCAGGAGCAACGGTATCTGCAGCGGAAAATAGGATTACCAAAATCAAGGAACTAGGAGAGAGAATCCAAAAGGAACTCAGGAAAGTAGCAGAAAACATGATAATGCAAGCCAACAAGAAAAGGATCGAGGGACCTCACCTACAGAAGGGAGATAAGGTCTACCTACTCAACAAAAACATCAAATCCAAACGACCAAGCAAGAAATTGGACCACAAGAAATTCGGATCATTCAGAATCAAAAAGAAACGATCAAGCGTCAATCACGAACTCGAATTACTACGGAAAATGAGAATACGCCTAGTTTTCTATATTTCGCTACTGGAACTAGCATACCTAGACACGCTAGTCTCACAGAACGAAGAACTGAACTAAAAAGAAGACGAATTCGAAGTTGAGGAGATTATCAGCTCAAGAAAACGAGGAAGGGAGCGACAATACCTCATCAAATGGCAAAACTATGATCACAACGAAAATACATGGGAAAAACCAGCCAACATCAACCCAGAACTTATCAAGGAATACCACACAATCCACCGAAAGATCAGAAGGATCTACGACCACAGACAACGAGCAACCAAGACGGAATACCTTGTTGAATGGCAAGATGACAGAACACAAGAATGGACCAGGCTAGGAGCACAGGGTCAGCAAATGGAACGAAGGATGGAATATTGGAATCAGAAAGACAAGACAAACCTTAAGACGCAGGAGGGACACCTTCAGCTTGAAGGGCAGAAAAATCGAACTCCTCCAACAAAGACGAATCAAAACCCATCTGGGACAGAGAGTCGGAATCTGCAGGCAAAGGACCAACGGGAACCAACTCTTCGATACTCCGATTAGCCTCCGCAGCAGCACGACGCTCTGCTTCGGCTTCTTCCCGCTCCACACGCTCTAATGTCTTGACGGAATCAAGACTACGCTGAATCGCGCGAGCCAAGCGCACTCGCCACATCCTTTTCTGTTTCCGGACCCGGTCTATCCGAGCATCCAGCGCTCGACGAGCCTCCTCCAACTCCTCCATTTCGTCCTCCAACTTTCGGTGCTGCCGAGAAATAGACCGAAGGTCGGAAGAAGAAGGACCTAACACGTCGCAACGCGACTGGCCAAGGCGGACACACTCAGAACAACGATCAGAGAACTGCGCGGAAACCTGGCATGACGAAAGGCCGCGGACCTCGCAATTCAAGCACGAAGGCATGTCGACACAAAATTCGAGGATTGCCTGGAGCAAGGAATTTCGGTCGCGAGTCTTGAGGGCAGGACGACGTAAGGACTTTGTGACTTTGGAAGACATGACAAATTAGGAAGGCATGACACGACGTGGGAAGGACAAGGAATACTTACAGAAGGACTTTCGGGACGAAAGACCACAGAAGGGAGATAATGTTATGAACCAACATGCAGACCAGATCACAGGAACAGGCCAACAGAACCAGCGGGGTTGAAACACGGCAGAAAACACGGCAGGAAAAGCAACCATGATTACGTAGCCAAGGGTTAGGGTTATCATGGATATGTTGGATCAGGAACATATCCGGTCGACATGTTGGATCAGTAACATATCGGACTGTCTTTTTACCAGACGGAGACTATCGATCTAGCGGTTCCGCAATATCATCGTTACGTGGGTCAGTTTCAATCACACCAGAGAAGATCGAGCGGGGGGGTCGGCGGGGTTCGCTGGAGAAGGTGATGAATCGATCCCCAGAAGAGAGTTGCAGGGGCTTCCGCAGGGCCACTATAGTGGATATGGACCCTGTAATGAACCGATAGTAGGTCACTAGATCCCGCCAACAGAAGGTAAAATACCAACTAACAGTTAGGGGGGGGGGGGGAGGAGAAGCGATCTCCTCCAGCGACCTTATCTCCCAAGTAACCATCGTTTATCAGCAAGCAGCCATAAAACATGAACAAGGACACATCAATGTCCAACACGATCAAGGCGTTTTTACGGCATCAGTATCTCAGCCCTCCACCACCATTGATGATGATGCATCATCGACCAGTTGAGACAGACCTCACCATGATTACGTGGCCAACCCCTTCACCTTCATTATTTTTCCTGTACAGTGATCAAAGCAAGCTCATGATGTGATTGAACAGGAAGGAACAAGGAAAATTGTGCATCAACTCTGTGAGACGCTTTCCAGCTCTGCGGCAGTCAAGAGAGGGAGAAAGCCCAGGATCAGATGGTCAATATTGTGCTCAATTTACGTCCGTAAGGTAATTTCCAAAGATACATGGTGGTGTCGTGGCGTCGTTCCCTCCTCTACCTTTTCTGGCTAAATTGTATCGACTGCATGATTAAGATCAGCAGAAGAGATCGATCTCTCAATTGGATAACTTAAGGAGATGTGATACTCAGCACGATCTCGAAAGCCCAGCCATGGGGTGCGAAGATCGAGCTGACATGGTGATCGATCGTCAGCAATGCGGCACGCAGAAATGAATTCTCACCACCCATCCACGCATAAACACACACGCACACACCCAGAATAAATTCCCATTGGTACTCAAAAGACTATGACCCCGCTACGGTACATTCATACTCCCACCCAGCAAGGCTATCAGGGAAAAGATACCGAGCCGCCTTCGTCTCCCTGTCTCTCTCCAGCCCCCTTCTTTCGCTCCCCGTCTCTCCCTACTGGGTAGTAGTAATTAGTGCTGATACTGACTGGCAAATAGGTAGTAAGAATCGAATTCCAAGCGTCCAAGTTATCATCAGCGTCATCCACAGAAGCCGCTGACAACTCAACTTTCACTTCCGATGATTATCTTTTGATGTATTTCCCCGAGAATGCAGCATTCCCGGCTCTTCCATAATCCCTTGCTCCTTCATTCGTTGCACTGCAGGACAGGCAATCTTGTCTGTGCCTCATTTGTCCTCGTCTCCACAGTCTTCCATCTGGCGCCAGTCACAACCCGAGTCGTTTTGGACGCTCTGTTCGTACAGGGGCACGCAGTTCCGGATGTCGGCATGATAGTTTGCTCATCAGCGTGACCGTGGCCAGACTGCCCTGCTGAGCCGCCACGCTCGCCGGCGTGTCTTTTTAATGGCCTGTCATGCCGGGGTTGGCGCCCGCCCGCATTAGCATCCCGGCGTTATGAAAGTCACCGCTGGTCACCGCCACCATGAGCGCCGTATCGCCGCTCTTGTCGCAGAGATCAAGAACGTTCCAGTCCGCCTGGTTGATGAGATAGCGCAGGATCCGGCGGTCCTCAACGCCGGAGCGGTTGGCGAGGATGTGCAGGACCGTCTGACCGCTGTTGTCGCACGCAAACGGCCTGTCGACGAGCAAGTACAGGTAGTGGAAGACGGCCAGCTTGGACTGATTCTTGAAGTCTCTGGTCGGGGCCCTCATGACCAGATTGAGTAGGGGCTCGCCATGTACAGGAGGCACACGCAGGTTCCCGACCATACTCATCATGGTTTCGTCCTCGAGCACCTCGCTCAGCCGACAGGGTCCCTCGAGACAGGCCTTGTAGATGGCCCAGGCCTGCTCGGTGGGCGTGAGGGCAGCCGGGATATTGTTATTTCCCTTGTCATCAAGGACAGTCCCGTTGCCATCGACAGCGACGGCCCCATCGCAGGAGACAGCATCAGCAACACCAACGTTGTCCTGAGCAGCGGCAGCGATAGCAGCAACAGAGACAACAACAGGGTCATTGACAGCAACAACATGGGCAGAGGCACGCCTGTCGCCATGGACACCGGCAATTGCACCGTCATTGGCACTGTCATTGACGGTGACGAAGCCATCGACACCGTTGTTGCCTTCTGCCAGGACTTCGTCTTCTCCCTCAACAGCGCTTCTCTTATCAGCAGTTGTATAGTCGTCAAGAATGTCATCGACAACGTCATTACAATAAACAATGTCGCCGGTATCCACAGCAGCACGGGCGTCGACAGTGATGCTGATATCGAGAGCAGCGTCGGGATGAAGAGTGACGGTTTCTGCAGCGGAAGAAGAAGAAGACATGATGTCAACGCTGCTGGAAGACCGGGATGCATCGGCCGTCGTCAGTGCTGCAGATGCAAGAGCCGCCAGTCGATTGGGAGTGGAGGGGGATTCGCTGCAGGCGGCAAAGGGGTCCATAGCAGCGGGCAGCGTGGGCGAGGAGGGCAGAGCAGGTGAATGGTCGTTGGTGCGTCTAGAGAAGTCCATGATGATGGTATGCTCTATGCGGTGGATGGAGACAGATTGCTTTGTTTTCTTTCCCAGTACGTTTGGCACCGTCCGGTTGTGAGGGTTGCAAAAGAGGGTGCACCAGACTGGATCTGGTGTAAATCTCCGGGTCAGTCTTGAGGTCATTATATATGTCTGTCATGATTGCAAACGGAATCGACCAAACAGAACGAGAGGGAAATGGCGACACAGGGTGGAAATCTCATTTCTGTGGTGGCAACAGCCTTTCATTCGTTTGTTCTCAGGAGCATATGCAGAAACATGTTCATTGGCCATCCCAACTCCTCAGGCACCGCAGGGCTGTGAGCAATCACAATGATAGCTTTCACGAGAATGTGTGGTTGAATAACATCCCTGGTCGCACAACTTGCGGGTAACAACATCAATGGTCCATGCTGCCTTGCCAGAGCAAACTTTTCTTACAACTGATGATAATATTATGAATACTATCTACTGTTACAGTATGATAAGTATAGACAAGTACACTGACTCTCTTTTCATCGAGCAAACCACGCTGACGGGCAACGCAGGTCTACTGTCGACTTCCGTCTGGCTCTTATCACGGTCATCGGCAGCCTACATACAGACATATGATCGGAGCTGGCCATGCCGCAGTGTAATCTCTGGCCCCCTCCACGCCGGCCCCCCGGCCCCCCCCCCCTCCCCAGCGTTCTTCCCAGCTGCGTTTGCAAACGGATGACTCCATGTATTCTCTTTGGATGTAGTCACTCCATCTTACTACGACAAGACCCCTCTAAGCAAGCCACTTCGTGTAAGGCATTCCTGTTTCTCACCCACGATGCGGCTGCTGTGTTTTTGCACCACTACCAATCAGCCCTGTGTTCCTCTTACAGAGGCACGTGTGCACAATCTACGTCTGTGTCTCCTCCGTGTGATAGCGCTCAAAGATCTGACAGCGCCGAAGGGGGCACAATTTCCATGTTGTCAGAGCCTTGACAGATCAGATCGGATCTGGTACGAGGGTACTTACTCGTCCCTGTTTCTCTCTGGGTGTTCACTTTTTTTTCCGATGACTGCTCACATCGTACAGGGTATTGTCCGAGCTTTTCTGAGCTGTTGCGGTTCAACAGCGACCATGGTGGAGAGGGCTCATTCTCACAGACCTCCCTCCCTCCCCCTCTCACTCCCTTGACTGAGGAGTTCCCATACAGTCAGGCAGTGTATGTGCTTTCTGACTGCTGCCTGACTGCCTACCCGCTGCACGCTTCCGCTCGAGGCGTCGGCCAAGTTGTAATACAGACGGTCGGAGGTCGCCTGGACAAGTCTTTATTCGGAATGGACCACCGGTCTCAACAGGGTGAGGCAACAGAAAGAGTAGTATCCGTGCTATCAACAAATGTCCTGGGAGGTTACATTTCCCTCTGATGAGGCGGACGTGGGAGAATAGACAACCACTCTCAGGGCACCGTCGTCCGACAACACCCCGCAGGAGGTCTCAGTCTGGGTAACACGAGCCGGGGCAACAGGTTTTGTGGAGGGTCTTTCCTCTCTGTGTGATTCTCGTGCTGGTGGGGCGGGACTAGAGATCCCGTCCTAGGTTCTGATGGCGATCCCGTCCTGGGCCCCCTTGGAGGCGGATGCCGTCATTTCTGCCCAATCTTCCCCTCTCGTTTCATCGAACTCTCGCTTATTCCTCTCCCGCCCCTCTCTAACCAGTCTCCCACACTGACGTCCAGCCTGACGATCATGGCCATCTCGAGACATCCGTGCAGCAGCCACGGCTTGGGCTGTGAGACAGGTGATGAAAACCTGGCTGTGCTCATGATCGATGCTGTGCTCCCACATGCTTCTTCCCCCTCCCCCCCCCCCTCCTCTCCCTCTTCTCCTTCCCCTGGGATTGGACCGGCTGTAGATTGCATGAGGCCTGGCCCAGCCTCACATGCACAATGCTGGACAGAGGAGCGGGGCAAGACGAAAAGAAGGATGAGGAGGCGCATCACGCCACAAACATACGGCAGTTGTCTGGGCCAGTCATTGATAGCCAGCCCGTTGTGACCGAGCAAAAGCAAAAAAATGTGTTTTGCAATACGAGAATTGACACGTTGTATTGTCTTCAAACGTTGGGCGCTGGAAGGACCGGCTCAAGATCGGAGAGAGGATCTACGGTTCTAGAGTTTAAACCTTGGCTGGAAGGGGGGGGGAAGGGGAATCTCAGACCCAGTTGAGTGGCGCCTTGCTCCCCTGCCAGTGCTGCTCTGCCCAAGCACCGAGCCCCTCCCCTCTTCCCCTCCCCTCTCTTGCTGTTACCCTCCCTCTTCTATACTCGCTCTGTCGTGCTCTGCCTGCCCGACGTGGTACTGACCCAGGTTAAGCTTTTTGAGAGAAATTGCCCGGCCCATGATCCTCGTTACTAGCCTGGTCCCTGCTCCCGTACTTAGTAGCCGGTACCTAGGATAGCTTTCGTCTCCCACCAAGCATAAACCCAAGACCGACCACGGACGATGTCTCTATACTTGTTACCACTTGCCTGCCTTGTCGGTACCGCTGTGTCGGTAACACAGCATTACTACGGCTGGCAGACTGGCAGATCGGGCAGCTTTTGCCTCACCACTTACGAATCTTTGTCGCTGACGAAAGCAAAAAGTGCTTTGCAAAATATCATGCCAACACAGACGAAAAACAAAACCGGTGGAGGTTAATGAAAAAAGAAGAAAAGAACGAGGGTGAGAGCCACGTTTTATGCTCAATAACAGATCGAACACCATTTCCAAGTTCCGTGTTTACAACTTTGCGATCTTGTTATAGTCGTACGAACATAAGATGCTGTCACATTGTGTCCGGTTTTTTTCTTCTTTTCGTTTTGTAAGATAAGATGGTTACTATGTTCTACACTGGCTGCTGTTTAATCATAATCATAGAACCAATCGACATAGTTCCGTTAGCACTGTCTCAAACTTGCAGCAGAGAGGCATCAAATCGGGGAAGAAAGAGGTTGTTGAGGGTCCACAAATACCTCTGCTTAAGTATTTGAGCACGAACTTACTGCTCGGCGTATAATTCGTCTCGTGAGACTGGGCTCACATCCTTTTTTTTTTCTTTTTTTTTTTAAAAAAAAAAACCACGAATTCATCATAACTTGTCGTTATTTTTCCTTGCACATTGTTTTACTTCAGATCGAACTTATTGTGTGTGAGGGCAAAAAGATTGCATTGCTGTGCGCTGAAGAAGAAAAGAGAAAGAAAGAAAAACGCCACGAGGCCAGCTATCTGAGGCTATCAACAGGTCTGACTGTTGGCTGGCTGGGGGCCGAGTCACTGGCCCTCGCACAGTATGTGATCATCGTAGGAAGATCACGGGTTTAGGACTTAACTGGCCCGCTCTCCCACCCAAACACCATCAACGAAACCTCACCAATATCAACTGCATATAGCCGCCCACCAAGACCCGCCCCCACTCATACCCGGACCGCTGCCATGGCCCGACTGGTGGGATCTGGTTTTGGCCCTCTGGAAACTGGGTGCTCATGATGCAAACGACCCTCGCCCCGCCCGTGCTTAAAACCCCCCCCACCTCCCGCCTTTTTGAAGGCCCGTTCCGCATCCTAATTATAAAAATAAAAAAAAAACACAAAAAAAAAAAACCACCAGGAGCAAGTTGGTCTCTTGGTAGTCTCTAGACCGTAAGAACTGTGCAGTTGGTTTAATATTGTTGTTTTTTTCTTGCTTCCATCTATCTGGACACGTCGGTGGTGGCGGCGTGTGGTCAGAGCATGGAAGCCAGAGTTCTCGATACAGCCCAGACGACACCACAGCGGCTCAGTCATTGATGCCCAAATCATTTTCTAGCACGTACCAAATTCTACTTTACTTGTTCATGCAGGTGAGAGATCCTCGTTTTCTTAGTGAGCATGTAATTTCTTTTTCTAGACTCTAGACCACGGTCCATGACACGTTGCCTGCAACCAAAACCAACATCAGTCCTTCATCTTGATTTGCCTGTTCGTTGAGAATAAATCGGGGCTGTGTCTTTGGAGGGGGGGAGGGGGGGGGGAGGAGCGGGAAAGAGACGGTGAAGAGACGGTGATCATAGAAGCATCAAGTTGCTTTCCTTTGGTGTACCACGTGCAGGGGGCGTGCAACACACTACTAGTATGCCGTCCGTAAACAAGGAGGCAGGCAATAAGTCACCAACCCTCTGATGTCTCCGAAGGCCTTAGAAATGAGAAGAATCCTTACGCGCTCTCTACCATCTCCTTTCAAATATAAATACCCCTCTCCTCTGTATGGTCTGTCTCTCCTGTCTCCTTCCCTTTTCTTTCCTTAACAAGTGTCATCTCGAAAGCCAGTTTCCCCAAATACAAACGCGAAGACTACCATCAAAATGTCCCAGTCACCTACAGGGCAGGTTTTTCCCTTTCTCGCTCTCTCTATCCTTTTTTCTTTTGCATGGAAAATAAGCTGATCCAATTACATACAGAATCCTAAGCCAAGGGCCCGATGTTCCCAAGTGGCCCTGTGCAACCATGTACTTGACGCACGATTGCCACAAACTGGTCTGCGAACATGGCGAATTATGCGAGACCTGCACTGTAAGTCATGAGTGTTTCACAAACCATTGACGCAGAAACATCAGAAATGTGCTAATCATCGCCTGCTAATCATCAGGCTGGTGGCTGTATTGTGCCAAAGAAGGAGGCGCAAGGAGCCTTTCCATTCTCCAAGTTGAAGTTCCATACCCAAGTGTCCAGCTATAATGACCTCACGATGGTCGATCGAGAAAACGTTGACGAGATGGTCAAACTCTTCGGGTCTAACCCGGAGATTGAAGAGCCTCTTCGCATCGTCTGGGATCTTAAGATGGCCCTTCTGATCGCCCACGAGGGCGGGGACAAGCTCCACGCACTGTACCTCCACGTGATGACGAACGACCTTGTTCACATCTGCCCTGCGCTCAAGTGGGACACGGGGGTGGCCAAGTACGCGCTGAACGTGGCCCAGAAACGCGTGAGACGCTACGCCCTGTTCCAGATGCTCGAAATTAGCCTGGAAAGTCACAGCACTGCATGCGTCGGGGTTGACGGGCTGCTCCTCGTGAGGGAAATGGTAAGCAGGTGATATTGAGCAGAACCCCCCCCCCCCCCCCGGCAAAAAAAAAAGAGGAAATCCAAAGAAGGAGTAAAGGACGAAAGAAGGCATGAATCTAGAAAATAGCCGCTGACATTACTTACGAAATAGGAAGTCAACGATCTCACTCGGGATAGATTCACCGAAGTTGTGGACGATGCCGTGTTCTATCACGACCCCGGCGCCGAAGATGGTTGCGTGTGCATCTTCTGCCACTACATGGCGTTTCGCCAACATACGCAGTGGATTCTGGCAGGCGAGCTCTCCGACGAGGAACTACCTGTTGCACAAGCCATCTTACTGGCGTCGCAAAAGTTGGTGGCCCCCACTGACGAGAATGCTTGCGGGCCGTGCCCGGACTACGTGCGAGGCCAGCAGAAGGCGCTGCGCAATGAGCCCATGGCAAGCACCGAGTGGGAGAGAATGATGAGTCCCGATCCGGCTTACCTCGCCCAGCAGCAGTTGGAGCTGCAGCAGCAACGGCAGCAGCAGCAGCGGCAGCATGACCAGGCCACCCAACAAGACGGCAATCAGCCCACTGCAGCCGTGGGCCGGTCCGTACAGCAGCGTCGCCAGCAGCAGCGCCAGCAGCAGCGCCAAGACCGCCAGCAGCAGCGCCAGGACCGCCAGCAGCAGCGCCAGGACCGCCAGCAGCAGCGCCAGCAGCGCGAGCAGCGCGAGCAGCACCAACGGCCCCAGCCCATGGCCTTTGCACAGCACCACCCCCAGCAGTTTCAGCACCTCCAGTCACAGCAGCAGACGCACCTCCAGCCACAGCAGCAGACGCACCTCCAGCCACAGCAGCAGGCGCAGCTCCAGCCACAGCAGCAGGCGCAGCTCCAGCCACAGCAGCAGACGCAGCTCCAGCCACAGCAGCAGGCGCAGCTCCAGCCACAGATGACGTTCGAGGAGTTCCTAATTCGGCACCCGGCGTACCGTCAGGTCCAGCTCGACTGCTTGGAAGTGGAGCACCGGCGCCGGCTTGTGATTGAGGTCATACGTCAAGAATTCTTCCCGATGCTCCGCACGGAATACTGGGACCACTACGAGCAAACTCAAGCACCTGGATCTGTTGGCCAGCACTGAATGTGGACCCGAGCCTAGGAAGGGGGGCGGGAGGATTGCGATGGTCGGCTCCTTCCGGCGGGGTGGGGACTTAACTAGGAGTCATACGTTTTCGTTCATCTAGTCTTGTCTTGGGAGCTTGAAAAAGTCTCTACAGTATCGTTGTTTGAATTTCTTTCTTTACTCGATGAGTCCAATGAGTTTAGTCATTATTATCCAGTTGCTTGTCTAAATCTCTTGCCTTTTGCCTCTCGCCTCTCGTCTCTTGTGCCTTCCATACTCCCACACGAGAGCGACGAAAGTTTTTCTTGGTAGATGATTCGGCTTGAACAACACACTTGGAGAGACAGAGAGAGGCAAAGGAGGGAAGGGGAGAGTACGAGAGATCATCCTGTCTTTGCTGTACAAATTTCCCCCAAGTCGAGGCTGTAGAGTCTCTCGCTTACGGAAAATGGGCTGATTCTGTGTGAAGATCATAACTAGGAGTATTTTAGTTTGAAGTCTCATGCTCGAGGGATGCTACCTGGGGGCAAATGCAGGCGACACCTGCTTTGCATGTCCCATTTCACATCCACACCATGACACGAGATATCTTGCTTCCTGTTGTTGAAAGCCTCACTCTCGTCCAATTATGAGGTGGTGCGGGAGACAAGGGTCCTAGTGGACAAGGGTCATCTCACAGCACTAGACCCCTCTGGAACCAAATCCTGAGCAATCCGATTCGCCCGCCCTCACATCGCTTATGAGCCGTTGTCACTCTGGCGATCTGTACCTAGAGTGTGCGTCCACGTGTGTGTGTGTTGCTGCTTTTGTTGTGCGGGATCCTGTGGGTGTTTTTTTTTTTAATTACGTGGCGTCGCATTCGTGTTGGTGCATACGTATATTGCTGCCTGACAAGATGGGTAGTTGGTTGGATAGTCTTGGCCGAGGTGCTTTTCCAGGGTAAAGCTGGCATGAGAGACTTTTGAACCGATTTTTACCTCCTCACTCTCACGCCTTCCTGGACTACCCTGTTCATGACCCCATCTAAGACCACACGGGACAGACCGGAATGGAGCCGAAAAGAGGGGTATCTGATCACTCCAAAATGATATGTCGCAAATTTTGAGCCCCGGTCCTTCTCCTCTCCCTGCATGAAAGCAGCTCATCAAACTTGCTGACTGAAACGGCTGAGTGGAATGAGGCGGAAGTGTCGGCGAGCTATGGAGACTTTTGCCCGGGAAGATATTCTGCAGGTGTAATGTGAAAAGTGATAGGCAATGCAGGAGTGGCCTGATTTTCCCAAGCCGTGTGTGTGTTGTCCTTCGGCTGCTCTTCCTTCCTCCACACCTCTTTCTCTCTATCCTTGTCGGTCTCCCCCTTGCTTTTGGATCTTCAACCGTTCTCTCCTTTTTCATTTTAAAGAAGAAGGTAACTTTGTTCCGAGTACCACACACTTCTATACATAGAGCAGCGGTGATGACGACATATCTATGTACAGGCATACAAGTATACATGGTACACATTGTAGTGCTGGAAACGCCTTTGAGCAGACCGTTCCGTTAATTGATGACTCAGATTTTCTCTTCATTTTCCTTTCTCTCAGATCATTTGGAAGGAGGGGAGTGCATAAGCAAGCAAGGTGAGAAGAAAAAGCGAGGCCATCAGCAATCTATGCAGCTTGCTAGCTAGTCTTTGAAGAGAGACCTCTTCTTCCCATCATTACTTTGGGAAGATGTATAATGAAGCCCGGGGGGGGGGGGGGGGATGTGATGCTGATTGTGGAGGAGAGGTTAGAGCAGGGAGCGAATTGTGGTCGTTTTACCGTAGTACTTTCCACCCTTCTTCCACCTTGCCAGTCTCTCTCGCTCGGTCCAGTTTGGAAGGATTCCCTGGTGGATGCTGTGAAAGCTATTCTTATTGATAGAGTTGAGTTCTACAAGATACTTGATGACTTGAAACACCACCTACAATCATCCAAAGCACCAAGCACGGTGTTGATTCCCATCTCAAGCAGTGCCCGCCTCGAGTATTTGTCAGGCATTGGCTTCCCAGCCGTGTTCCAGTGACAACACTGGCGACACCAGGATACAACTGGGAAATGAAATAGTCCAACCATACACTCATTTCGAAATCCGCAACGCTGCTCGACAACATACTACGCACTCGGACATCGCCGTTGTGGGTATGGCTTGTCGGATCCTGCACAGAGACTTGCGCTCCTGACGGGCATACGAAGCTTTAGAGGATGGGGGGATTGTTCCTGGGGAACGGTCTACACGGGCTTGACAGGGTTGGAGTATGGTACGTGTATCTACTACATCTTTAAGGGGATAAGTAGCGGACGCATTTCTAAACCTGAAAATCATAATACTGACTTAGGGTCCTGACGATTCAGTTATGGTGTGACAAGCAACGACTGGATGGAGACGAATTCTGCTCAGGATATCGACACATAACTGATTCCAGGTGGGAACCGAGCTTTCCATCCCAGGTCGAATCAATTACTTTCTTCAAATTCAGTGGGCCTAGCCTGGCTATCGACACTGCATGCTCTAGCAGTCTAGCAGCGATTCACACGGGCCTGTAACATTCTTTGGCGGGGCGACGCCGACACCATGATTGCCGGTGGAACAAACATTCTTACCAACCCTGACTTCACCGCTGGGTTGGACAGGGGACGATTCCTCTCCAGAACTGGGGGATGCAAGACGTTCGACGACGAAGCCGATGGTTATTGTCGAGGTGAAGGTAATAAGCAATCCAGCACCCCCCTGCAAACAAACTTCATTCAGCGCGCCATAAAGATCTCATGTCTGGGAACTAAGGGTCTGATTCCTATATCAACAGGTGTTTGTTGTCAGTGTTGTCTTGAAGCGTCTCGAAAGACGCGATCACAGACGGAGATCCCATCAAAGGTGTCATTCTTAACGTTCTGACGAATCACTCGGCTGAAGCCGAGTCTATTACACGGCCTTCTTTGCACGCACAGAGGGAAATATTCACTAGCCCTCTACATGTAAGCTACGTGGAGATGCACGGAACGGGTACTCAAGTAACGGCGGCGGCCAGCCCAGCTTGGTTGGAGGACAAGACCGCAGAGGCACAGGCAAACATGGGCTCTCTGAAAAGGGGCCTGGAATCAGGGGCGTGTTATCGATTCACCTCCAACATGGTTTACAGAATTGGTGGCCGCTCTGGCCGAATTTGATCGGGGCTATCGAGGATTGAAGGGAGGTGATCCTGGACAGCAATAGAATGGAAGCTGCGAGCAAGGTCGACTGCAGCACCTTTCCTAGGCGCAAAGGTGACCTATTCTCTGTACATCCCGCGCACCTCGACTCTCTCACACAGACCGCCGGCTTTTGTTATGAACGCCAATGAGGCTTCCGACCTCGACGTGGAGTGCTTTGTCAACCACGGTTGGAAGGCGCTCACGCTCCTAGAGCCACTACGAGCACTGCACCAAGGTGGGGGGGGGTATTCGGGCAGATCGGCAATGGGAAACGGGCAGGCAGAATCTGGAATCAGTCCGCTTGTGCCCGCAATGTCAGCTTTACACAGGGGTCGCTCGAATGAATTTTTGTAAAGCCGCGCAGTCTCCTTTCCTTGCTTTGCGAATATTAGTTGTGCACTTTCCAATGCTGCTGCATTGAAGCGCGGAAGCTGTCGTCTGCGTTTCAATGTTTGGCCGAGCATCGCTCTCCAGCCAACAAACCATTTAGCGCTCGGCCAATCCGCCAAGCCCAAGATGCCTGCCCCGGAAGAATCCCACCACTTATGCGCAACAACAACAACGCCTTTCCTGCCCGAAACGCCCCCCTCTCAACCTCGCTCGTCACTACGTACTCCTCCTCCTAACCTATATCCATCCTTTCCATCATGACATCGCAGCTGGCGAACCTCGCGAGCCTAAAGACACTCCAGGAACATTGCCTGCAATCAGATCAAGGTAAGAACACTGTGCAGTGGTGGTGCCGCTAATAGCAGGTATGGCGCCGCTTCGATCTACAATTGTCAGCTAATGAATACAGAGCGTCTTCGGCAGAGCGACCGCAAACTTGGTGCAGACACTGCAGACGCAGACGAGCAGCGCGCAAAACGAGCACGCCAGGCGACGGATAGCCCACCTCGAGCCCTCAAGATACTACCATCCGTGGACCCTGCAATAGACTCATTCACAGTATGCCATATCGCAAAGTCCCATATGCACTACTTCCTGGGATCTCAGCTAATTTCATTAGGAACAGCCTCGTGCAGGACACAAGCGCTGGCGTCAAGTCCCTCTGCCCGAGCACGATCCAGACGAAACCATACGCAAGCGTCACCGGTCCGGCCCCATCGACTTTATTCCTCAAGAGGCTCTCAGCGAAAAGGCAACGGACGACACCGAGGACGACTGGCGTGCAATCCTTGACTTCTGGATACGAGAAGGACGCTGGCCGCGGAAATACTTCGATGCATGCTTTAACATGGATCATTTACTTGCAAGAAAGAGATCGAGTCCCTCGCTGGGCCGGAGGCGGTCCAGCTCAGCTTCGTCTGTAACTCCCAGTGACCAGAGGCCGCGAGAAGAGAAGAGCGCTCCATACAGAGACCCGCGATATGAGCTTCTACTCAAAACAAAGGGTGTTGTGATGGGTAAGGCTGAGCGGGGGATTACGCCGCAGAGCAAGGAGTTATGTGTCCACTTACTGGAGGATATCCAGCCAACCCCTCACGATACACTGTTTTGCGACGACTTGTTTGACGCAACTTGCGATATGCTACAAGGCAGAAATGAGGCCAAGATAATTCAGGACATCGCTCGGCTCATCATTCCCTCAGCCCAATCACTTTCGATCCGCGGCGCGAACCACCTGAAAAATATCATCGAGAGCGTCAATGAAGGTTGGAACAATTCGGTTCCCCTCACCGGGATCCGCCCGCAGCCCGACTACTCTGTTGGCTTCCGGAGCGAAGCCTTCTCGGATGGCCAGTTGGCCAAACTCGCGCCATTCATCGGCAACTGGCTCGGCGGCGACCAGTCGTTCTTCATGGCCACATACCACATGTTCTTCCCGTTCCTGGCGGGTGAGACGAAGTGCGGCGCGGCTGCGCTCGACGTGGCCGACCGGCAGAACGCCCACAGCATGGCGATGGCGGCACGGGCGGTCTTTGAGCTCTTCCGACTTGTGGGGCGAGAGGCCGAGGTCGACCGGCAGATCCTCAGCTTCTCTGTCTCGCACGACCATCAGGCTGTGCGGATCTACAGCTACTATCCTGTCATAGAAGGGAAGGAGATCAAGTACTACCGCCATCCGATCCGCCAGTTCAGCTTCGTAGAGCTGGATGGCAGGGAGAAGTGGACTGCCTACCGCTTTACCAAGAATGTCTACGATCTCTGGATGCCATCGCACTTTGCGAGAATTCGCGCTGCGATCGACCAGATCCCGCCCGACATCGACTTTACCGTCGACCCGCTGCCTGAGACCGGTCTGTCCCAGGGCATGGAAAGCCTGTCCGCAGCAACGTCCAGCCAGAGTTCGGTAGCCCCAGCGGCGCCACATCTTGCCACCCCACAGAGCTCGCTGCAAGGAGGGGCTGCGGCAAAACGACCAAGGAAGAAAGCGTAGATTTGCTCATCCATCCTAGCGCTGTGGAGCGTAGTGTCACGTGACAGGAATGGCGATACAGAATGCGTTGATCAGGAGCCAACGGAACAATGATTCTGGACTTCACTGACTATTAGGGATTGCGAAGGAACGATAATGACATGGGAAGGCTTGATCGGTCTCCGCGCTCCGACATGTCTCGCAGATACACACTGTTAGGCACTCTAACACATTTCGCTCGTAAAAGTGTAATTGAGATAATTCTTGGTCATGATTGCCCATTTTATCATGTGAATCGACTTATGGGTCACTTTCTGGGTCATTTTAAGCCCCTGGTAAACGAGTATGTGTTGGGAGGCGGAGTGATCGTTCTAGTGGCGGGCGGATAGGTCCACGGTTGGCTCTGTCAGAGGATTAGGGTCGTCGGTGATGGTGAAAGGCGGCGGCAAAATGCTCCTGGTTGGATAAAAGGTTGTCGTATGCTGTGTTGCCGTGTCGGATCCTAACAAGGTATATTTTCCCAAAATGGAATGAGGGGTCGTTGTCAGTGGTGGTATCGTCAGCGTCGTCATCTGGATTACGTGTGTCCATCCCAGTGGATGTTTGACCAGGCCACGTCCAGCGACGTCACATACGGTGGGAAGGTGATGGTTGTCGTAGTGGACAGCTGGAGCGGCGGGAGGACAAAGGTATAAGGGCGGCTCACAGCTGATTTCTGGATTGGTCTCGGACCAGATCGACGGGTCGATGTAAACAAGACCAACCACAGCCTCCTGAAGAGGAACCACTTTGCCCGCTCGTGCCTCCTGGGTCTGAGCTGCACGCCACGGGGTTCCGTCTGGCGTATCGCCCGAGCGATTATTTTAATGAGGACAGGGAATGCAATATACTTTACAATAGCTATAATAGCTACAGCAAACGTTAAGGGGGCACTTGACGCTGCTACCCAAACTATCGCGTCCATATTCAGCCGTAGCATTACCTGTTAAGCTTATACGGTTATATAAATGGGGAGCGGAGGCGGGTCGTGAAGCAACTCGAATCTCTGCTGGACGGGGGCGGGGTAAGATGGACAAGTTTTCCTCCGGTGCTCTCTAGCTCTACACTAGATACGTTATCTGCGTTTGACTCTCGTTCAAGAAGTTCATGATAAGTCTAGATGTTGCTGGATCTTTTTGGCCGGGCCCATGTCAGTCACCCCAGCCTAAGTAGGTAGCCTAGGTTGCCCGAAAACAGATTTTGGCTGGTTTGAAGTGGTGACTTCGTCTTCTGTCATGGGGCGAGAAAATGATGCCACGTAAAATATGAGCAATGGGTTTCAGAGACCGCTTATAGGCAGCTACTGCTTTTTGGGCCTCCGCTCCAGACCACGACCGCGCTCACAGCGTTGGCCTGATCATCCCAAGCCTTCTGGAAGGAGAATGGGTAGGTCCCAGTAGGTGGCCTACTTGGAGGAGCCAGGTTGGTAAGACGTAATTGTAGAGCACTGTGAATGTTGCCTTGTATATCCTGCAGGGGAGAGAGAGGGCGATTTCCCTTTTGGTAAGCTGGAAACACGGACTTTAGGCTCTCACCTATTGGAAGGGCTCACCTGTTCGGTCATAGTAAGTTACGGCATTTTGACCGCCCTGCATAGTGCTGCCAGTTTATTAGCCTACCTTAGTTTACTTGTTTAAACATGGGTATGTATATGTACATGGAGCTACCTGACCATGTACCTCTACCTGGAACTTCCCGTACCATCCTTTAGGACCCCTGCTTCCCTCTTTCCGCGGCGCAAAGCCAGCTAGTGGGGTATAAGCGGGTGAATCTAGGGTCGGGAATACCACATCAGACCCGCCCCCCCCCTCCCGCTGCTGCGACATCATGATAATTCTCACGCACCCACACCCATGCCCACACCCAACACCCACGCCCACACCCATACCCACACCCATACCCACACCCACACACACACCCACACCCACAACTGACACTAGTAGAGCCTTACAACAGGTACTGGAAAAGAAAAGAAAGGAAAGGAAGAAGAAGGAGAAAAAGAAGGGCGTTGGCGAGAGAGGGGGGGGGGGGAGATGGAGGAGCAGGAATAGAGTATTGGAGGAAGAAAAGGAGGGTCCTCCCGTGGCCCACGATCAGCCCCTCTCTGGACGTCAGCTCTGATGAAACCTCCGGGCGACACATCATCAAAACAAACCTTGAAGCGGGCGGCGCTGTTGTACATAGTATATTCCAGACGGACTAAGTCTGGTTGTGTGCGCTCTCGCTCTTTCGCGGTTATGCAACTTAGTTTTCCTTTGCAGCGACTTCCAAAACGGGCTACGTCCCCCTTTTCCCCTCTCCTTTTTCCTCATGCACGGATCGAGATGAGCTGTCCCGCCCACAATCTACTGGCTCAGAAGCAGCAAGTACCATTCAAAATCACTGCCGATCGATCCAGAAAAAGCATGTCGCACTTCATAATCCGACAAGACATGCTACGCGCGGCTGGATATGAAGAATGGAACCGGGAAAGCAATAGCTGTATGCCCGGAAACTCCGCCCATGCCAAAACTTCTCCCTACATAGTACGTGCACGCCAGGTATCATATGCATGTTGCAAAAAAGAGGGCATGGAAATACAAGACGTGTCAAGCCACTCTCGAGGGTCTTTCAGTAAGCACCCACCCCCGGATGTGACCCCTCTCTTTTCCCAATAATCATATTTGCACACTCTTTTCCTAACCCATACTGGTAACTGACTAACTCAACAGGGCTTCTCCTTTTGCGGGCCAGTCTTCCATGCAGTAGCGAGGGCTGCTGGGACGGAAGCCGGACTCGATGAGTGGATGGGATGGGCAGTCTGTTCAAAGTTCAGTGTGGGAGGGGGCCTGAAGAGTAGCAAATCTCTTGCTCTAGTATGGTCTTGTGGGTGTCTAGGCCATCCCCCAACCTCTGCATCGAGCCACTCTTCCCTCAATTCCTCCCCTGCTCTCTCACCTCCTCAACTAGCCTTCCGCTCAGTCCCCAGCTTCCCTGGCGTCCGTTCAGCCCCGCCTCTTGTCCTCTCTCCAGGCGTCCTAGCTTGTGTGGGCCATACATCATCTCCGATTCTGACGGTGCAGGTTTCAGAGGGCTGAAGTGTATGGTCCAAGGTGGAGAAACTCGATGATGTTATGAGAAGCTGGAATGGTTAAATCAAAGTTCTGACCAGCAGAGCTGTTGGCCCCCATCTCGTCTGTTTTCTCGAGTCTTGTCTTGACTAGTAAGAACGTTCTGTGCCGGGGTGCTACTTGCTCTCACAAGATTCAAAATTAAGCTGCTACTAGCTTGAGCCGCAAGGCGAAAGAGCAAGAAGAAGACGATGATGAAGGAAGACGACGGCCCGGACTTCACCAGACTATGGATCTTATTTTGGCGGTAGTCGTCTCCGTTCCAATAAATCATGAAGACAGACCGGTTTCTCGTAATGGGGCTGGAGCCAAGGAAGCCTGGAAGTTGCTGGAGAAGAGGCTCTGCCCGCGCACTCGGGCACGGATATGGGCCTTGATATCTGCTCGTTCCCTACGGCTCAAATTGTGAACATCCTGTGCCGTTCTGGGCTTGCATGCATGGTACTGGGGAGAAGGCATTGTTGAGAAATGACAAAGTACATCAGACTTTGGTCCAGTCTCGACTGTATTGGCGTCCGTATTGGATTCATAAGGCAATGCGTCAGGATCCTCTACATCATCGATCTGCGCCGATCACAGCCTCAGGTCAATATGATTCGAATGAGATCTGATATACCCAGCTGATGACTCCGCCACAGTTGAATCAGGCGTCTGCCTAGTTTCCCTGAGTAGGGCTGCCTGTGTGACATCTATGTGCGTGCGTGCATCGGCTTACTTTCTACATTCGTGTCCGCGAATCTCAAGACCACGCTGACGGGTGAAGCCAGAGGTCACATACTAATGAAAGGTAGGGATGCACGCGGCGAATTCATCCAATGTTGGAGAACCACGCAGAGACGGACGATGTGCTATCCATTGCCACCCGCTGGCTCAGATCCGCCAGGAAAGGATCCTCCGCACATACAAATTTCTCCCTCTTATGCTACAATACGATCGTAACGCCGATCTCGCTCATCAATGCGAATGTAGGCTGTGTAGATAATGAAGAATATCTTGTGGCGATCCATGATGTGTAAGTACATGATTTAAAGTACGGAGAGATGAGTATGGTCACGAATCAGACGCACAATATTGTGATGTTCTGCAGCCTCGCCAAGGTCCAGCCGGATGGGATGCTGTGGGGATTGGCTCACGTAGAGAGAGATACATGGGTGCGTACCGCACTGTCGTGGATATCCTCAACAGAGAAGTGACATCGCATGATCTCTGGCCTCCATAACAACGTCATCCAAGCAGTGCAGTAACAATTCTTTACCTGACCTGACTTATTGGATCTGCTCTGCTTCCCACCATGTAGTCCACTGTCTCATAAAGCACAAAAACATGAAAAATCAAAATCAGAATATCAATTTGGATGCTTAACAAACTGCCCTATTGATGTAAAACTCTTCTCTTTCTTAGTAAGGGGATGATCCTTCACAGAAAAAAACTCATGATCCTGGGGGTACACATCAGAAAAAGTCTCCCGCGATATGTATCAATTGTCTAGCAACCGCGACTCACAAGAGGCTACACACAGAGAAGCTAACAGCTCGGGCGATGGGGTTTACATGTCCCAGGGCCAGTCAACGTTGCCTCCAACGAAGCCATTCCACTCGCGTTGCGTGTAGTACATGACACCCTCAGCTTCTTTCAGCTTCAGTCGCTTGACCGCATAATCCCAAAGATGCTTGGAGCACTCTGAAGGGCAGAAAAAGTCTCTTTGTCAGCCAGTCTCGTGAAAGAACGCGGCGCTGATGAGAAGTGTGTCTCTACATACCATTTGTGTAGGGAGGACAGAAGATGTGGTGGGGAATGGCCGCGATGGTCCACTTGCCCCGGAGCTGCGGGTGCCATTTGGGAACGTCTTCCTCGATGATCTTCAGCTCACATTCCATCTGGTTCACCATATCGGCGAACTCCTTGGTGTTGAGAACCCGCTGTCTTGGATAATTGATGATGAAAACAACCCATTTCTCATCTCCAGGCCTAGGAACAGGTGGCGGATCCTGCTTTTTGAATATGGCGGCGGGCCATGCTCTTCCACAACAGTCGGTTACCAAACCTTCCCATTCGTCCTCGGAGTCCTCGAAGTCCTCGGAGTCCTCGGAGTCTGTTTCTTCATTACTGGCGGTGGCTTTGTCCTTGGTGTTCGATTTGCCTTCAGGAAATTGAGGGGGCAGGGTGGGCTGACCCCTCTGGGTTGAAGGCGTCACCTGTGCTGATGCGGACGCGACCGAGGAGGGCTCCTGAATGAGGACAGACGTCATCTTGAAGCCGTGTGTTGTCTTGACCCGCCCGGGACCGTCAAAACTCTAATCAGGAGAACAGCGCCGTGTTCTCTCTCGGGGGGGGGGGCTCTGTCAGGAGACAAGTCGTGGTCAGCGATCGTGTATAGGCAAGGCCCATTCTGAGAAGGGACGCCTATGGGCAGTGTGAAGCGGAAAGAGAGACAAAATCCCTCTTGTGATGTGACAAGAGTTTGGGCAACTGAGCGGGGAAACCCTTGGAGGGACAAGTTCTTGGGAAGTATCAGGAGAGATGGAAGAGATAGAGTACCAGAGGCTCCAGGCGCTCAAGGGTCCTTTTGAGCCTCTGACTAGGTGTGCAAGAGAGGTTGCGAGTTGGAAAAGACCTAAAATCTCCGAAGCAAAGGAGGGGAGGGGGGGACGAACCTCTTTGGGTTGAGATGATTGTGGGGGGGTTGTCTCTGAAACCACTTGACTTTGCTAAACTTCTGTTCCCCTAGGACATCTAGTGAGTGGGAGCTGATACTTATAGTCCTGGATGCCGACTGGTCTATTGATTGATCTGCGTCGCGTCGTACCTAGTGGACACGGATACGTTGGCATCATCCGGCCGCAGAAGGCTCGCTTCCACAATCAACCGAATGCAGGAGTTTGTCCTCACCGATTCAGGGAGCATGGAGAGTGAATGAGTGTCGTAGGCGCCAGGAGGGGGTGGGAAGGGAAATTTTACCATTCTGCTTATTGTGTACATGCAGGGCATGTATTGTCTACTGTCCACTTATTGTCCGCCTTTCGGTTTCGTGCCCTAACCGCGCAACACGTATGCACCTCCATACAAGGGGGTGGCCATCATTCCCCCTGTCCGCAGTGGAATGCATTTGGGGAGGGGGGCGGGGGGCCGAATGAACAACAGGCACAGGGCCCACACCAAGTGACTGATGATAGGGAGACGCTTAGGATCTGCAACTGCACGGGAATAACGGTGAGCGGCACGCCCTAAATCCTTACAGCCTGCGGGTCGTTTTGTCTGGATTCGGCCGCGTGCAGCAGCAGCGGCAACTGCACACATATTAGTTCCTGAGTAGAACGTCCGACATTCCAGACACTCTCGGTCCATTGGATGAATGTGAGTAATGGGCGGGGTTTACTTCCCGTTACTCTTTTTCTCTTAACTCTTTTCGTTTTCCTTTCTCAATGCACTCTTCTACTTCCTCCAATTTTTTTTTTTTCAATTTTTTTTTTTTTTTTCGATCCTCCGGCCCCCGCCACCACCTCAGGATGGTTATAGGAGATCCCATGTATAACAGGGTTGACCTGCTGTTCCTCGAGCGCGGGGTTTCTCATAAGTGAAGCCTAGCACGGCACATATTCCCATCACACCGGACCATGGCGGCTACTCGTACTCAGCAACGTAACGTGGCGTCGACGCCTGATGAACTAACTTTGAGGGGCGCACTAGATCTCGGGCTCGAATCGGGCTGTCTCAATCACCACCGTTACACGAGGTGTTGGAAAAGCAATTATGCATTCACGTACGCATGTTGGCATGGCCTTGGGCTAGATCCCTTTTCCCCCTCTTTTTGCATCTCCTTCTTCCTTCTCCTCTCTTCTGTTCCTTCTTTCAGTTGTCTTCCCTTAGACTCCTCTCTACCTTGTCCCTCCCTCTCCTCTTCAAAAGCGTTGTAATATCTCTAGTAACCACTTGGGTTTCTTGCTCTATATCAAGCTCCAGAAGCTGAACAAGTCAAAAGTGAGCCGATCTCTGTTCCTCTCTCTCTCTCTCTCTCTCTCTCTCTCTTTTTCTTACGATCTCAATATCCCAGCTAATCGTACCAAAGACATCTCACAAGATCAGCACCACCATGTGCACTCTCATCGTGTTGCGCTGTGACTGCTGGCAGCGGACTCACGATGAGTCCAGACTGGAGCTTTGTGCTACTGCCAAGGACGGTGGCCGCTGCGCCAACAACAACGTCCAACTGGCTGGAAACACTGGCCAAGGCGGCACGGTTCTTGTCGAGATTTGGAAAGACAGTCCTTGCCCTGTGACTGGGAAGATTCGCAACGTTCACGACACTCTGTGTGGGTTTTTCATTGGGCTTCCACTGGGGCTCCTTTTTTCTGCACTCGTTCTTCTAGGCTACATGCATATCTCATGTACTAACCACTGTCCCTCTCATGCAGGAGCACAACAACAATGCAGTAAAGCCAACGTGAGTTCATCAACCTCGTATTCACGACTTCCACCTACAGCCAATCCAGCTACGGTACGAGGTATGATAAGGCACACGGGACAAGAGTAATCAAGTTTTAGTCCGGTACGGTTTGGTGTCTCGCATCATGTAGAGAAGGAAGGGATACTTGATGTTCCCGTCTAGGATAGCATCAAGTTGTAATATATCCCCAGCCCGTCACAAACATCTCTCCTCTCTCTGCCGCGTACAATGTGATCGTCAGAGGCCAATGATACTTGTCTGATCTCCTATCATGCGTCTCAAAACCTCACCAGCCTCTGCAGGACAACCATCGACCAACAAGGGGGCCAGGCATGGCGGAAGCGAGGCCAGGGCCGCTCCAAAATCTGTGTCCCTGATGGGAAGCTCTCGCATGCATGCCGCGCACCGGTCATCACAACGGCTCATGACCCCTCTCCTCCACGACCACCTTGGAAAACCGTGCGCGACTCGTGACAGTCCATGTCGTGGTCGGTTAGGCTTGACGATCTGGCCCTGACACCAAACTATTGGTCTGGAAGCAGCGAGAGCTTCGGAAATGCCTATTCCTGCCTGCAACCAACACCGCTCTTCTCATACTCGCTCTCCCGCTTCTCGCACAAGTCATGTCTCACTGCTAGAATGTGACCAAAGCAGTATAGCTCTGGACGGAAAAGCCTCGAAACGATAAATCCAGCTGCAATGGTACTTATGTGATGTGACTCGACAGCGGGAGAGGAGGATGGTGAGAGGCTGGGAGGGGGAAAAAGGGTTGGCTGTAAGCAGCCATGCGTCCAGCCAGAACCGTAGTTGCTTCGTAGTAAAGACGTCACATGGCATGCCAACTCACACAAAACGACTTGGCTCTTTTTCTGTTTTGGCCATTCCCTGCGATCAACCAAAAGCAACAGAAGGCGGGTGAAAGTATCCTTCACCGCCTGTACCAAGCGATAAACCTCGTTACACGGCACGTTATACTTCCTTAGTTCTTGTTATACCGTCCTTTATCCCGCGTCTCCTGCTGTCAGGGATCATATCACATGCTCACAGGTTGGGCGGTTACTACATCCCTTATTGTCTCATCGCGAGCCATCTCATGGGGTGATTCGTGCCGGACAACAGGTCTTGATCCTGCACACACGGTTTCTGATCGGGAAATTCGGTCATACATGGTAACATTTCCTGTTGCCCCCCTCCCTTCCAATACAAAGACATACCGATTCCGTGCCGTGAATGTCTCGTTTCTTTCCATCCACCATGTACTTCTGCATACCGGTGTACCCAGTGTTATCTGGTTTTGAATTTAATCTAATGGGCTGGGAAAGGGGGAAGGGGGGCCAAGCGAGGTACTTAGTAGGCATGTAGGTTGGTCTGGGCCGTCCTGCACGTCCACATCAAGTCTACCCGTCTCTCGCCGACACGCATTACATGCCATACAAAAGCGTGGCACAACATTGCAGAACCGGCAATGTCTCTCTGGAGAGAATCGAAATGACATAGATGCATCACATCTATCCAAATTGTTCTGTGCTCTGCAAAAGTTTCCGTTTGTAACTTACATATGTGAGTCGTTATATGTGATGGGTTGTGCGAAGATTGTGTGTGGTGTTATTTGGACGGGTGCGTCTGTATCCAGGTAGTGGCTGCGTGAACTCACCATACAGTCAGTCTGTGTAAGCGCTCAGAGAACGGGACTCGAGAAAAAAAGAAATCCCCAAGATGAAACAAGATCCAGTTGTACCGATCCCAAGCTTCATGCTATCCCTACCGGCAGGACCAAAACCCCCATGTCCTCCTGCCCACCCTAAGGTGAGCCAGTGCCCCCCCCAACAGCGCCAACAGCAGCCTGTGATCTTCATCGTCCTCTTCCCTTGTTTTTAGAGCCTCGGGGTTCTATTCCCGAGATATTCTTGACCTAGCTCCATGTTGAGGCAGACAACACATGCTGCAAGAGATCATCTCTCTTTGGCATAGTATCCCCCTCTCCTTCCTTGAACATACCATGGATCCAGCCTGCGGCAGAATCACTTGCATGAGTGGTCAATATGTGGGGAAAGTCGATACAATTGTGCAGCACAAACCTCGACGACACCTTTTGAAACAATGGTGACTTACGGAAGGAGCGATTAGTTGGACAAAATCCGCCTGCAACTTTCAAGGCAAGATGGAAGGGCTGGCTTGCACGTTTTGGATTTAGGTAAAAACTCTCAAGAGAAATTTGACAAAGGAGAATTGTGCACATGTTGTTCCGCACAATCATGACCAACATGCTGACCCAGCCAAATTGACCAGTAGTCGTCTTCCTCATCATTTATATTCCCTTGCATCCGTCCACTTTACCAACCCCCCCAAAGAAAAATGACCCGTGTGACGGTCTAGTTATTCTGCTGCAGCGACATGGTGTCAATCATATTGAGCAGGCCCTCGGGAGAAAACAACATCCATGCGTTATCCAGCATGGTATTATCTCTGATTCCTCTCTTTTGCTCGAGGTAGGTATCCTTCCAGCCGCCAGCCTTCTCTAGGAAGCCGTGAATCAAAGCGAGGTCGTCAAGGGGAGGGAAAGGCTCTGGTAGTCCGACGACCGAACTGGCGGGCAGGAGGATCCATGCGAACTCCTGGGCATTGACAAGCGGGGAGCTGAAGTCTTCGGTGAAGTCCATCCATGCGCGGTAGAAGCGCTCCTTGTCCCTGCCCGCGGTCATCTGGTCGCACCGATCCCCATACCATACCTTGTCAGTAAACACATTATGGATTATACTTTGCGCAGTGTGTGTGTGTGTGTGTGTGTGTGTGTGTGTTGAATGGGGGAAGACATGGGTGGAACTTACGGAAAAGTCGAGCAAAAAAATAATCTGCTCGAGACGGCTCCTGTCTTGGTCGGTGAGTTGCATGCTGCGGAACTCCGCGGCTCGGGTGCGATCACGGCGGATGGCACGGTAGGCAGCCTGCCACAAAGGAAGGCCGGTGGGCTGAGGATACTCGCCGGCGGTGGGTACGATAGGCTGGCTAGAGTTGGCCATGATAAGCTGCACAGCAGGAGAAGTAGTAGTGATGGTGGCCATGACGCGTGAGTGTGTATATCTTGGACTCGTAAATGGTTGTTCCAGGGGAAGAGATAAAAACAAGGCTTGGTTGATTTGGTGTCTGATATGACCAGAAGAGACAGAGATAGGAAGGCGTGGAGGAAAGTCATAGAGGTAAAGAGAAAGGAAGGAGCTCTCAAGGTCCAGAGAAAGGACACAAGACCTCGATCAAATATAGTAAAAGGTTCCTTCCCATGCTGTATGTGATAGTAAATGCCCTCTTTCTTTTCTCCCAACCCCCCCCCCCCCCCCCTTCGCTCCTCCCTCCCTGAGGGGACCCACTCCCCCTTCCCACGCGGGCTTTCCCTTCTTTCACTTGTTACTTTTTGGTCGTTAGCCAGCGACGGGCCGCTGATCACTAGCTATTCCCTGAATGTGCCTCTGGCTAGGCAATTCACAAAGAGACAGAGCGGGTTAGAGAGAGAGAGAGAGAGTCTAGAGAGGCCTGAGGTCACAATGAAAAAGTACGCTAGCTCCTCTACGTCGAGATGTTTGAGACACGTACGGCTCGAGAAGCATCACACCTCTCCGCTTGTCTTCCACTTGTCTTTTTTCGAATTACCTATCTTAGTATCGTCCACAAGTTATTGTCTGCAAGTTTCACTATAATTTTATATTATTCGCCGCCCACGGGGCCCCAGGAAATGGACGGCTCACGGTCATGAGACATCTTTTTAGGCCTCCCGGGTCGTGAAATATGGTCGGTTTGATCAGGCATGAGGGGCCCTTGATACACTACCTATACTGCACCAGGTACATGACAGGAAAGAAAGTACTCTGCTTTGATTATATGTTTCCAGACTTTCTTTTCTCTCTGTCTGTCTAGCCCAACTCTTCCAACCAAACCCTCGGCCTCCATCACACTTCCTCTTCCTCTGGTGCTTGGGACAACAAGCCATGAACATGCAGAAGAGAAGAAGACAAAGACTGAGAGATGGCCGTGCTTACGGAACTTACTAGTTTCGCATATATTAATATCTCTGCGCCACTATGCTCGAGGTATACATGTGCGTGGTACCAAATGAATCCCTGCGCATATTCTTGTGGCATGCGGCACCTGCACGGGTGGTCGGCCGAACGGTCGAGTTGTATCGCGTGCCCGGGGGCTGCCGGAACACACGAGCTATGTCGAACGATGAAGCAAGCTAGAATCATTACCTCTCCCTCGACTCAACGGAAGAACGCCTCATTTTGCTGATCCGGAGCCATCAAGTTGTGGGTCTCTGATCAGGCGCCCCGTTTTCCGTATTGTCAACTGCTTCTGCAAGAAAAGATCTGTGCACTGACGCTTGATGCTAACATCAAGAGCCCTGGAGGCCCCCCCCCCTGCTCAACCCCACTCGAAGTGAGGGTGGTACTGGAGGAAGAAAAGAAGGAGAAAGAAAAAAAAAAACAATGCAAATCGATAACAAGAGCAATGATCGATTTTCCTTCTTCCTCGGGATTATGCTTCCGTTCTCTAATTATCCTAGGATGTTCTTGTCGTCTTCCCTCTTCTTCCTCTTTTCTTTTGCTCTCTCTGGGTCGTCCCAGCGGCAGCTTGGCAGGGTTTCTATTGCCCCGGTGTGCATGGCCGTCATGTGAGAAACTCCGGTGCCGCTCTGGAGATCGATACGGAATTTTCAATGTTGATCATGATCAAGGACGACGATGACAATGATAATGTTGATGCTGTTCTCAGTCTTGCTGTATCTAAAAGTGGGATGTTGACAATGCTTCTGGAACAATACTTGGATCTCGCTCACTACTAACATGACCTAACATCAACCGCACGAGTGCAACCAAGATACACCACATTCATTCTCGGCCGATCCTGCACAAGGTCCATGCCTTAGAGCTGTTCTCCTAGCCAGAGTCGCAGGCTGCAACGGACTTGATAACCAGGGAGAAGTGCTGCACAGATCATGGAGGACCTTGACAAAACATTACTATACAGCCACTCCTTGCCACTCATCAGTCCTTCAAGGGGTGCTAAGGATTGGCCGTCACCCCCCCCCCCCGGCCCCTCAACAACCTGCTGCACATCCAGACCGTCACATCACCTCCCACTTCTTCTTAACGCTCATGGACTTGCCAGAGCTTCCCCTACCGCCACTTGCCTTCTGGCTTCAACGCGATGGGCCTGGGGTTCGTGCAGACGAGCGACATCTTGAGGGAATTGACCGGACGCTTGATCATGTACTCCCAAGGGACGGGTTCCTCAGATTGTTTGAGGTGGCAAGGCCCTGGTGCAAAAGGTTAGCAGACAAGAGGAAAGAGGGGGGAAAAAAAAAAGAAAAAAAAAGAAAAGACCAAGGTCAGCACCCAAAGAAATACGCAAGGAACCATACAGCATGTGGCTTCGGTAACGGAGATGGACTCGATCTCCTTGGGGCAGAGGTGACCTGTCCGCATGTAGTCGTCGCACCACTCGAGGTTGAGCGTGTAAACATGCCCGCACTCCTCAAACTCCTCCTGCCAAGCAACGTCAAATAAGCTCAAAGTCCAGTCCCGCTCGCACCCTTGTTAACGGGTTGAGGGGGAGAGTGTGTCTTACCTCGATCCACAGACACATTGTGAAAGGGGGGGGGGGGGGGCTTGTGTTCAGACCAAGATGCAGAGAGAAAAAAAACTGTAGATGGAAATTGAAGATGTCACAAGGCCGTTGTGTCTGATCGTACACTCGACATCAGCTGACGGGGTGCGGTGCAATGTCCAGCTTTCAGGGCCTGCACAACATCGGGGAGATAGATGGATGGGGGAGAGAGAGAAACAAGGTGGGTGGCAGCACCCTCTGCTGCAAGTAACGTCCGACCATCCAGATATAAGAGACATGCAGGCACACACACACACACAGAGACACACACACAGAGAGAGAGAGAAAGAGGGAGGGAGAGAGAGAGAGAGAGAGAGAGAACGCCTCCTGTCACATACTACAATCGTTGGAAATTTCTCCGGCTCCCCATCCCGGCGCCGACCGCATATGTGATGATCTACCAAGAAGGTATAGTGCAGCTCGTATGACTCATTTGCGATGTCTTGAAGTAAAAAGCATAAATGACCTCGTAATTTTCCCTCTTCGGGCCATAGTTCTTATCTATTTACTTTTCTTTTATTCTTCTTCACTTGGTCTTGCATTAGTCTCAGGGTCGATCTTTTCGGCACGCGCGCGCCTCGAGAAGAAAAGAGAGAGAGAGAGAGAGAGAGAGAGAGAGAGAGAGAGAGAGAGAGAGAGAGAGAGAGAGAGAGAGAGAGAGAGAGACAGAGACTGAGACTGAGGCGAGATCCACAACGATGGATCTATCAAGGCGTGACAGCAAAACACACTTTGTCAAGGGTGTCTTGTTTCTTTTTTTTTTCTTCTTTCTTCTTCTTCTTTTATTGGAGGGGAATTCTTTTCAAAAAATTTATCTGTTCTGGCGGATGATGGGAACTGGAGGGGGAAGAAAAGGGAAGGAAAAGAAAGGTAGAGAGGAAGAGAGGAAGATGGGGTCTAGAGCGACGGATGTTTCACTCGGAACTTTGTGCTGGCTGAATCCTAGCCCCACTTAAAGATCATCTCTGGCACTCACTCTGCGATCAGAAGGCATGGGGCTCGAGAAGCACTGGACCAGCTTGAACATCAATCAAATGGTTTGATTCTGATGCGAGGTTGGCTACGTTGACTCGATGTGGGGTTCATTTGCCATCTGGCCTGCAGCAAGCAGCAAGCAGCAAGCAGCAAGCAGCACCGCCAGTTCGAACGATGTGGTGCGCAGCAACATTGGCGGGACCCCAGCGTGTTAGCGATCCCTTACAACATTGTCAAAAATACAACACATGAATCGACACGTGGCGAAATAGATAAGATTTCAAGCATGGGCAGAAAGGGAGAGGCCGGGGGGTTGGGTGAGGGGGGGGAGGGGGAATGGAAGGAAGGGAAGAAAAAAAGAAAAAAAAAGAGAAGAAAAAAGAGGGAAACCCTTGTGCGTTCATCTAATTCAGAGAAGGAGAGAAGGAGAGAAAAAAAAGGTGCCTCATCTGGGCTCAAGTTATGTATTCAGTAGGTGATTGTTAGTATGGGCCACTCCTCCACTGAAGCGCTCGAGGGGGGGGCGCGTGTGGTGCTGGAATGAAAGGGTTAGTAGGCTGGTGGGTGGGCATAGTGGGTCACCCTCCCTTCACTACACAGTACAGGAACTCGGAACATGTTGTTGCTATAAATGGGATGTCATCGGGATGATCTGTAATCTGTACTCTGCCAAAAGGAAAAGGATACAGACTGAGGGAAAAGCCTTCTTTGTTGATAGAAAGTCTGCATTTCCATTGCTTTTAGACCATTTCCCCCCCCCCAAGCTTGTACGTGGGGTCATTATGCTGACCACCGGTAGCCTCTTCAAGTAACGGGGTTACAGGAGACTCAATTTCGGCAGATGTTGGGAAAACACCACACAAAGAAAGACCGTCCCAGAGAGAGAGAGAGAGAGAGAGAGAGAGGTGAAAAGAAAGAGGGAGAGAATATACAAAGAAGAAGAAAAAAAAATAAAAGAAAAAAAAGATGATCAGAGAAATCAAACCTAGAAAGAAAACCAGTCATACAAAGGAGCGGCATAATGTGCCCCCCTCCACCCCCCCCTTTGTCTGTTTGTACGGACTTTGGATGCAGAGCTCTTCTAGATGCAGACATCAGCCAGACAAAGCATGAGATGCTGCTACCTTGCTTGAGCACGCGCGATAAGTGGATTTTACAGATTCCAACTCTAATGTTTAAAACATCCCCTCCATGAGGAACCTCTTCGTCTACTCAGACTCTTGTCGTCTGCCTCTTTGCCTAATCACATCACCTATCTATCGATTCCCAACCTCCCAACCTCCCAGGTCATTTTCAGCCCGAAACTCAAAACTCAAAACTACACTCACTCATGGAGTTTTCCGAGAAAACCCCTTTGCCCCTTTTGCCCTCCACTCCCAGTAACACCACCAGGCACAAAACCTACGAGTCATGGACGGTGGTCTCGCAGCACAACCGCCACCTATCTACAGGCCTCGCCCGGCTGGGGCGCTGCCTTCTTGGCCACAACAACCGCCGCCGGCGCACCTCTTCATGCTACGTAGCGACCGTCTACGCAAACCGGCACTTCAGCTCCGACGAGCTCGCCGCCGTCTACAACCAGGAGTGGGCCCTCCACCACCACCCAACTCGTGGTAGCCCCGCGGCCTATAGGCACGAGCTGTGGTGGTGGTGGTGGTGCCGCCGGCTCCTCGGGAGGCTGCCGCGGGACGTGCAGGAAGCGGTCGGCTCGCTCCTCGATCAGCGGACCCGTGAGACGACCGGTCTCGATACACGTTGCGAGTGGAGGCTCGTGGTTCTCAAGGAAGTTGAGACCAGGAGCTATCAGCTCTGGTGCACAGAGTACCGACTGATCATTGAGGGCTGTGAGCGCTAGGCCATAGCTTTTTTTTTTTTGGAGATTTTCCCCTCTCTCTCTCTCTCTCTCTCTCTCTCGCTCTCTCTCTTGTTTTTGACGTGGGTTTGGGGGACGGCGTTGTTTCCCAGGAAAGGGGGTCACGAGCTCGTAGCAAGGTATGGGATGATGGAGCGCAGGAGAAATGGCAAAAGAAGTTTTGTTCAGAGCTTCTTGTGGCTGGCTCTTGTTTCCCCCCCCCAATGAGCCACTGAATGTGTGTGTATACACTATATACCTCTGTATGCCTGGGGGACATGACGTATACGGTTTTTCTTTTCTTTTCTTTTCTTTTTTGTTTCCTTTCTTTCTTTCTTGTCTCTTTTGTCCTTTGCCCCCCCCCCCCCCCCTCTAGTTGTCCAGCGGTGAGACATTCGGGTCCCAGCAGACAGGCTTGTACTCGGTCGACTGAAGTTCCTTGACCTCGTCGGGGGTCAACTCGAAGGAATACACCTCGGTATTCTGCTTGATACGGGCGGGCGTGACGCTCTCTGTTGTCCGGGTCATTCAAAATTAGCCACACCTCTCTCTACCACACTCTCGCACACACACACACACACACACACACACACACACAAAAGACGGTGGAAAAGAGACAAAAAGGAAAAGGGGGAAAACTTACTGGGCAAGGGGACGTAGCCCTTTTGCAAACTCCAGCGGATCAGGATCTGGGCCTCGGTGACGGCATACTTGTCCGCCAGCTTCTTGAGGACGGGCTCCCCCCACCTCTCGCCGCGCACAAGAGGGGAGTAGGCCTCGACGGCGACACCCCGGGCGCGGCACCAGGCGGCGATATCCTCGCGGGCGCACCAGGGGTGGATCTCCCACTGGCCCACGGACAGGACGCCGCCTTTGCCGGGCCCGCCGCGCTCGGCCTCGAGCTCCTTGATGTGGGTGTCGAGCTCGTCCAGGTGGTGGACGCCGTAGTTGGACACGCCGATGCTGCGGACGGTGCCCTCCTCGACGCACTCCACCAATCCCTTCCAGGCGGCCTTGCGAGCGGCCGACCCGCCGTAGGGGGCGTGCAGGAGCATCAGGTCCACGTACTCTAGGCCCGTGAGCGCAAGCGTCTTTGCGACCTGGGCCTTGGCATTCTCGTACGACAGCGACCGGCCGGGCACCTTGGAGGTGAAGAAGATCTGGTCGCGGGGGATGGTGTCGGCAATCTTTCGGATGGCGGCACCGCAGCCCGCCTCGTTCTTGTACACAGCCGCACAGTCGATCTGCGAAAGGCGGGAAGAGGGGGGTTGTCAGTCGCTTGGAGCAGGGGGGGCTGGCTGGATGAAGGTGGCTTGCTCGCCAGTTGAAGAAAAGGGGGGGGGGAGGAAAAGGACGCACGTGTCGGTAGCCAATGTTCATGGCCTCGATACAGACGTCCTCAGCAACATCTTCGGGACTAAATATCATAGGCAAAAGAATCGATTAGCTTGGCCATGGCAACGATGGGAGACATGAATAGAGAAAGAGAGAAAAAGGGAGGAAGAAGAAGAAGAAGAAGCTCCTCTCCTTCGTCTTGTTATATCGTACTCACGTCTGCCAGACCTATATATTTGATTACACAAACACCCCAGCCGGTCAGCGTCAAACTTGTTCCCTCCAATGAAGCGGGGGGAAAAAGGGAATCTATCTTGCTTACACCAAATCCCAGAAGGGGGATCTCGTGGCCGCTGTTCAGCTTGATCTTGGTCTCGAGGCTGAGTGCGGAAGCCATAGTGTCGCTCGTTGCTGAATGATGGAGATGTGCACGGGAGGATTTGAAGACGAGACAGCCATGTCAAGGGAGGAAGAGGGCAAACCAAAGATTATTATAAATCCAAGGTCGTTGTGGTGAATAAGAGCCACTCCACCGGGTCAAGTTGCCGGTAACCGGAGGGAATAATTGTACGGGCTGATTGGATTTGCACTGAGCCGGGCCGGTTTCTCGTCTTTTGCAGCCACTCACTCACTGCCTGAATTTGTTGTTTGATAAGTAGAATAGATGGGGTCCCCTTTTTCTTTCTTTCTTTCTTTCTTTTTTCTTTTCTTTCTTTTTTTCCTTTTCTTTTCTGGTTCACTTTATGAGGAGAAAAACCCTATGGGGGATCTTGTTTGGCCTTGTTATTTGACACGGACAGCCTCCCCCCCCCCCCCCACCTGCACATGGCGCGTCTCCCCCCCCCTGCTCACCCAGCTTACCTGAGTGCGGGGTAAAGTACTTGGGGAATAGGCCTGTGCTATAGGGGATCACGTGGGTATGTGAGGTAACTAGCTGAGCCGCTGCCATCCATCACTTGCTGCTGTTGCTGTTGTCGTCCCTGCTGCGACCACTGCCACATCACACTCAGCAGCACAATACATGCAAAGCAGCCGTCACCTTCTATTGATTCCACTTGTCGATGCTTTCTTCTTCTTCTTCTTCTTCTTCATGACTGGGGTCATGTGAGGGCATCGTCATGACCTCCCCCCCCCCCCTCTCTAGGTCTATACTTTCACCATCACACATTCTTCTCTTCTCTCGACAACAACCATGCTGCCATCCACCAGCACAAGGATTGTAGGCAAGTGTCAAAGAACAAGATGTGGGACACTCCCCCTTTTCAGCTTACTCAAGTCAAGTTCTCCAGTGAGGCTGTCCAGCAGCCTGACACACAGCATCTCCCGAGGCCCCGATGAACCTCCCCTGCTTGCGGAAACCATCCCAGAGAACCTCAAGAGGGTTGTCTCCCATTACGGTGACCATCCTGCAGTGATTGCGAGGACGGCGGCCAACAATGACAACAGGACCAGCGCGACCTTGACAACAAGAGAGACGTCTCTCAGCTATGCGGCGCTGGACGCAGACTCGAGCGCCCTCGCCGTGTCCCTGCAAGCACTTGGGGTGAAGAAGGGCGACAGGGTGGCCGTCAGCCTGGGGAACACGATCGAGCACGCGACGCTGAGCTATGCCATCTTCAAGCTGGGAGCCGTTCTGGTGCCCCTGAACCCGTCCTTCAACGCGTCCCAGGTCGGCGCCGCCCTCTCGCACCTGGGCGTCCAAGTCTTGGTCATCGGTGCCGTCTCGGACCGGGCGTACAGGCCGTGCCAGGGGCGGGACAACCTTGCGCTGCTGCAGGCCTTGGTGCCAGACCTGGCGTCGGGTACAGTCGAGAGCCCCCAGGTGCCGACGCTGCGGAGGATCGTGGTGCTGGACAATACGGATGGCCATGCGGCCTCGGTCTTGAGGGTCCAGGAACACGCCTCGCTGACGCCTTACTCGGCGCTGGTGGGCGGTTCGTCTTCTTCCTCCTTGGGCTCAGCCAGCCGGCCAGTCGTGGCCGTCGTCCCGGATGCGCCGCTCCACCCAGACGATACCGTCAACATCCAGTTCACGTCCGGCACGACCTCGCATCCCAAGGCGGCCATGCTCACCCACACCAATATTCTGAACAATGGCTACCTGATCGGCAGGCGCATGGGTCTGGTCCCTGGTGACCGCATCGTCTGTCCGCCCCCGCTGTTCCACTGTTTCGGCAGCGTCCTCGGCTTCATGGCCACGGCGACCTCTGGCGCGGCCATCCTGTTCCCCTCGCCTGCGTTTGACCCCGTGGCCAGCCTGCGCATGGCCCTGGACCACCGCGCCACGGGCCTGTACGGGGTGGCCACAATGTTTGTGTCCATGCTGGAGCTGCTCGAGGACCACCACCACGCCGGTGTGTTCACGGCAGACGAGGCGCGGCAGCTTCCCCAACATCTAAGCAAGGGTATTGCCGGCGGATCATCGATGCCTGAGTCACTCATGCGCAGATTGTACGGAAAGCTGGGCCTCGAGGAGCTCGTCATTTGTTATGGTATGACGGAGACGAGCCCCGTGTCGTGCATGACCGCGCCGACAGACCCGCTGCACAAGAGGACAGGCAGCGTGGGCAAGGTGATGCCACACACGACGGTCAAGATCGTGGACCCGGGCGACAGGCGCAGGGTGATGCCCATCGGGCAGCGCGGGGAGCTGGCGGCGAGCGGGTACCTCGTCATGCAGGGCTACTGGGCTGCCGAGGACAAGACAGAGGAAGTGCGCATCTTTGAGCCTCATGATGATGATGATGATGAGCACGAGGAGGAGGAGGAGGAGAAGGAGGAGGAGGAGAAGGAGGAGGAGGAGAAGGAGGAGGAGGAGAAGGAGGAGGAGGAGAAGGAGGAGGAGGAGAAGGAGGAGGAGGAGAAGGATGGGCAACGACGAGGTCGGTGGTGGCTGTATAGCGGGGATGAGGCCAGCATGTCAGAAGATGGCTATGTCAGCATCACGGGCCGCCTGAAAGACTTGATCATCCGGGGCGGCGAGAACATCCACCCGCTCGAGATTGAGAACGTTCTCTTCCAACACCCGCTCATTGCAGAAGCCTCCGTGGTCGGCGTTCCCGATGCCAAGCTGGGCGAGACCGTGTGTGCTTTCATTATCCCGCATGCAGGTGTGGTCACGAAAGAGGAGGACGACGAGGACGAGGACGGCGAGGGCGAGGAGAACAGCCAGCCCGGCCCACCACCACCACCACCACCGCCGCTCACCACCACCACCACCACCCTGTGCAAGGAACAAGTACGTTCTTGGGTGCGCTCTCAGCTGAGCGGGCACTTGGTGCCACGGTACATTTTCTGGATCGACGAGTATCCCAAAACCGCGAGCGGTAAGATCCAAAAGTTCAAGCTGCGCGGTGCCGCCATAGATATGATTCAGGAGGTGCACAAGGGCAACTAAACTATCAGGCACAACCTCAGCGCCGGCTGATCGAATTTGCCGTCCAACGTCCTGCATCTTGTGTGCCGTTACAACCTAATTTTTTCTGCAGATTTTCGGTAGCAGAAACTGGAAGAAGACTAGCATAAATCTTGAAGATATTGCATTCATAACTACAGTCCTAACAACCTCCATATAGCTAGCATGTTAGTCATGCTTGTGAAAATTAGCAAACTGAACTATATATCTGATTTTGATCAATACCACCCACTAATTTCGCTATGACATCGAATTCAGATACTCGAAAAACATCGAGCGAATCGATGCGGAGGAAGCGGTAGTATAGCACCGTTAGTAATGTTACACGGATAGGGTGCGCCTAGCACAATGGCATCCGAGTTAGGCGCCGGGGCAAATTGGCACCATCTCAGCAACGATGAGTTGGCAACGATCCTTCGTGAACACGTCGACCAATGTGCAGGAGTCTGGAACAGTTGGGCATCAAGGCATCACTACCAATGTAACCCTCGCCGTCTATAAGAAGGCGAGGCCAGGATGACCTGACTGAAGGAAGGGAGAAGGAAACCTCAAGCACTCCTTAGACTCCCTTAGCAATTATTGTTAAAACCGAAGTTACTTCCAAGCCCTCTACTAGAGCCCTTGTAACAGGTAAGCAGCCCCATGATTCGCATTTATTGAGAGAGGAGACAAACCGGCCGAGATTTTCGTGAGCTAAAATGGTGCTCGCGCATGCTATCAGTCCTAGCTCTACCTTAAATAAAGTGGTGCCACTTCTTTTCCTCGTCCATTCACGATCCATACAGCCGGCTCCGGCTCGTAGCGGCGTTGGTGGCAAGGGTGGAATACTTTGTGTCTCTGAGTCGATTGGTGTAGAAGTGATTTCATTGTCTTCTGACAATGCCCCTAACGAGGCCCTCCTGCCATAGTTAGCTAAGTGTCTATGACGGAGAGGCTTAGAGTAAGCAAGAGAGAGCATATACGGGCTATGTCCTTTACTTCTCCGAGAATACTACTGCTCATCAACCCGTCTTTTGCCCCACCCTGACCAAACGATGAATCCTCCCAATACCCATCAATGTGTTTCCATCGATCTACAGTATCTAGTGATGCTTGTGTTGCTTTTCCTTGTTGTAATATATGATAGCTGCATAGAATGAAGTCATGAGATGCAATCAGTCATGATTCGTGAGCCAGACTGCTGATTACCCCACCAACGACTTTATCCTGCTGACCGGCCGAGCTGTTTCAGCTGCTTGAACGGTGCTAGAAGCTGATCTACCACTCTTTCAGCTGATATAGGATTAGTAACAGAAAAGGATTCCTTACAAGGATTACATCAAATGACCCATAGTGTGGGATTAGATCAAGAAAATACAGATACAGCTTGTAGAGCATCGAGAAGGCAGAACAATGCGAATTTTGTAGACATAAATCCCAGCATGTAACTAAGACTCTTGATGTTCAATACACTCCCTCATAGGAGCATAGGAGGTACCCTGGTCCCAATCAACCCATGTCCAGACCTCCATCTGAACGAAGTCTTCTCCCTCTCGGACTAGGTGGTCGAGGAACCTGTGAGTTCGTCTCCCAGGGATGCTTTCAACATCGTAGAATGGAAGACAGATAGTTCCAGGCAGATGTCGGGCATTACTATCCTGACGAAATGTGTCCCGACGAAAAGATGCAAATCTATAAAGATCCGCAGCTAATGCATTTTCCCAGCTGAGTACAATATGGCTCAATCTGCACAGATACAAAGTATCCGATGCAACTCTGGTGCTCTCCAAACATGACCAAACAGGCGTATAATGTACTAAAATCTGTTACCAGAGGTCTTGGTTTTTGAACTTCTAAGCACTCACCAGATGCATCCCATTCAATCACCACAGGCGGGCAAGGAAATGTCTCGACAGGTGCCTCGACAGGTGCCTCGACAGGTAGGAGAGGAGGCGACTCCGAGGATTGTGCGCTCCTAGGACGCATGTCGAACCAATGGATAGAGAATTCTGAAGTTTTCCTAGGTGACGAAAGTATGGAGCACAGCTTGAGGGCAAAAAATTGCAGCATGGGAAGAGCCAATTGTTGTTGGTTTATTGACTGAAGGCTCCTAAAACCCACCCCCCAACCCCCGCCCCCCGCTTTCACGCTAATTCCTGGCCTGCACCGAGTATTTTTTCTTTTGCAGATGCGATCTTGGTAGTCTACCGGAATGTCTCAGGTGAGGCAGCGGGAGATCATCTCCACTACTTAATTCCAATCTTGCTTGGTTGCATGCATTTAAAACCATCTGGCGCCAAGGTAGCAGGGTGTGGGTGTGAAGGTATTAGATATAGCTCTTCAGTTATCAATCTAAGTATTTATTTATTATATACTTGAATAGCTCCAAAAGCGAATGAAAGCATTTGCACGGATTACTTGTTATATTTCCGTATTCAGTGATTGCTACTTTAATACCGCTCTTGTTAGCATAAACCCTTTGTATACTTTAGGATCTTCGGATACTGCAGTGCATCATTACACATATCAAGAGCTTAATTTAAATAAATTATATAAGTTAGCTAAGTAGGATATATATATCAGCTAAGTATATTATATATGCTAGCTAAATAGGTTGTATATATTAGTATATAAGTCGGCGCCCCACTTTTGTTAACTACGGATGCCACGGTTGTGTGAGTACAGATTTCCTAAAGACTTTCATATGTTAAGAGGAATTAGGAAAGGCAGGATTGCGAGAAGGGAGTTCGATCACTATTCTGCCCCGCCCCGGATCTTGCTTTAGCCATTATGTGGCGCGAAGGACGGCTCGTAATAGATGGCCACTACACCAGCACAGACGGCACCCAAGGCAAATATGAAAAGAAGAAAAAAAGGCATATCGCTTCTTAGGTTGTTCCTTGTTTTGTATTAACGGTTCTGCGCTCTAACTGCGGCCCGCGCAAGCTCTCTTCTCCTCCAACCAGCCCACTCGTCGAGGTATGCAAGGCAGCGCTCCCTCTCCCGCACGCAAGCCTGCCGGAAATCCCGCTCTGCTTTCTCGTCCGTGACGGGACCTGACCTCCTCGCTCGACGGGTAAATCGTCCTTTGGTTATAGCCCGTTCAAGATCCAAGAGACGCATACCGGACGGGCCGTTATCGTTATAGCGAAGCACAAAGTTGCGCGGCTCTGCGTCGCAGTGCAACATGCCCCTCCCGTGCACTTGTTTAAGCACAACCTCCATAGACTCCTTCCATCGCTCGGTCTCCGTGACTACTATATCACGGCATTGTAGTAAGGACGTCCCGGCCCAGCTGAGCAGGAGGAAAGCTGGGAAGTCCCTCGCGAAGCGAAAAGGTGGCCTGGGACGATCGCGTGGAAGGTCTACCAAGCCAGCACAGACTGGTATCGCATTGCCTTGCAAGTCACGTAGCTTCCGATAGACTCGTTCCTCATATTTGAGGCGTTGTACCGCATCCGAAGTCCTACCAGCTTTCGCGATGAGAACATACCCCCCAGGTTGAATCCGAACTTTGAAAAGAGCCGAGGCCGCGCCGTACTGATCTGCGTACGTAGCATTCTCGGTGCTCCTTTGCAAAAGGATCGGGGCCTCCTCTGTATTATCGTAGTCGTAGTTATACATGGGGAGTTGAATGCTGGAGCGCGCAAGGGACCGTAGGTCGAGGGTCTGGGCATGCAGCTGATGTAGCGGCCAATTTGGACATGAGGGGTCTTGAGGTTGGTACGTAGTAGACGGCTCGGCGCGGTGAGCGAGTGAGAGGATGCAGCGGGATGTACAGAACGGTACAGCATCCATGGAACTGTGAGCCACGGACTGCTCTATTTCGGGTGGCGGCGTAAGACAGGGGGGACTTGGATGAGCAACTGATACTATTGACAGTCGGGGCCGTTTGGTGGGGCGGTTGTCATCCTCGTCATGCTCCGAGGACACGCGCTTGTGTGTATTCTGTTTATGCTGTCCCGTCCACACTTGGTCACCTGAGCTTTTCGTAATAGCGCTTGTTGTGGACTGTAAGGTTTTGGACTCGAGTGACTGTTCTCGCACCCGCGCGTCCCGCCAGACCAGGGCCGACTCAGCAGTTGTAGCTTCCTGATGTTCGGCTTCTGTTAGGTAGCTTGCCGAGAATAAAGATAGTAGAGCTAGACAGATCAGGCGTGAGAGCGGGGTGGCCGCCAGCGATGCTATATCTTCCCGCTCATGAACGGGGTGTTCCGGCTGCGGGGCCGACGGTGGCAAGGCCAAGTATTCGATAATCTTCGGGGAGGAGGGCGAGATGCGCAGCAGGACGTAGCTCTGGCCAGTTGTAATATAGCCATAGCGTCGCTTGCTATTAACCAGCGAGCTATAGATCTGCGTAGCGACAGCTGCGAGCCACCTCTGATCTTCCTCGAAATTGTTCTGTTGGTTTCGCTCGGCGGATTGCATGAACTGTATTGTGTCGATCGTCGGATTGCCCCCTAGAGCGCTATAGATCAGGGTGCGGGTAAGCTTGTGGGGCGCTTTGGCCTCGCCGATGAGCAGAAGGCGCCTGGAGGGCGGGGAGGAGCTCGAGACGAAGGAGCAGTAGTAGTCGCCAGGACCGGACTTGAGGTTGATCTTATTCTCCTACACCTCTTGTCAGCGACCTGCAGGAGGAGGCCAATTCTCGAAGGCCCTTGGCTGGGCCACGCGACCAAGCTATAGGTCACTCACCGAGTTGATCCTGACGACGGGCTGAATGCTGGCCTGGCTAAGACTGGGGCTGGGAGTGTCTGTGATAACATTGATCTCGTCCTCGGTGACCTCGGGCCCGTGATCACCTGTGTCTGTTGGGTCCGTCGATTTGGAATCCGACCTTTTCCTCTTGTGGCCGGCGATGTGGGCGGGAACCGTGATGGTCCTGTGGTGCGGGGAGAACATGAACTCGCCCGGTACATCCTGGCTATCCATCGGCGCCAAATCTGTCCTGTATCCTCGGCGATGTAGGATCGGCGTCACAGCTGCGCGTATAGCGGACCGGCGAAGAGCTGCATCGAGAATCTTGTTTGCTGGTTTGTAAAGGGTATCGACGTCGAAGAGATGAACAGCGGCCTCGCTGTTGATGACTGACAGCGCTTGGCCCGTCTCGCTGACATGGAGGCGGCTAGGGAATGTTTCTTGGGTATGACCACCTTCGGCGTCTTCGAGCACAGTAAGGAGGCAATTGAAGATGTCGTCGAGTACGTCGGAGCCATCCTTCCACGGCGCCAGACGAGCCGGGGCAAGGCGCCCTTCGGGATCGGTGATGGCTCCTTGGGTTGTGGTCGCAGGGTCTCGATCGATCTCGATGTATTCGGACGCCATATTGGCGTAGGACGCGAGAAAGGCCCGGAGGTCCTGGCGGGCGCAATCGCTGCTCGGGTGGTCCATTTTGTCATGATAGGGTGGTTGTCGTCATGACGTTTCGAGAATGAGGTGCGATGTGAAACAGCGCAATTGGCCTATTGTTGTTGACGCCATCGCCAGTCGATAAAACTAGCTATTTCCGTCCGGTTCGGACTAATATAAATCCGGGCCCCTAATAGAGATTATCGGCCGGAGCCTTGCTGTTATGACCCATCCAGCATGCAGGTCACGAAACAGGCCCCGCCAACAAGGAACCAAGCATTGCAGCCCAACACGTGAACAAACCAACCAGGATTAGATAACCCAGGGTTAGGGTTACAAGCAATTATGTAGCCTTAGCACATAGGCAACATAGGCAGCATGACTATGTAGCCTCAGCACATAGGCAACATAGGTAGTATGACTATGTAGCTTCATGTAATGATGCACTGCAGTATCCGAAGATTCTAAAGTATACAAAGGGTTTATGCTAACAAGAGCGGTATCAAAGTAAGAAGCTGCTCGCCACGCATGTCACGGAATTCGCAGCATCAAGCAGGTTCTGGTGCTTTTTTCCGGAACAGGAATTAGGAAGAGAACCACTTTGATCTGATCAATATTGCAACTCAGTATATAATAATAAGCCCTACTAAACCGGATATCTCTACATCTTTACGAGGTCCTCCTTGGCTAAGACGAAGATCCCCACTCGCTCTACTTCTTTATCCACCTGAGCCACAACTACTCCAAGATCCTGATACCCAAGTTTATTGTAAAGGCACTTGCCCATTGGGCTAGCTGTGACAGTTAGGGTCCAACCACCCCGCTTGATAGCTTCCTCCTTGCCCCAATTGCATAGTATAGTGCCAGCCCCACGGTAGCGGAAGTCTGGATGAACAATGAGCCACTCCAGCCTTAGCTGCTTGCTCCCATACTTGTTGAAATATTTAGAATATGTTTCAGACATTCTTTTAGAATATTCTTTCATATGCGCTGGATCAGCATCCCGCCGCTTCTCAATGCCATGATCTAATAGAACCGATCAGCTGCTAGCCTCATGTAAAAAGCAAGGCAGTGCAGTACATACCTCCAATATTCGACTTGATACACATATCTATATCCCAGATACTATATGCAATTGTTTTATTAGACAATCTTGCAATAAGAACTGAATACTTTTCTGGCTGTTGCATATATGTGTCGAGATCCTTCCCTGTCCACTCATCAAAGTCCTCTGGGAACTCAACACGATTCGGAAACTTGTAGGCACAGCCAGGATCATCTGGGAAGCCACTTCTGATGACTTCAATGATATCCTGCCGGTCTTCCTTCGTAGCCTTGCGGATTTCGATGTCCCTCGATTGTACCTCTACATTACAGACTTTTAGGTCCATAGTAGCGGCTGCGAGTGACTGTGAATAGGAATGGTTTTGAGTTTGATAGAGAAGTAGTAGTATTGTGGGAAAGCAGGGCTTTGATAGGGGGATGAGAAAAGGAGAGGGTGGGGGAACAGGAAAGAAAAGGTGAAATGACATGGACGGGCGATGATCTTTGAATTTGACCTTCTTGGCTTCTGCCTTGTCCTCAAGCTTAGTCAGTTCTTCGGTATTATCGGATACTGTCAATAGTGCATCCTCCTCAAAGCCGAACCACGATTCCGCTTAGCTAGCACGCACTTGCAGTAGGCAGGTTTTCCCTGACGTTCCTTTCGTAGCTTCTCCACTCACGTATTCTGTATAACTTAGCTTGCTATACTGCTTTCGTAATAGCTTCACCGCTAGACATCAACTTGGATAAATGTAAGCTACTTTAGTGCTTATTACAAAGTGATCTGTCATGGTGAAACGAAATGAGCCGAATTCCTCACAAAGCTCCCTTTCAACTTTAGATCATAGTCGTGCTGCATAATGAGCTATGGTAGGTCATGATACAGTGTGGTGCTCTGCAACTAGGGAGCGCCTCCCGATAGTCCGTTCTCAACCTTGCAGATATCAGTGACATGCTGGATGCTACATAGCTGAGAGGGATGCCGAAGCTCCTTATTTCCATATGTGCATGGAGTCTTGTATCCAGGCAATGAAGGAATCCGAGTACGCCTGTCTGGGCTGGTACATGTACAGTGTATTTTTGGGCTTAGCGCATGCGGACAGTCCTGCATCTATTTGCCTCGTCTCATCAAGCAAGCATGGATGTTTCTTTCTGGTTGCATGGTGAAGCAATCGGTCTTGTCTACATAGGCATTCAATACAGGCATCTGACTATGCTGATCTCACTTCTTAGGTTCAGTCATCAGTGCTATCGGGAAAGTGGACTAAAAACAGACTAGAAGCTCCTAGGGGCACATCTATTGACACTTGAGCCCCTACTCCATCACACCATACATGGACTCCTTTCTATGCCGGAGATTGCCTTCCCCTTCCCGATATCTGCGTCTTCCGCAGAATCCAACCTACTTCACAGGGGATCTCCGTAGCTATTTCATCGCTTGAGCCAGACTGCTCTTTAACAGTGTTTGCTGGAGCTTTCCGCGTTATATGATACTCTTTTTGTGACTACGCGATCAAGAATGCTAGACAGGTCAGCGAGATTGTTGAGAGGGTACCGTCATAACGGCGGAAAAATATGTTTTCTTTGCTCCAGATCTTTTCTGTGCAGTCATATATGTTATCCTCAAACTTTTATGTTTCTGGTCGAAGTACTGGATACTCTTTCGAACACCATCATACCTCTTTCTCATTTCCTTACTTCTTCTAAGCCAAGCTGCTAACTGCGCAGTGCCTGTCTTTTGGGTAGAAATAGGGCTGTTTCTTGAGACGGCTATCTTTGAGCAAGCTCTGTCTGTATTGAAAAGCTCTGGAGAGTCATAAGATTCGATTGAAGCAGCTACCAAAGCTAATCGCAAATCCTCATCACTCCTGCAAATCTGTCAGCATCTCCTCGACCTTCTTTTTGATCAGTTACCAGCGACTTTTCTGGCATTCTTCAAATCAGGTTGTAGCTGGCTCTTTGCTAGCGCAGCTTCAGCAGCAATGTTGATAATCCCTTTCATTCTACAATATATTTCGAGGAACTCGGTCTCCGCCGTCTTAACCGACCGCCGACGCAAGGAGAACAAAATGTACGCTGCCTATCTGTGACGAAAAACTCTAGCTGACCATATTACCCATAATAGTACCACAGAAAGCCTTGATAATCCGGAACTGATCTTCTTATCTTACAGTAAAAGCCTTCAAGCCTTGGTCCAGGCACATTTCCTGCGCCGATTGGGTATTGCAGGTGTTTTCGCCCTCGTTATCTTGATCGCGAACCCATCCGAGCCGCAATATTTCATGATCATTCTCCCCCGGATCCTTCCACACTGACGAGAAACTGATCAAACTTCGGAAAGTTTCGGTAGATGCTACGTCTGCATGGAACCTTCTTCAAGAACGGACGCCTTGGTCTGCCCATGATCTACAAACAGCGATCAGCCCTTCTACTTGCCTAAGCCAGGACCGCTTTCAGCCTGAAAGAACAACTACAGAGGTGAAGATGCCCATGAACTTCCTGATACAAGTTTTACGAGCCTTGAAGATTTGGATATATGGCGCAATGTACAAATACAAGACCGGGAACTCATCCAGGATGGACTTGAAAATCGGTGGATATTATGGTACTATTGGAAGCTGAATTGCCTCTGCTTCAGCTGATCTATGCTTAAGAAACCAGAATTCATCCCTTCCTTCCCTCGCTATATTTCAGGCATATTTAGATAGCTCGTTTCTCTCACATCTGGGACTTAGTCTGTCACTCTACTCTTAGCTAAAGGTTGGGGATTTATTCGAGTGAGCTTCATATGAATATGATTCTTTTTTTCAAATTTCTATCTTCAGTATTATAGCTATCTGAACACTTCCCGAAAATGATAGTGACACATTTGCTCAGTCTCTAGCTTTGTGTAATTCTTTACTATATCAAGCAGGCAGTATACTCTGGGAAACTCTGATTGACCTGTAGCCAGATTTCAGTTAATGCAACCGATATGCTTGAACTAGGCTGTGCCATAAGATATCTCCTCCTTAATGACTTTTTTATATTGTATTAAAGCCTCGTTCGCTAGGCTAGTGACTAGGAATTATTACTTCTTATAAATTGCCAAGTTTTTCGAAAGTAGATAAACACCAGAAAAGGCTTCTCCTGGAAGGTACGCGTAAGCATATCTAATATGTTTTCACTATAGACGCCACTACAGACACAAGAGAGCGCACTGTTTTCTCAAAGTTGTCGATATTAGCAGAGAGGTTAGATTATCAGGAGCACTGAGCGGGTCAGTTAGCTATATCAAGACGTAATTATGTGGTTGCAGCATCGATTCACAAGGACAGCTGCCTCTCCTTAAATCGAGCTCAAGATATGCAGTAACTATGCTGCCTGCAACCGGCTTAGCTCGGCAGCTTTCCGAGCAACCTGGCGTATTCGAGAGGTTGTATGTTTACATGCAAGGGATTATTGAGGGGACGTGAACGCAAGGAGCCTGAACAGTTATCTGTTTCTATGCGTTCTCGTCTTTCATCAGATTCATGCAGCTGCTCTGACCCCAAATGGACAGCATCACATCGATGTCCTTGACGGCTGAGTCGACGTTCTCGCAGCACTCCAGATATTAGGTTGAGATGCAAAAGAGCTAGGACAAGGTATGAATCAAGGCTAGCATATGAAAAAGTTTATTCTTTCTCTAACCTCGCTAGATATGTATGAAGATCATATTGCATACTCTACCTAAAGTACTTCTAGAAAAAAGCGAGGCGTGAGCAGCCCGAATCCTCATTTGCTTTTATGCCAGTGATATGCATCACCGAGTCACTATAAAAGCCGGTTCTGTACGACAAACTTCAGGCCTGGCTCAACCTTGAACACCCCTGACGGGCGAATTTCGAACATGGGCTGCCTCTCGATAAACACGTACAACTTGCCACTCGCGAGCGAGCATTGCCACACGTAAGCCTTCGAAGCCTCCGAAGCCTCAAGCTCGAGCTCGAGCTTGAGCCCAGACTTGATAGTCACCTCAAAGGTCACACCAGAGGTGATATCAGGCGGCTCTTCGAGAAACGACTGTGGGAAAGCTATGTCGTCAACTCCCTCGCTCACCCCGCGGATGCAACCAGACTTCATCTTCCCGTCCTGGATTCCGGCATGCTTCTTGTACTGCTGGCGCTTGCTAGCAATTCGGGTATGATACAGCGGAAGGTATTGTGCTGCCCCTGCTGCTTCTCGGACGGGCCTATGGGTGGGCATGCTAAGTGAAACTCGGCAGACCCTGCTGCAGCGGAGATGGGGTGTCATCGTGTAGGAGGGTGTCGCGCCTATGCGGTGGTCTGGTCCTATGTATGCTGGGTCGGCTATAGGGGGCGAGTGGTTGTGTCTGCCGAGTTTCGCTGCCTCGTAGGCATCTGAGCACATTGGCGCCTGGGCATACGGGGCCGGGGGAGTTGTCATGGACATCACGGCCTGGTAAATCCGAGGGTTTTCCTCGTCAATGGGACTCGGAAAGTCTGGAGCGTTATTAGACGAAGACGTTGCCGCTACGTATGCGGCCCTTCTCTGTTGGATTCGGCCGGCAGGTGGTGTACTTGAGAGTGCTGGTGAAGCAGGCTTCAAAGATCTTAAGCGCATCGAGGGTCCACGTAAATGAGCCCTGCCAGGCTGGAGTGAACGTATTGCCTGAGGGGGTCAAAGTTGAAGTAGACAGTAGAGGCTATGAGTCTGTAGTAGTATGAAGTCTAGTAGTGAAGAGCTATATATAATAGTCTATCTACTGACGGTAAGTCGGAGGGGGTATCCTCCGGCCACCGTAACTTCCGGCCACCCCGGCCCGCTACACCAACCACTCATATATATATTATCTTATATACATTCCTCTTCTTATACACCCACCACGATGCATTCCTTCTCATCAGTAGGTAATTCGATGCTGCTCTCTTCATCTAGACTGTCGCCATCTCTATTGGCCGCATTTCGAGCCCTCTGTATATTCTTAATGTCTGCGAACCTCGAGTTTGGGCTCAAATCTACCTTCCTTCTTTTAGTAAGCTTTTTAGCTTCTATTTGCCTTTCCAGAATTCATTTCTTTCCAGAGCTTTTGCAAACTCAAGATCTTGCTTATCAAATACCTTTTTTATTTTCCTAAAGAGTATACATTGCAGTAGCTGAGACGAAAGTTGGTGCTAATTCTTCTATAGCTAATAGTATAGCTGTTTAGCCTTTCAAGGAGTTGAAAAGATAGCTGGCTAGCTTGAGAAGGCTTTTGTAGTATGCTGGGCTGCTGTTAATGCTGTTAAGCCTGAATTTGGCTAGCTCTGAATGTATTGAGAAGTATTCTCAAGGAGGAGAGAGCTTAAGAGTAGCTTGGAGAGTCTAACAAGCTATAAGCTAGTAGCACTCTATTCAGACTTGATATTTCAGCTCGAGAAACTCTCTATACTGAATCAGAACTAGGGCGCCATCGCCCTCGAGAAAAGGAACGAACAGCTGCCGAAGCAATGGGCAAGGGCTCGTGCAACCCAAGCGTGCCTGTACAGATGAGGACAGCAAACTAAGGCCACACGGGCACAAGAACAGGGTGAAAAACCTGTCTTAGACCTGTCCAAAGGGTTCAAAATTGAAAGAAGAGAAAGGATGCTTGATTGTTGCCTATAGCTAAAGAATTTGAAAAGTGGGTGGTATTCTTTATATGTGTGAGGACTCTTAAACCACTGTACTCCATGTCCTACGGACTGCCACCCTGGCCACCACGACAATACGAGCTTTATAATAGTTCTTGAGGAATAAATGCTTGCTAAAGACTATTGAATTCTCTTATTAGCTGATATAACTAACTTTTCGTTTGTATGCTTTCTTAAGAGATGAGAAGATTCTTAGATCGAAAGGTTGAAGTATATGAGAAGTATGAGAAGGCAAGTAAATCAACAGAATATTGTTTTAATAGTATTGCTACATAAATTCATTAGTTATATAGCTGCTGTAGCTATTCAGAACTAATAATCTGGTTTCTAAGGGGTTTGCTAACTGGTTGCTTGGGATGAAGATTTTTTTCAGCTATTCAAGTGCTATAGCATTATCAGTTTATCCGTTTGTTGTTGCTATAAACTGCTAGCTATTGAAATACTCCAAGAGGAGAGGAAACTACTGTTGTTGTACTGTTTTCTTCTTGAAGATTACTAGAGGGAAGAAGCAAGCATCTGTAGCAGAAATATACTCGAGGAAAGAAGTTCAGAATCTTGATCCAGGCTCTTTTCGATGAATCGCATGCAAATAAGAGCTACTAAGAACTAATCCATTCCCTTCTTAGCTCTTAGCTATTCCAGCTTTATTCATATTCCATCTATTAGCTAGCTTGATAGCTTGAATTTGAGAAAGGTTTGAAAAATGGAAACCAAAGCTGTATTATCTCTATTATAGCTCTATTAGTTCGAGCTGAAGCAATCTTTTAACTCTTGCGAATCTGAATATTTGGATTTCTCTTCAAGAAAGTTTGTAGCTACTTTCTTCCTAGAGCCTAAGGATCTCCCTTAATCTCGAGAATTCGTTGAGCAAAGTGCTTAAGCTCTGAGTAGCTTAGTAAAAGCCCTAGGGTTTTCTGAATGCAGATCCATTCAGCTATCTTCCTTTCCTGGCTGATAGAAAGCCTTTGCTTATATTCATATGCTGTTGAATGCAATTCTCCTCCTGCTAAGCGATCCTGAAGAGTAGCTCTTGGTATGCTCCAATTCTTCGAGGCCTGTTGCTGAAATATACCCCTTCTGATAGCCTCAAGAGCCTGAGCTAGCTCAAATTCGGTATAGAGCTTCATAATGACTGCATAAAGGCTTGATGAAGATACGAAGTTGATTAGAGTAGAATTGATTGAGAAAAGATGATACAAAAAGAGGGGGGTTGAAGGTGGCTGGGAGCGGACCGGGGTGGCCGGAAGTTACGGTGGCCGGAGGTTACCCCTAGTGTGATAGCTAGTTCGTGCCTTGGCTTCTCGTCAGTCTTACGAATGGTGCAATGAGCTGCCGCCGAGATGGCTCGGTGCTGCTTCTGATACCGGTTCGATGCATTAGCAAGCGGGGCCTGGCCGTGGGACCATATCCCGCTGTCTAAAGAAATGCTGAACTTCTCGAGGGGGGTGGAGGAATGGGAGTCTTGGGTGACTAGAAACGGTGACGAGGAATGTATCACATTCACACTGCGGTCAAAGCTATCCCCGTTAAACCCTTCACCGTGTCTGATAAGCAGCGCACGATCAGGAGCGCCTACTAATTTGGAAGCTTCAAAACCAAATCTTCTATCCCTGTTGCCAGCTTTGCTTTTCCTTGCGCCCCCCTGCTTTTAGTAGTTTTTGCTTCTCGTACGCTACCAACTAACTTGTGCTTTCGAGACGTCCAAATTTTCCCCTCCTTTCCCCGGTTCCTTGCTATACTTCTGTCCTTTCGTGCATCGTTTCTGAACTACCTACCTCCGCAACCGCCGGAAAAATAAATCCCTATCCCTTCGCCCCAAGCTATTTATACCGCGACTTCTCTGCCTCAGTATTGCACCAGTTTTGAACACAGATGGACCGAAGCTATACAAATACTTCGGATGCGAGGACAGCTTTGATAAGCCAGAGCGACACCTGCACAGCTAGTGAAGCCCATCACAACCTCCCACTATCACCAGTGCACCAATTACGCATCGCAACCCTACCTCCGGTCCCAGTCTTATCTTTGCCGACGCCCACTCTCCTCCCACCTGCTACTGCTATGTATAGCAATTTCCCTGATAGCTACACGGCGGAGAGCGATTACATGAGCAATGGAAACGGCTCCTGGCCGCAGCAGGACGAGGAATCTCTCTATTATCCTCAATATACAGCGCTGTCTCAACCTGGTCCTCCCACAACCCTATATGAGCAGAACCAGATGCATCCTGCGCTGCAAACGGGACCAGGTCAAAACCCCTCACCCACTTCGTATGCGGCCACAGCTGAGAAGCCGAAGCCTCGAAAGGCCTTACTGGTATGTTCACTGAGATTCATGCATATATGTCCCTTCCCTGGATTCAAGATATACTGAGTTTATTTTAAGGCTTGCGATAAATGTCGGCAGCTCAAAATGAGATGCGATGAAAAGAAGCCATGCACTAATTGTCTGGGAAAGGGTATCGCCTGTAAATACCCGACCATAAAACAGTAAGGATACTACATTCTTCCTACTCTTAGTTTTCTCCTATGAAGATTGGGGACGAATTCACACTAACAAGAGACCTTACAAGGCAAGACCCTAATCAGGCCATCATAAACGGAGTGAACAAGCTGCTCAACGAACAGAAGCAAGTTATTATGGAGGCGATTGAGACAACAAGGGTTGAATTGCGGACACTCGGCCTCAGCACCAATACTTAAAGGCAGGATATTGCTTGAGAACCAGGATGTACCCGATAATGATGCATCAGGAGTAGGCTTTTAATAAAGGGATATGTGATGAAGAATATTTGGAGGAGAGCTAGATATTCGTCTTTCTCAAGATTGTAGACTGCCCTTGGAGCTATACACTGTCATTTCGATATAGCTATGCTATAAATTAAATCTAGCATGATCTCAATCTCAATTTTGATGCTCAGAGGTTTGATAATAGTCGAACTCTTGCCTACAATCTCAGTATCTCGCTCAAAGTCTGAGTTAATTCTATTCCCAATAACCATGTCAATATTAGTATCAATTCAACTGAGCTCCGAGCCTTGGGAAGACCTTTGGAATGTACTTGGGAAGAGGGACTCGCGAGCTTTTGCAACTTTCTTTTCTTTATTGCATCATGATCATATCCAGGTGTCACATCTCACAATATATCTCTACAAGTACATGAAGCCAACTCTGCCTTAGTTGTTTCTGAATAATTCTAATCATTATAGTGCGAGGCTTAGTCAATCGCTGGCTTCACTAACGCTGAGCAGTCCTTACAGATACAGTCCGATCCACTCAAGAACTGTCCCCCAAAATTCACAGTAATCTCCTCCCCCTCATATATGTTCTTCCTACCAACCAGCATCTTCCGATGCTTCCCTGAAATCGCTATACCCTGTATCACTGCATTTGGGTTCTTGCAACGATGGTTCACAAAACGAAGATCGTTGCTCTCTTTTCCCATATGAAGTTGAGCCACAATAAGCTCTCCTTCAATATCAGATCTTGTGAAATCCAACGCCAGCCCATCCTTGTGTATATCTGGATTCAAGAACCGCCCAACAAACTGCTCAATGCGTTCTCCATTATCATAGACCACCTGTTCTCCGCTCATAGCAGTAGCCTGAAGACCGAAACCTCTGACCCCATAATGAACAATACGAGGAGGTTTAAGAAAGCATACTTGAATGCAGGCGCATTCCACATTACCACAGATCTCACACACATCACCTGGTAAAAGAGAGTCAGGGCTGGAAGGCCACTCACCGGGCCAGCCCTCTAGCTTTTCCCAGTCTGGTTCCTTACTAATATTCTTCTCAATATACCGAACAGCTATGTGCTGCATGAGATGAGTGGCTGATTTTTCTCTGACTCGAGCATCGATCCTCTCCCAGACCATTAAAGGAAACTGTTCTCCTCTCAAAATGGAATCTTGGAACTGTTGTCCTAGCTCCGAGAGTTGCTTGACCCCTTTCAATGTTGACATATAGGAATCAAATCTTGGGATTGCTGTTCCTGGGATACGCGAGAGCTGCCTGATTGTGATCGAGTTTTCCTTGCTGATAGGAACAAATGATAGGAGACACCGAGATAGGGCCCCAGGACTTTGAGGAGCTGTCGTGGTGACCTAAGCCATTCCTGGAGATTTTGAGGTGCAACTGTTATATTCTTATCTTCTCTCATCAGAATCCCCTCAATCATATCCAAAGGCAGTTATTGATATCCTAGCTCTTTCGCCCTCTGCTCCAAAGCCTTCGCAATTTCAACTTTTGCAACTCAATACAGGAGATAGTGAAGACTTGATGAGTTTTCTAGTGCCTTGGCGAGGTTATAGTAGCCGGAAATGCGTTTCTCCCAGGCGCTGCAAATATGGAAGTTGGTTTTGATGACCGGTATAGAAAAGTCTCTCCACATGCTGATGTAACTTATGAATTGTGAAACAAGTACTTCAAGCCCCAAGCGAGTTTCCATATCTGTTTCAGTGACTGTATATTTCAACCTGTTTTGCCCGGTCTGGACTTTGAAGGCAGCAGCTTGTTTTATCAGCTTCGTCAACATCTGCGACTTGAGGGAATGAGCTTTCAAGGAGCGATTGTCTTCAGAGTCTAGTCTCAATGGCTGTCGTTCCACAAGATCCCTGAGTTCCTCAAGTTTAGCATCATCCATGTCTGAGAGAGGAGATGTAGCCCTGCTATTGTCCAAACAGGCCAAATTCGTAGGTAGAGTCTTGTTCGAATTGCGACCATCTTCATCTAGAAAGTACCGAGGTTCTGGCGTAGCTGTCTGCAGCTGAGATTTCTGCATTATTGCCAAATTCTCCATTCTACCCTGATCAGTTGGCTAACTTTCCCTCGAAAGCCCATCTTTCACAGCTCGAGATACAAACTCTGTTGTGAGTGGCGCAGTCGAGGGTGATTGTACTGTAGTAGCTGAACCAGAATTCTGGAGTCGTGATAAACTCCCTCGACCCTCCGATTTGCTAGCTGATAAAACAGCGGTAGACTGGTGTTCTGCGACTCTCTTATAGTTCCGAAGAACTTCAGCAGTGAAGTCTCTCAGACGCGTGAAGATATGCTGTTGAAGTGCCTGACTCTGCCGAGGCTGCCTGCGAGAACCCGTCGTTGCAGCATAGCTGTGGACATCTTCAATAACAGAAGTTGCGAGTCTTTCCAGGTCTTCGTTCAATATGTCGAGCATCTTCGGCAGGGATTCTTGAGAGCCCTGCTCAAGTTGGCCTGTCGGGGATGGTGTCGCTGTGGGGAAATCCTTGGGCGTCTCATTCTGATGACACCCGTAGTTCTCATCATTATCGGTCATGTTTCCCAGAGCATCTATCTTTGTAGTAAGGCGAGTCACTTGAGAATTCGAAGCAGGATGGCATTTAGGTGCGTTCGGGTCTCGTGCTGTGACTCCCGATGGCTTGCCCACCTTCTTGGATATCACATCACTTTCGGAGCTGGACTCGGAAATGGCTTTGTGCTTCGGTAGAAGAAGGATTTCAGATGGCTGACAAGGAGAAGTTGGCTTAGGAAGAAAAATGTCGGAAATTTCCACTGAATCGGCCATCTCTTCCAGAGCTCTGTCTGCGACAACTGTATCCTTGAGGCGATGAGAAGCGTTATCTTCGCGCCAGTCTTCCAATGATTGCTGAGGAATCTCGGGATTTCTCAATGGTTGGTGAGCATTGCCGAGCTCTGATCTGATCGCACGAAGAAAACCCTCCTCAATAGACGTCTGAGAGGCATAGTCGGCCCAATCTCCTTCCGCAGACAAGTACGAGTCCATGAAATGTCCACGGTCTGCGATCAGAACTTTGCAGAGGAAGGAGCGAAGGTTGTGCACCATGTGGAGGCCACAGCTCCACTTGTCTTTCTGCTGCTGAGTTCTTACCCACCGCAATTGGGGAAAGTTATCAGGAAACCGTTTCATTGCCGTCAGATGCCTCTTGATCAGTTCCTTTGTGAACAGAACAACCTGGTCCTGCTTTGCGAAAAGAGAATCCAGCACCACAATGCAATTATGCTGATAATCATAGACTATAGCAATCCAATGGCCTTTATACAGACATGGAAGAGCCACATATTGCGTGTCGGGGCCGTACTCCGGCCTTGGTCGAAGCGTCGGAACAGTTCTATTTTCCACATTGATAAACCAATTGGGTGTCCAGACTTGGGCACCGAAATCCAGCAACTGCCATCTGACAAGAGCCAAAACCTGGCGGTCAGAAAACTGTTCTCTTCGTAATAAGATGCCTTCCACATCATACAAGTGAAGCGTTGTGTACACCCAGTGGAATCCTCGAATCATGTTCGTATTGGAACTGGATCTGCCGCTGTCTCGAAGATGCGGATGGAAAGTGACTCCGGGAAAGTAGTGCTTGAATAAAGTGATGGCAGCATTTGACGGCATGCTCACTTCATCCACATCGAAGTAGAGAGGTCGGCGAGCAAGGAGTTCAGAAGACGGCATGGGATCGAATTGCGTAGTGCTTATGAGTGATCTCGACAACTGAAACTTCGATAGTCCAGGTTTAACAAGAGGAAAAAGGCAGGAGGAAGAGGAAAGCAAATTTTTATTAGGCAGCGTCATCTGCTGCCGTTGACCATTTTCGAGATTGCTAGAAAGTCCGGGTGTATTGTCGCGAGAAGTAGAAGGCGCTGAGGCTGATTTTGTGCTTTGTAGCTGAGGAATAGAAGATAAAGACGGACTAGTTGCGAGAAGTCGTTGCGGTGTTGATATTGAATCTCCAACAGAGTTGTAGTCGTCTTCAAGCATGAACCTGGCATCCGTATAGTAGAAAGAAGCGTCATTTTTGCCGTCAAGCTCTGCATCGATAATAGAAGACTGGCTGCGATAAGGATCAATGCAATCCCAGTGAGGAAGTCCCAAGAGGCTGGCGATAGTATCTGATCTGCCGCAGACGACCATATCCCAGACATCCTTCAGGTCGCAACCGCGAGGTTCAGGATCTGGATTAATCCAAGCAGTAAATCCATCTCGAGTCGATCGAGTTGCTCGGCACAATTGTTGAGCAATTCGTCGTATGCCCGGAACCACGAGGCTTGTGCCCACAACAAGGACAGCATCCGGTACTTGTCTCAAGTCTGCTTGCGAGACTGCTCCGATAGCGTCTTCATCAGGGCTAGACTCATTGTAGAGATGTATTCTTGGCCTCAGCCGTCCGATACCATGGCTTCGCTTTCCATAAACTCCAGTGCGTATATCGTCCTGCTCCTTGCATAGATTGCACAAAGGGGCCTCTGATCCTTGAAAGAGACTTGCATCAAAGTTAGAGACAAACTTGCATTTCATACAATGCATTTTCTCCAGTCCACCGTGAACCTGGATAGTAGTTGGCCAGGGTTTCTTCGCCGGCAGCGGCGTTTTTGTTGCTAAGGGCAAAAGGGATGTTTCCAGACAATCGATATTCTGAGAGTACAAGCGTTGAAGGCGACCCTCGTGCGCAATCGTAGCCAGCATATTGTGAAAAGCGGTAGGCTCAGCTTCCTTTGCACGAACTGATAGATCACAGACCATTGCATGGAATTGCTTTGTAGAATTGTTGCTGTTATAGACCGAGACATCGAAAAGAGCCGCACCACTACCGAGAGTCTTGCTCTTATATTCCTCGAACAATCCTTTGCTAGATCGGAAGTCGGGAACTGTTTTTTTGGTCAGTCACCGATGTTTACGCTTATGGATCTGCTGAGGGAGAGCACAAGGCTCCTGAATGTCGACGTACTTCCAGCTGAAACGGAGATGCCAGCTCCTGCGATAACAACAATCTTTCTCTTAGTGCGCAAGACGTCTAGCAGGCGGTTCAGTTGAGTCTCGTCGGCGGCGTCCTCATTGGTGAGATCCAAGCGCTCGGTGCTTCGGGGCTTCTGCTCTGCTTTCCTGCGCTTCTTGGCGGGTCGCTGGCCGTTCGTAAGCACCTGGCTTTCGTTGTTGAAAGCACTGGCTACCGGACGCTTGAGGGATGAGATATGGCCGGCCTGATCGGTGGGAGGAGAGGAAAGGTGACTAAATGTATCCATGGTGGTTGTTGAGGCAGTTTGGCCTAACCCGTATAATGAAAGTAAGTGCAGCAGGGTTATGAAATGGACTGAAGTCGGACTGAGGCGAGGCCAGCAAGCGGTGATGTAAAAGGCTATAGTGTGTCGAGGATTGCGTCTGTGAAGACAAACATGCTACTTGAAATCATAGAAAAATGTTTACAGCACGTGATTGATTGATGAGGCAGATTCTGCGAACAAGCTGCACGCCTCTCGGTACAAATCGTGGCGGAAGGGTTCCCCGCGCTGCAGTCTGTTGGAACGGCAACGTGCGCACGGACGCATGTGGAGAGTGCCAAGGAGGAAAGGCGTGGCGGCGGTGGCTGCGACAGCGCAAATCCAAAGGATGGTGGCGCAAATATTGCCTAGTTGCTCGGCACATGAGATGTTTGGCTGGAGCGTATATACCCCGGAGACTACAGACATGAAGATCTGGTGCGTTTCTTGTACAACCGCCCGAATACCTCGGGAGTACAACCTTCTTGAACGCCCGCCGGCGACGGGATGCTTCTCCACCACGCTCACGTGCTACAGGCAGAGGTTCGTCGGCAAACAGTTTTAGCTGTACCTGCGCATGCAACGCGATGTGCTCATCGAGCAGATCTGGAAGCGCGAGGACTACCTGGTCTTTGTGACCAAGTTTCTCCTTCTATTTACCTTGTTTTCTCTTGTTTGAGGTCCCTTGCCAGGGCCATTTAATATCAGATTTCCAACTGAAACACTGTCCAAATGTGTATTGCTCTCAGTCAATAGTGTTACAAGTGTTCGGGCTAGTGCTGTGGACCCATAGACATTCTGGTTGATCATATTGGGAAGGGGGGGGGGGGGGGGGAAACGGGTATGAGCTGTCCTCCTCCCAGCTCCAGTTGTGTCGACATGAGCATGAGCATGTGTGGCCTTTATATGGGAGCAAACTTCCCTGGCCTTTGCCCATCCATCACACATATCAGCCCGTCGGCGACCGTCACGTCGGATAAGGCGGCCTTTAATCTGTTACAAATACGTCAAAAAAAAAAAAAAGATCAGAGGGATGCGCAAGATCAGGTCCTTGAGTGACATGACACAGGTGCACGGCATTTTACTCGTGCAACTTCTTTCTATTACACGAGATTTGAGCATGATGATACCTCAATGGCAACTCGAGATGAGTGCCTCAAATGAAATGCGATAATACGCATTTATGTGGGAAATTCAGCGCCTATCAACAGGAATAATACCGCCAAAGGAATGTTTTAGTAGACTGACTTCAGTGGGTAGAGAGAGTAAAAACGCAATCAACGGTATTCTACGCTTACAGCTACTGCCCAACTTTTTAGGTGCTGCTCTTAGGTGCCGCAATTGCTGGAATCAGGGCAGTAGTGGGTCTGGAACATCCTACAGTGGTTGTGGTGCCTTAAATCCGATGTATGTAGTGGTAGATTGCCAGCTGACGGGTGCGCTCATTACGAATGATTCGAGTAGAGGTTGTGAAAGAAGTAATACCCGTTGCTATTGCTAATCCCCGAAATGAGCATAGCGGAAATTGTGGAGATAGAATATCGGCGTTTATTCGGTATCATGAGGGGCGGAGTGTATTTAGCTACGATTCAGGGTCCCAGTCGTGTGTTGTAGCGGGTACTGTTGTAGTGCTACAGTGTGACAAGGGTTCCTAGATCTGAGTTTAAAGTTGGAACGATCTGACGTCGCATCTTTGGAGTGCTGGAAATTAGGTTGGTACAGGTTGAGAGAACGATGTCGAGATGGTGTGCCGGGAAGAGGTTAGAGATTACGGTACCGGTAGTGGTATTGGGGGTGGGTAGGTGGCGCTGGAGGTCTGTTAGCAGGTCTTTCTCCAAAAGTTGACATCGCGGTTGCAGCCCCTATAGCTTACCGAACGTCAGCGCCTGTGTTACCGCTTCCACACACGTCAAGTCATGGCCACGAGGAGCTGTGAAGGGTAGCCTCTTGTCCTGACGTGACAAGTGCATGACACCGACTGAACCAAGAGCTAGCTAAATACACAATTGCAGCCAGCTACCCCTGTGAGGTTGATAAGAGACATAGTTGAAAGACGATGTTCTCTATTCTGGCCCAAAGGTACAATTTTATCAAAGATGCTCGGAGGAAAAAGCCCAGAAACCGCACTTAGCACTGGGCATGGTGCCTTGACAGGTCTATAAAATCTAATTGCTCTTTTCTATTTTGTCTTCCTGCCAGTGAAACATCTATCATCCTGTTGAAGGCTCCCAAGTTCAACGTGACAAATGACTGCTGCTGCTGCTGCTGCTTCGCCGTGCGCTGTGGACAAGAGAGATGTCCTTGTGGCTTAGTCGCTAGTAGCAAACTAGTCTCCACGATAGATCAGGTCCTCTATTGAGATTGCCTACAATTAGTATTCTAGCCCACCAAGTGATATAGGAATCTTCACGATGCGGTCCACAGGGCCAAGGCAGCATCGAAAAGTCTCGGTACCAGATATTGGTACTATAGAGAAAGCATAGGAGGCATAGAGGGGGAGGGGACGGGGGTCCGGGTCGGTCTTACCGCGGTCCGGGCCTGTGCCAATCCACTTGATCTATGAGTCTCGTCGTCAGTATCCTCTTCCAAGTCTGTTGAGAGACATGTGCTATTAACATACCTTGACGCCGATGAACGTCTCGATGAACTGGATTCAAAGTCAGTGACCAGACATCCAAGGCCGAGTATGTAACCTTCGCCCCCGACTACATACCTCCACGTAATCACGCGCTTCTTTCGGCAGCTCGGTATATGTTTTGATGTGCGTGATGGGCGTGTTCCAGCCCGGCATCTCATGGTAGACAACCTCGACACGGCCGAGTTGCTCGAGGCTCGCTGGAAACGAGGCGAGTTCCTAGTAACAACATGTAGTTAGCTGATGATGCCGCATCAGATGCCCATATAATTCACACAGAACGTCGTAAGTACCTCGCCTGTCTGCGGGTCCTTGTACCCAACGGCGATCTTGATCTTCTCGAAGGAATCAAGGACGTCAAGCTAAAATTTGGTCAGCAAGCAGTGTATGTGAAGCGAGACGCGAGAAAGTGGGGAGGGTGGGGGCTGTAAACATACCTTTGTAAGGTTTAAGGCCGTGTAGTGGTTGATAGCCTGATATATTATTTAGCAGGGCAACGGGGACTTCAAGATGTAAACGCAACGGGATAACGCCGTACTGTACTGTACTTCACCACCACCAAATCTGGATTAAAATCGTCAGTTGTATGGGCAAATCAATGGCATGGGCTTGAAGTAGTCCAGAGCCTTACCAAGCCTATCCCGAGTTAGTTGTTGGGGTTAGTCCAATCATTCTGTGTTTGACCAGGGCCGGGGACGTACCATCCACATCGCCTCTTGCGTCCCGTGCTCACGCCCTAGAACTGGTCAGCAAGCATGTTTATTCCATCCTGAAAGCTCATACAGCATGTAGTACGTACCCATTCCCGGCCAATGTCTTGCAGCTTTGTGCCAGCCCTGTTGCTGGTTTTAGCGATGCGATATGTCTAGCAACGAAAACTAGTGGGGACCTACTCAGCCGTATCTTCAGTAGCGAAGGGTCCCTCTCCGACCCTGGTGGTGTAGGCCTTGACGACTCTGTGATGGTTGGCAAATAGCATTAGCGCCGTCCTATCACCATGTTCGCATAACCTAGAAGACATGGTGACGTACCCAACAATCTCGCGGATCTTTCGAGGGTCGATCGCAAGGCCAGTGAAGATACCACCCAGTCCCGTGTTCGATGAAGTAACGTAGGGATACTGCCTTGTCGGATTAGCAAAAGTCTAGCCCCCCCCCCCCCCCCCATATGGAACTTTGCCCAGAGAACAAAGGATAGTGAGAGATGCTGCTCCCTACCGTTCCGTAGTCAACGTCAAGCATCAGGGCATTGGCGCCTTCGATGAGGATCTCTGTGTTCTTGTCCTGCGCATCCTTGACCAGGGCCACCGCGTCCACAGTATACTTGGCCAGGGAGACCCGGTAGTCTTGGAATCGCTTGAGCTCGTCTTCCACGTCGTACTGGAGAAGGTCCCCGTAACGCTTGGCGTATCCAGAGTGCAGATGTCGGAGTTTCCTCTCGAAGGTCTCGGCATCAAACACTTCGGCCAATTTGATGCCAGTGCGCTGGATTGTACATCAGCAAACCTAAATAACATGACATAACGAGCTTGGGATGGCCGCGGGAGATGAACATACGGCGGCCTTGGACGCATACGCAGGGCCGATTCCACGGCGCGTGGTGCCGATCTTGCGCGATCCGAGCTCACCCTCCTCGAGGCCGTCGACGGCAATATGAAGATCCAGGTTGATGGAGACACGGTCAGAAACGAAGATGCGGTCGTGAACGTTCTTGAGGCCCTTTTTCTCCAATACGGCCAGCTCGGAGAAGAAAGTCGGCACGTGAAACACCACACCAGAGCCGATCAGGTTGACCTTGCAGTGCTCGGCAACCAGACCGCTAGGAAGGAGGTGAAAACTATAATGTCCTGATCAGTCTCCACCGCGAACAGTTGCATTGATTGGCGACGACGACGACGACGACGACGACGATGATGATAATTATACTCACTCGTATGATACACCTTGCGCCCTGTAACGTATGTTAGTCGACGACGGCGATTCTTGCGGTGCAAAGATAACAAACCTGATGGAGTGACCGGCATTGTGACCCTTGGAGTACAGTCAGCACACACAGTCTGTTTGTTGATTCGGGAAGCTCCGAGATGATGGCGACGACCATGAGCCGCGGGATCATGCCCCGGCACGCCCTGGATGATCCACATTGGGAGGGGGCGGGGGTGGGGGGAGGAGGCAAGCTTACTCCTGCAGCTCTGGCCACGAGTCTGGCACGAGCGGTATGCTGCGGTGGGAAAAGTCAGCATTATTCATTACTCACTGTGGCGGCTGGCAATTGAAAAATAAGAAGACCATGCGAAGCCAACAAGAGCAGTTCCCAAATTGGGTAGGCAGCTCGAAGGGAAGGTAGAAGAAATGATGGGGGAGAGAGCGTTTCTGGCAAAGAGGAAAAGAATGATGGTTCCATAACGAATACTTATGTGTGTGTGTGTCTGAGGTACTTACCAGTTCCGAGTCCACAAGCTTGCCTTTCTGTAAGATGGATTGAGAAGATTGTAAAGTATTAGCTCACGTGCATATGTCTGTCTTGCAGGCGCCTCCTTATTTGCTTACGCCTTCATCGCCTGGTAACGGAGCACAATTTGGTTAGCCAGAACTGGAGGGACAGATTATAGAGTAAGTAGTTATTAGGGTGTACACGTACCCCATTGGGCGCCCAAGATGATGGTCGCCATGATTTGAGATAAACAATCGTTGATTGAGACTACTTTCCTGAGGCGTGTGGCCTTGAAAGTAACACGAGTGGTCGAAACTGTGGTTGGGTTTGGTTGGAAGGTAGGTCGGTTGAGAGTTGGTTGGTGGTGAAAGAGAGGGCCGGCCGGCCCAGCGCGTTACTCATGACTCAGCGCGAAATTTTCATCGCGGGCGGAAAGGCTGCCGGATCGACTTGGAGACACTAGAGAGCAGGCCTCTCCGTTGTCGCAAGCCAAGATGAGAGAACGACAGAAGAAGAAAATTTGTATATGCTATGAATATGTTTACGATTGTTCAATAGATATTCGGACCATTGTCTAATTTTTTTTTTTCCTTTCTTTCACTTTTCTTGTGTGCAGCCATGCCATGTTGGTGTTCATTTTTTTTTGACCTCATTCCAGGATTAGGGGCGACAGTGCGGGGCCAAAGTTCATTTCTGCCCCTCTTGATGACAAAGCAACCCGTGTCTCTAGGTGCAGCGGCTGCACCCGATCGCCCGTTTTGCGGCAAGACACCCGATGGCGGGGTCTGCTGCCCCCTCCACCACACTCTCAGTTACCGCACCCACGTCAAAGCCACTGAGCCAAGCTGCTGACCGGTCTTACCTGGTCAGTCCAGTATACTATGGCTATGATAGCAAGCATCCATGCATGCATGCATGCATGCCATCGTCGCTGCAAGCCACCCAATATGCCTGCCCTGTGTCTGCTCGTTTCTCCTCTCCGTCTTTCTTCCCTCCTTCTCGTTTTCTCCCTTTCTCCCTTTGGTACAGTTCAGTCAGACCTTGTTAGAGAGACAGGCAAATACATGAGGCCCCCATGATTAGGCCCGCTTCCGGGTGCTGATAGTCTTAGCGTCTTTGCCCGCCGGGTGAGGCACCTAACCTCCAATCACCACAACTCTAGGTATAATCAAAGCAGGCTTTTGTCTGATACTGAAAGGATAATGATCTCTGACACTGGAATATAATATCCTCTTTGAATATTAATTAGAATGTCGTTCAAAATCCCTGATTATGGTTCCTATTCCTAGTTCTCTGTATTTTCAAGTCTCTCATGTTCACAAGGCTTTCAAGAGCAAAAGATCCTGCGGGGTGAAAGATCATTGAGTTCCACATACTTGTTAGTCCTTGTTCTAATGATGGACAAAGTATTCAACAAACATTCTTGCACATCCCCAAGCTGGTATGATTCAGGTGATTCTACAAGTGTTCGCAAGCCTGCTCGGATTCCGGCTCTGGAAAAACTTACATAGCAACTTCTTCGGTGGAATGATACGTTTTTATAGCAGGATACGCCCTTACGGTTGGAACCTGTGAGTCCCCACCAGTAACCTTATCCAAATATCCAGTCAATTATGTTCTCGTAATTAGATTCCAGCTGCAGTATAGGCCTTACAATGACAACTTTAGATCACTCGAGGGGAGAGCTGACTGCTTGGATATAAGTGCTGTCCCCAAGCATTGGGGAGTGCACGGTCATGAGATTCATGACTCTGGGGCTACCGGATAGACTCAGCTTAACTTAAAGCCGGGGGCTGGGGGCTGGATCCTGAAAGTTGGTCCTTGTTGCCTGTGACCTGTTTCGTAACTAGATCTAACTGAATTTTCAGTTACCAGCCTGTACACAAGATGCCCAGGGAAACGACTAGCAAAGTCACCACCACCTTCTCATCATCCAACACCGTGATGTCCCCGCACCACCGCTTTTTCATTGTCCGCCCTGCTACATCCGCTCACGCCTAAATCGAGTTCAACTGCTATGGAGCTCAGCAAGAAATTTGAGTCGGTGGCACGAGAATTCAGGGATATTCTCGATCTTCGGAAGCAACCAGCACATGAGGACCCTTCGCGCCCGCAACCAATCATGAGCCGCCTCAGAGAACTGTCCAATAGCGTACTCAAGCTGAAGGACGAGTAGGAACGTGTGCATTGGCCGAATATGCCTGTGTTCCCGGTCTGGCAGGATGGCGGTGCTGGTCTTGTTCGGAGTTTGCGAAAGCAGAGGTGCATCGGTGTGGCTGGATGGCCGTTTGGTCGGCGGCAGTGCCTCCTTGGCTGGACAGCTGTCTGCCCACCGGCTGACCGCTGGACGGCAGGAAGTCGCCAGCCCGGCTGGATGTCTGTCTGCTTGGTGGCCGAGATGTGCTTGCCCGGCTGGCTGGTGGGCTGAATGGTGGCAAAACCATGCCAGCTTGACCGGGAAGCTGTCTGCTGCTTGCTGGCACAGGGGCGGCAGTTTGGCTGGATGACCGATTCATGCCGGCATTACTGCTGCTTTGGCCTCTCCGAGGGACACTTCTGGCTCTTGCGCGCAGTGTAGAGGAATATCAACATAGAGAGGACTAGGTTCCCCCTTAAGAATCTTGTCCATCTCTTCACGCTTCTCGGACGAGTTTATTATGCTGCTTATGGAGTGAACCTATGGGGTCTTCTGGGTAAAGGTTGCAATGGGTTGCAATGGTGGGGTATATCAAGGCGGCGGTGTTCGCAACAGGACAATGGTAATCAGGTAGCAGATGTGATTCAAGATTATCCTATCGGAGTCAAATTTGAGGATGGAATGAAAGAGGAGCTTTATGCAATTAGAGGCGAAAGCATCAGAATTGGCCACTGAGTTCAATTGGACTAAATTGGCTCGAAGGGTAATATCGCCTGATCTGGAAGGCAAAAGGCGAGCAATGAGCAGTATCCAGAGTTTAGAAAGAAGGACTGATGTGAGATCTTGTATGTCTATCTCCTCGTTAGAAGAGGCTCTCAGGCGACAACTGTTCTGCCTCGCTTTCTCGCTTCAGATGCTACAATGCGTCCGGAGTACTTGAGAAGCCTGCCTTGTCGCAGGTAGAGTCAAATGTGATATCGTCGAGCTTGCCGATCGGATTATTTTGAATCAGTTATTGTTGCTGCTGTACATCTTCCATGATGGGCAGCAGCGGAGGAGGTGGCAGTAACAGTAATGGTGCAGGAGGAGGTGATAAGGTGGTGATAAACATCGAGCCCGTTTTTGATGTTTCCAAGAAGACAACATCCCAGAGAGTGGAAGCTGAAGGCCGGCACTGCGGCGCTCAGATATTATAACTAGCAGGATAAATCTCACATAATTGAGGCCCCACCCCCACCTAGGGGAGTAGGGGGCAGACCCCCCAAGAAACCAAAGCCTCAACCCAGGAGCACCCGACTTCAGAGATTGCTACCACTGTCCCTCCCCTGCTCTAGACCGGAACTTCAGTACAAGAAGTATTCGGACATCGATAGGGCTCTCCTCCGGAACAAGAAAAAGGGGAGGGAGTGGCATAATCTCCGTGCCGAGCAGCATGGCCCACACGATGTGAGGATCTACTCGGACGGCTTACAGACAAGTAAAGGGGTTGGATGGTCCTTTGTCGCCTATAGAGGGGACCAAATTGTCTACTCAGCACACGGACACCTGCAACAAGCGGAGGTGTTTAACGCAGAAATTAAAGGCGCGGAACAAGCTGCGATATGAGTGGCGAACAGAGGAAGGGAACCCCTTACGGGAAAAGTCACCCTCTTCCTCGACAACACATCGGTGATCCATGTACTTTTGAACACAACGCCCGGAAACTCCGAGAGATCGATGTGTCGATCTCTTGGTCGCCGGGGCACGTGGGAATAGAAGGAAATGAAGCTGCGGATAAGCTAGCGAAACTGGCAGCGGACACAGTCCCACAAACTTCTCGCACTGTGCAGTAAGGGAGCGAGGCACTGGAGAATACGGTGCTAGGAGCGGCTCGCACTGTGCAGAAAAACACAGTGACGGAGGATTCACGCACTGAGCAGAAGAACAATAAGGACTTTGTCGACGATCTCGCATGCCAGACGGATGTCAAGGCTGCAGCAGAAGGAAATTCTCGATTCTTGGTGGGCAGTAAACCAACCAGCTAGGTATCAAAAATGGAGCTTAGGGGTAACCAATAGGCCGCCGGAGCTGAACTTGCCAAGGGGTATCCTCTCACGATACCTGGCGGAAAGAAAAGGCCACGGCAACTTTGTCAGCTACCATGAGCGTTTTGGGCATGCCCACACCGGACAGAGATGCCGGTCTGGCCAACCAAGGGAAGCAGGGCACTTTGTCAAGTGCCCTTTCACTACGAATAAGATCCCTAAGGGGGTGAGGCGGGGTCACGAACTGGAAGACATTCTTGGTTCAAAAGCATGGCTTGCATTTCGCTACCTAGTCGAGGACACGGGGGTCTATGACCCCCCGGCTCAGGATTCAACTCCTGAGCCGCCGGTTTCTACGTAATTTCCTTATGATTCCTTCTCTCTTTTGTCAGGCGAAAAGGTGGCCGCTCCACTCGTCCTCATGCCCTACGGGAGGCTTCGAGACCGGGAAGCACGGTTGTCTGGAAAATTGGTTAGCTGAAAAACGGTTAGCTGATGGAGGAAAACTATACTTACCCTAGACTTACTTTCGGACGTTAATACAATCAATCATTTTCATAGGCTTTCTATGATGCGAACCTACTAAGTACCCGGAGGTAGTGAGCCAGCACAGCTAGCGGCCCACGGGTGGTTGACTCCGGAGGCGTCTGTTCGATTCGGGTTTCATAAGCTTGAAACAAACATAGACAACACGGTGGTCATCTGCTGTAAGGAGCTTGCATTTCCAATCTTCAGCTACGAGAAACATCCGAACCCTTTACCGACGCCAAATCATTCCTCAGCTTCCTCCTTTCGTGAGTTCGTGCCGTCTGCGAAGACAGAGCTGCTGCAGTGCTGTTGTGAACAGCAGCACAATGTATGATCCAGCTGTCTCGATCCTGCATCAGAGGACCTGTACGGCCCGTAGACCTTTGGCACTCCGGGCAAGTGAACGGGAAAGACTGCAAATGCTGTTTGGTGAAGTGGTCGGAGACATTAGAAAAGCATTGATTGCAAGCAAGATAGCGATCGTAGCTCTGCTGTTCGAAGACACGGGTTGTCTTGCTGTGAGCAACAATGCAGTAGAGCTGCCAGTCATTGCAGCTGGAGATGAGAGATATGTTATTTGCAATCTGCTTAAGATATTCCAGATAACTAAATAGCTTATTGAATATGTTGCAATAATATTAGAAGTAATAGTTTTGTATAAGTCAAAGCACCCCCTTCCCAATCACCCTGGTCAACCACACCGTATATATATATATATTTCATATAGATTTACTCATCCTATTCACCCACCACGATGCAATCCTCCTCATCAGTAGGTAATTCAAGGCCGCTCTCTTCATCTAGACTATCCTCATCTCGATTGACTGCGTTTTGAGCCCTCTGTATATCCTCAATCCCTGCAAACTTCGAATTCGAGCTTACATCGAGCTTTCTTCTTTCACTAGGCTTCAGCGCCTCAATCTGCTTCCTCAACATCTGATTTTCCTCCAATGCTCTTGCAAACTCGACGTCTCTCTCGTTATCAGCCTTTTTTATCTTCCTGAATAGCATACAGCAGCCTGAGTCTGTTGAAAGATGCTGCTGAGTTTTCTGTAGCTGGTGATATAGCTGTTTAGCCTTGTGAGGCGTTGAAAAAACCATAGGCTGGCTTGACAAGGCTTTTGGGGGAAGCTTAGGTACTGTTGATGGTATTGAGGCTGAATTTGATCAGCTCTGAATGCTTGATTGACTATTCTCGAGGAGAAGAGGGCTTAAGAGCGCTTTGAAGGGTCTCATGGGCTATAGACCAGTTGCTTTCCATCCAGATCTGATATTCTGGCTTGAAAGACCTTTCAGACGAGCTAGAAGATAGTGCTTGAGAAATAAATGCTTGCTTGCGATGATTGAATCCCCTTATTAGCTCATATTGCTGATTTCCTTTCTATATGCTCGTTTGATGGATGAAAAGATCTCTAGATCGAGAGGTTGAAGTATGTAAGAAGTATGAAGAAGCAAGTAGATCAGCAGGATGTTGTTTTGATAGCATTTCTACATAAACTCATCAGTTTTATAGCTGTTATAGCCATCCAGAACTAATAGTCTGGTCTCTGAGGGATCTGCTGGTAAGCTGCCTAGAATGAAGATCTTTTCTAGCTATTCAAGTGCTATTTTATCATTAGTTCATCCATTTGGTATAGCAGTAAACTGCTAGCTCTCAAAAGGCTTCAAATCAACAGGAAATCACTGCTGCTGTACAGTTTGCTCTTTGAAAATCACCAGAGGAAGGAGGTGAGCTCCTGTAGCTGAGATACACTCGAGGAAAGAGATCCAGGCTTTTGATCCAAGCTCTTTTCTTTGGATTGAACGTGAAGAGAAGCTTCCAAGAACTAATCCATTCTCTCCTTAGCTCTTCATAAGCCCAGCTTTGTTCATGTTCCATCGATTAGCTAGCTTGATGACTTGGATGCGAGGAAGATTGAAAAGATAAAACCAAGGCTGTATTACCTCTGTTGTAGCTTCATTAGTTCGTTCAGAAGCTATTCAGCAAGTTCTTCTGACCTGTATCTCTGGATTCCTCTTCAAAAAACTCTGAGTCCATCTCTTTCCAAGAGGTTCAGTATTTCCTTTGATGAGAAGGATCTTCCGTGCGAATAATCTCAACTCTGAATAGCTTGGTGGAAGCCCTAAGCTTTCCTGAACCAGAATCCATTCAGCTAGTTCTCTTTCTTGGATAGAAGAAAGCCTTTGAAAAGATTCAGCACCTATCTGATGAGACTGAACGCCTGTTAAACAGTTTTGAAGTGTTGTATAAGGGATACCCCATTCGATCGAGGCCTTGCGAAGAGAACAGCCTGTCTTGATAGCCTCGAGGGCGGCAACGATTTCAGATTCCGTATACTGCTTCATTGGACTGTATTTACTCTATGCTGAAAGTTTGAAGTGAACTGGAAGAGGATTGATGAAGAGAATTAAAAATATATCGAGGGGTTGAAAAGGCGGTGTGGTTGACCAGGGTGATCGGAAAGGGGGGGTGATCGGGAAGGGGGTGCTTTGACTTATTCGAGTCCCACAGCTATCTCTGTGTATGTGGTAGGCCTATGCGAATCGTGTAGTCTCCATCGAGGGCAACAAAATAATTCCACAGCTCGAGATCTTTGTTATTCCAAGCAGATTCTTGGAGTGTATGGTTAGTGTCGAATGCAATGTGGTGCATGATCTTTTGCAGGAACATTACGGATAAGACCAGCTGCATGCATAATAATTGTCGGGGACAACACGCCCAAATAGCAAAATATTTCAGTTCACAGAGGGTCAAGTATAATTACCGTATCGAGTAGGTAATTTGTTCACCAGATCCCATGACTTCACAAGCTATTAACGAACTAATAAGAAGTTTGCTATTAATAAAGCAGCCAGAAGAGCATGTAATAGTTACTCTTCTAAGAAGCCTCCATGTTTAACCTACTTTTCAAGTTCAATATCCTATTATTATTTATTGAGCGTTACAAACTTAATTGATGTTGCGTCTTAGACCACGCCTAACTTAGTCTACCTTCGCAGCTGTACAGCTAGCATAGGGGCTTCTAATTAGCGTTCCTAATAGAAGTACGGCTTAGCACCCTCGAAGCAGCCCAACCTTTTATTAAGAGAGATCTACAATCTTATAAGCAATAATATATGCAATCTTTTAAACAGTAAGATAGTTGATGTGCTGCGGCTATGCCGTACAATAGGTTCTCACCATCAGAGGTATCATTCACCATCCCTCTCGTCCTGTTGTGTCCATCTGAAGTCCCGCAAAATTCTCCCCCTGATATTTCAGGTCAACACCACTTTCGTAGCTATATAGTACCAGGAGCCTCGTTTGGTCTTCCTCATTCACTAGAATTCCCTTTCTCCTTTAGATATAAAGATTTCAACTTCCAGTTAGAAGGCTCGTTAGAATCCTTCTATCTGTAAGCGTGAGTTCAAAAGAATGATAAGAAATTGCCACACGAAAAACGATAAACTAAATTTCATCTTCAACTCCCTCAACTCCCTACTGAGAAAAAAAAAAAAAAAAAAAAAGATTACGATCTCTCGCCTATAGGTCCTCGGGCGAGAGCAGCCTAACTTTCTTTGCGCCCTCGCTAGGCGTCCTGATCCTGTCTTCTCTTTCTAGCTCCTTCCTGATCCTCAATGGTTCCCAGGCCAGGTGGCAGAGGGCCTCCGCCGCGCTTGGTCGAGCGGCCGAGTCCCACGACAACATCGACAACAAGAGATGACAGAAAGGCTGCGTGATCCTGTCTTCCAATAGGATCTGTTTCACGACCCCACACAAGAGCCCATGTTCTGGCCTCCGGTCGACCTTGGCCGGCTGCAGCGGGTCATCATCCAAAGTGCCCGGCTGTTGCGGGGTGTAGTCCGCCCTGAAGGCGTATATCCACGAGACCGCGAGAGCCCACACGTCTGCTTTGTCGTTGAATGGCTTCTCCTGACTGCTTCCCCAGACCTCCGGTGCGACCCATGGGCCGGCCGGAGTGTGCCCCCCACCTGTAGGGACCGTGTTGAACGCTGCCAAGGCTGGAGATTGCTGCCCGCATTGGCAACTGCTACGGGTGCCGAACCGCTCTTGCCGAGTCCAGCATTTCCGTCCGCGGGTTCGGCAGGACTACTAGGGACTGTGGCCGAATTCTACTGTGAATCATCCCCCTACGATGGATTTCTCCCAAGCCGGCTCGAACTCCAGATGCTGCCAGAACAGGGAAGCAAAGTCAAACTCAGCAAGTGGCCGGATATAGTAGATTTGCTCCTGGTCACCTAGACTCTTGCACGGCTTGCTGAGCCGACATGGTGGCGTGGCACCATGTTCGCACCAACTCTGCATCGTCCCGAGCACGCCTGGACAGGTTTCGCCAAGCGCAGTAACAACCTCAAGCTCATGAACTACACCCGACCGTGTTTTCTCCGTGCAATCCAACCGCTTTAACGCAACAGGCCTGCCGTCATGAAGCCGCACGCCCGAGTGGACAGAGCTAGAGGCATCCCGATATAGTAGTCGATGGACCCAGATGTGGCCGCATATCCGCTCCTTTGGGGGAGGAAACATGTCCAGGTGTGATGAAGGATATGCTCCTTGTTCGAGAAGCATAGCATTGCGCCTGATCCTGAGAGATTAAGACGCCTACGGCAACGTCCTCCAGGTCCATCAGCATCGCCCGCAGGCCGACCCTTCCTCTCCCGCGCCGCCCTCGTCCGCGCAGCGCGAGCCCCATCAAGACTGTCGCTAGTCTTGCACATCTGTAGGTAGCGACCTCCACATGCCGTGTCATGCACAGCCGCAGGCTTCTCACATTCTACAGGGAGAAACCTGTTCAGGTCGTCGCGCTAGGGAACACCGACTACAAAAGCACGCTACCCGAGCATGTATGGAGCCTGTACCGAGATATCTGGCGGAGTATGAATGCGGGCTTTATACCGGAATCGATCAAGAAGGAGTTCCTCGATGCCTGTGGAAGTGACGCAGATCTGGTGCCGGACACATGGTTCGCCGCGGCCGGACCGGGCGAGACTCAGGACAAGGCCACACGCCTGACCGAGCTCTATCACCTGCGGTCCATCCAGCTTGTTGCCGGAGAGTCGATGCAACGCGGCCGCAGCGAGCCGTCCTGGAACCGCAAGGTCCACCAGCCTTTGTTGGACCTGGCATGTGAGGATGGGATCGGGATGCTAGATCCATCATACCAGCTCGCGGCGGCGGCGCAGCCGTACCGCGTGAGGGCTGAGGATATCTCCACGGCGACTCTGACCGGCGACTGCATCCCCCGACTCTACACTGAGGCGCCTTCCGAGACCGGTTCTGTCCTTGCCTGTTCTGTGACCACCTCGAGCAGCATCGCTAACCTCCAACGGCGATCTCTCCAGTGGCCATCATGGCGATGCAAATGTGTTCCGCGACGGCCACACCCATAGCAGGTTCGGCTCTAAGAAGGTCGATTTTGCCTTGGTAATCTCGCCGGCGCACGGCACGCCGCTCCAGAGGACAATATGGCGTGTCCTAGACGGCTTGGGCGTCCAGGCCCTCGTTGCCGCCAACACCAACGCTGCGGCCCCCGAGGGCTCTGCCACCATGCCCGTGCCGTCGCAGTCGATCAACCCAACGGCATATGTACCTCTGTTGCAGGATCCGATGGCCGTGGCGATTGAGACTAAGACGGTCACCTCGTCGAAGGACCCTTTGGTCCAGCTGGGTTTTATGGTCGTCGCGCTTCACAGGCGGCTGGCTACCCTCTCAGGCTCGGACCGTCTCTTACCTCTGTGCGGGATTCCCACCCTTCCCGTGATCTTCTGTGGTTGACCACAGCTGGGCTATGTACTTCGCTGTCGACCGCCGTACTCGCATTGTAGGTCTGCAGTAAGACCCACACTTATTGTGAAGATCGGACTGACTCCTCTCAGGACCTCGTCGGACCCGTCAAGATAGGTTCAACAGAGTCTATCGGAGACATTTATCGGCTTTTCGCATCGCTGTGCAGACTTCGGCGCTGGGTTGCTGATTCATATGCTTCTGCACTGGGACATTGGCTGGCAGAAGCAGTGCCCGAAGGTACGGAATTGACTCATCGATAGTACCATGTATATAATTCATTCCTCCGCCTCTTATACTCAATTACCACCTTGCACATGGGACAGTGATTCGACTACATGCCCGGACCTAGTAGCTGAATGAGCGAAAAGGACCAGTTCGTAATGCCAACGCCCTCTCCCCCGGGGCCCAGTCTGCCATACCCGGCTCGTGGGGCATCTTGTCAGAGGCCCTGCTCGTGCTTTGTCTGACGTAGGCTGCCGTAGGTAGTAGGTCGGGCGTGGCGGAGGTCTCTAGCCGTGCTCTGCTCTCTAGTGTGCCTTGGCTTCTTCTGAATAGGATCTGATGATGGGCTCGACGCTGCTGTCCTCGCCCTCTTCCTGCCTGCCATAGGCACATCGGACCTGCCTCGGCTCTTGTCTCCAACCATCCGGAGCTCGAGGGGCAGGGAGATATGACGCGTCTGCCGGCGGGCCGGTCCGGTGTTCGGGCGGTGTCGCGTATCTGGATGGAGGCGATCTGCCCCGCTCGGGGCATCCTACCTCCGCCGGGGAGCTTCCTTCGTCTGCTGGAGGGTATGCCTCGTGTGGTGGTCCGGCTTGCTGGCCCCCGGGGGGGGGGGGGGGCTGATGTTGCGTCTGGGAGGCGGGCGGCGGTCGCAGCAGCTGGTCGCATGAGCGATGTGAAGAACTGGACATATGCGTCGAATGACTTGTGGCGCCAGATCTGCGAGACATCCCACTGCAGCCTGTGGTCTTTTTTCGCTCAGCTTCGCATTCCTCTGGCGCAGCTCGTCAAAGGTTTTATTGAGCAGGTCCCTTTCGCGGGGCGTGTTTAGTGGGTTCGGGGATAGCGGGTCTTACCGCTGTAACGTACAGTAACACTGACAACGCATCACTAAGGAGATAGTGGGTCTTACCGCTGCAGCGTAACACTGACAACACTAAGGAGCTAGCTATAGACTTATTGCCAGATTACAAGAGCCATCCGTTTCTCTGATTCAAGATGAAGCAAGTGATTAAATAAATACTATTTGTCTTTTAGCGGGAGACTTCAAATATATCTTTTCCCCCTCGCTGAAGAACCCATCAAGACCACCTCCGATCGTCAGGGCATAGACAGCATGAAGAGCACGGAACCATTCCCTTCCAGCTTCCGCGCGGCCAGGCCCAGGGCGGACAAAAACTGCCCCCCCAATCCGGATGCGGGGCAGAGCTGGCAGAGCACACAGCCCTTCTCTTCCAGCTTCCTCGCAGCCAGGCTCGCCGAGTACACGAGCGGCGGACAACGACCTATCCGACCGGATGCGGGCCGTCCGGCGGATCAGGACAGCACACAGCTCGCTCCGGCGTCGGTCTCCGAGCAGGAAGACTGCTTCACAGCCCCTGAAGATTTCTGCCCTTGATCCTGTCGAGCATGTCCTTGCCTCTGTGCGAGGCAGGGCCCTCAGTCCGGGCCCCGAGCAGAGCGGCAAGCACCAGCCGGCGGGAGACTCCCTAGACCAGCTGGTCCTGCGGTGGGATCCGCGGGTAAGGATTGTCTTCAGACAGACCCGGGCCCTGACGATCCAGATCGACCGCGCAGAACAGCAGGACGTTGCGGTGCTATCAAAACCTAGTTCCTCGGGGCAGCCGGTCTGGGTCAATCTCCTGGGCTGCATACAGAGCAGGAGTGAGCCCGTGTTCTCCGTGGCAGCCGGGAGCATCCAGTGCGATTTCGCCTACATCCCAAACTGCGACAGCATGGTCCTACTCAACCTCGCAAGCCCTATCGAGATCCAGCATGTGTCGCATTCAGACTTCTCACGTGAAGTTCCGGCAAAAGGGCACGCCAACCCTCAGTCCAGGCACTTGGAGATAGTCTACTGCTAAGAAAAAGTGTTTGCTCGCTTGGACCAGTATCTCTCGTTTACCAACTAAGACTGCTAACTGAACTGCTAAGACTGAACTGTATGGATCGCTGTTTGCATTCCCGCAAAAATCTTTCGACATGTCCGCTCAGAAGCCTCATCACATATCTGACAAGAGCCTCGTCCTCCCAGGGCTCAAGATACTGAGGGCGTTCTCGAGACCTCGTCGACAAGGCAGGAAGGCCTGAATGGCGTAGTTGGAGGATATGATGATTGATGCCTTGTGCTGTATATGGCGTACAGCTAGCAATAGAGCGTAAGGAGATCCTAGAGGGCTTGCGAGGCTTTGGATCTTCTTGTGGAGCTCTTCCCTTGCGATGGCGGCTACGGCGCGCCTGCCACGCGTCCAGGGCCCTCTGAAATGCCTCGTAAGCAGCGTCTTCTCGAGCCTGAAGAGCGAGGAATTGGCTCGCAGCTTCTGCACACGATATAACAGAGCCAGATTCGGCTGTAGGCGTGCCTGAGGGGCTGGAAAAAGAAGCCATCGCGAGGGAGGGTGTATGAGGGTATGAGGATGTTTGTATGAGGGAAAAAAAGGCTCAAAATGTCAAGGAATTTTGGCTGTAAAGCGTTTTTGGCACCCACTACGGAGGGACGGAGTAGTGGGCGGGGCGGAAACTGACCAGGGTCCACGGGTAGTTCGATGGCAGGGGTATAATTTTGTCAGCTTCCAGCACTTTCAATGTTGCAGGGCGTGTTCGGGATCTGCTAGCCAGCCACCTGGGCTGCCTGCCTGCAAGCCTGCAAGCCTGCAAGCCTGCAAGCCTGCAGTTCCATGGCAGGAGAATCCGGCCAATGGACAACAATGACATAAGCCGGCTTGGTCGGTGGGGCTGGCCTGCAGGCCTCCTTGCCACTGCACACTAGCCAAAGAGCCAGGTGTCAAAGCTCATGTAACCGTCAAGGAACGTCGCCACTGATAGCCGTTGCGACCAGGAGATTCTAACAGATACGGAGTACATACCATATCTAGGTAGTAGTACATCGAACAAGGGTGGGTGTTGCTCTTACATCTTCAGCCGCTTGCTAGCTAAGTAGCGGAAGCTGTGAGAGCGCCCCTCACCCTTGATGGATAAATTTGCACTAACAGTCGTCGCGCTGAACATCAGCTCCTATATAATATAGTAAGTAGTCACATATGTACGAACTGGGTGCGCTCTCACAGCTTCCGTCACTTACCAACATTGCGTTACGCAGCACAAAGTAGAGGCCGGCCTCCTGTCGCCTTGCCTGCCAAGCAAGTTACATGCCACAGTAAGATAGCTCGATGCTCCGTTCTCGGCAAACAATCTTGCTCACCATGCAAGCTACTAGGGTGCTTGCGCGCATTGAATCATGCTCTGCAGATATGTGTGGCTGGGAAATGCCGGTTGGTCATTTCCGTGTAAAAATCAGGTGTGCAAAGCATGCAACCAAGTTCACACACAGAGAAACTCAAGACCCTTGAGGGTGTGGCTCTAAAATGCAAACTGGGCCAGGCAAGCTGCATGAAACGGTATGCAGACCTCCGTTAGAAAAAGAATGGAAACGGCTGTCTGCTGAATAAGCAAATCCAGAATCCCTGTCGAGCATCAAGCGTGGGGGTGCCCGAAAGATGCTATTGTCTGGGTGACCGTTATGATTTTAGCACTATTGGGCGGATCTTGTCCTGTTGCTCTCCTCTGTCAATGGACAGCGATACAGCTTTTCGCGACTCAGGCCATATGGTTTGGAAAATCTCTCGTGGTCTAAAGTATGGATTAGCTTGATGCTGAGCCAACACTGGGCGATGGTTGCATACTCGTTCACCATGATCTTCACCGCCTTGCTCTGAAGCTCCCTGCGTATAAAAAACACACACTCGCCTCCTGTTCTCTAACCAACTCTAGCCCGTTTGATCCCCATCGCACATCCCGTGTGCGCTCAATGTGCCAAAGACAGTCGCCCAAAGTTGCGTTCTTACAGAACAGGAGTACAACAAACAGTATGCCCGTATCACTGCCTATGACGAGGTCGAAATAATTGTGCCATGGCCCGGGTAGAATCCTCGAAAGGTGAGTGAGGCTCTGCGCCAATGCTATTCCATCTTTACCACATAGCTTCAACACGCGGACACCCGCAGCATGGGGTTTGACGACGATCGACGAGCTCATCGCAGTGTTGCATACAACACAGTTCTTCAGTTGAAAATCGTATCCGCTGATCTGTATGGCGTAACATCGAACACAGCTCACACAAATCCTATGTCCGCAATCAAGAAGGTAAGATGGGTCGTGGACTATACAAAATGAGCAAATGGATGCAGGAACCACATCTTCTATGCGTGATAAAAAACTCAAGTGCCGTAGAATAACTGCACGCAAGTAGTCCTGGAGAAATTGCTGTCGCAGTGAGATACGATGGCGCTTCTCCAAGCAAGTGTTTAGACTGGCGAATACGCTGTCGAAGACATCGACAGGTGGCCAGCCTGTGAATGGCATCAGACTCCACACAGCAGCTGTAAGTAAGAACGAAAGTTGGGAGCCTACCATCTAGACCGGCATTATGTGCCTCCCGAATCAGTGCAGACGCTGCAAGAGGTACAGCGCATTCTTTCGAAGCAGAACTTCGGCTAACCCAGCGAAAAAAGCAGTCCATCCGTTTCTCGAGTCGGGAAGGCAGTGGATGAGTTCGGCATGCAAGTGCCGGACGAAGAATGCGGCCAGGCTCGTTGGAGAACTGAATGCATGCAGCTTGCATTGCTGTCACAAGATTCTGCCTCTTCCATGATCGTAATTGAATATGTTGTCTTGCATAGACAATATAGTTGCTGAGATCGATAATTGCTTCAGAGGGCAAACAGCAGGCTTTCAGATCCTCAAATTGGGTTTCCCACAAGTTCTTGGTAATTGAGTTTGTCAGATCTTTCAGAGGGTTGAAGTTCTGAAGAATCTCAGCAGTCATGCTGATTTCCAGAAAAGAAGAACTTGGGATAGTCTGTTGGTTAGATTGTGTGTAAGCAATGAGTACAAGTGGGTGGTAATGATGTTATGAAACAGCTAAAAGGAGTGACCACTCCCCGCTGACTGGAAATGATGGTGGTCTATATAGACAACAACTAGACAGGACTCGCACAGATGTTGCTGGCCTTTCCCGATCATGGTCCAGGAAGCGAGGATGTTAAAAATATCGCTTAATGCAAGGAACTCCTCTTCAACAAAGATAATACAAGAACACAGAGGTGCTAAGATAAGAGAATGAAAATAGTGTGCAATGACATTTGATGGGCGTTGCATGTTATGAATCAGATATTCGCAAATGCTGGGATCCTGAGCGTCTTGAGCTTCGGTGGTGTGGCTCTGAAGATGTAAGGTAGATTCAATGATATTCGTATCAGGGGTGATATGCATCTGGACTTGTGGTCTTTGAACTGCAAAATATGGTCCACGAATCACCAAAGCAAGTGGTGGTTGCTCTGAAGTAGGAATTTGTGAGTATACTCTGGTATGCTCTAATAGAACCCAATTGTCAGAAGACTTCTGACGAAGTGCTAGCCAGCTTGGGTTGGCCATTTTTCAGAGCTTTGTGGAGTAGGTTCTCTCTCAGGATTTTCCTGTAAGCGGGGAGTGCCTCTCAGTAAATCAAAATCTCAGAATTAGCCTTACCCAGAACCAACCCCAAAATCCAACTCAGAGCTACCAGATCCACATTAGTGTGACAGTGGACTGATTGACAAATGCGTACCTTGGAAAGTCTGGAACGTTACATAGTCACACGGGACAAGAGTTGCCTTAAGTGGGAGAAGAGAGATCAAGCTAGAATGCGAATGAATTTTCAAATTGTACAAAGCAGTTCCAAAGTTTATGAAAGTACTCTGCCATTGCATGCAAAACCCATTTTCCACAAGACAGAACGGACACGAGCCTTCCCATTACGATCGATATACAATACATCAGGAATTTCTGGGCCCTGCTTTGTACATGTCGAACTGACTTTACCAAATTTCGAACGGAATCCTTGATGCATATCTCCCGTTGGATGAGTCCCACGCCCTATTGGTGATGGAGCCAAAAAGAGCTCTTGAGGATTTGAAATTTCAGGCTGTTGCGTATATGGCGCGCCTTGTCCAGTGGGCACAGAGGGGCAATGGCCAAATCCTGAGTCGTCTTCATCCTGGCTTGTTACTTTCGATCATGGTCTTAAACAAGAGGCACAGTACTTGCCTGAGTAGAGGGCCTCTCTGAAATTTGCCTTGGTTCTGTGGAAGCGCCACTTGTTCGAGCCCTGTCCTCGACCAGCCCTTTTTCTGGACTGATGCATAAGCATAGAGCCTGTTGCGTGCCGTGGCGGCCGTTGAGACCTAGTTCTGGACCATTCCAGGCCTCTTGGATATGGCAGCTGAGTATGGTGCAAAGACAGAGGAGCAGGCTGGGGCATAATTGGATGAGACCTATAGTATCAGGGTTAAAAACAGTAGGTCAGGCAAGATTGACAATACTGACAAGAACTGAGGACTGTCCCTCGTTGTCCCTCGCATGGCTCGTATAGCCTGACTTGCTGAACCGTAAATGTCGTCTCGTGGTGAAGTCATACTGCTAGCAAGCAGAGATTGGGCGTAGGTAATGGGAAACAGAATCAAACGTGTCGTGGAATTTTGCAAGAAGTGGGAGGACGTGAGTACTGCCAACCGAGGGCGAAGAGGTCGGTCCCGAAAAGCAAATTGCCCACAACCATGGCGTGTGGTTCTTGCTCCAAAGTTGTATGTGCAGCGCCAGCGTCAGCGTTGTAAAATATTTGGAATGATCGGCACCAACCGCTGCTCATAGGGTGGTCACTGCATGAGCATGGCCTGTACCACAGCAGAAGCCGGCCAAGGTGTGCATCGGATCGGCACAACTGCCTCTTTGGAATATATTGAAAAGTCAGATGATAAGGATTTTGGGGCAGCAACTGCATCAGCGCTCGTGAACGCATAAGTGCTCCACATTGACTGCACAAACTGCCGGCCAAGGTGTGCATCGGATCGGCATAACTGCCTTTTTGGAATATATTGAAAAGTCAGATGATAAGGAGTTTTGGGTACTAACTGCATGACTAGCGCTTAGGAACGTGTAGCGCTCCACGTTGACCGTACACCACGCATCTTGGCTACCGGCCGTTCCAGACACCGCAGATGTCGTCTGCAAGGATGCTTCCCCGAGAGAGAGAGAGAGAGAGAGAGAGAGTATGCAGCTCGACCGCAGGCTGGCCGAGCAGGGTGACCTTCTCAGTGATGCCTCGCGCGGAGGATTACACAGCGTTGTGCACTCACTTACGCTCTGTCATCAATTAAAGTACTGCTCCAAGGCCGTACAAGAAGATTGTGACCGGATTGATTACCGAGGTCAGTCATGCGAAGCCCGATGATCTCGCTGATCGCCAAGGTAATTATCTACTTAGCTTCCCCCTGGTCCAGTGCAGCCATCAATTTGTCAATATAGACTGCCGTCGCCCTGGTCGGCCTAAGGGCTCTCTCGCCGTACTCGACTCGGACGGCCAGATCTGCCATTTCAAGCTTCTGTACCAGAGTGAGCAGGAGCGATTCTATAAGAATCAGAATCAGAGAAAATTGGGCTTAAGCATAAGGCTTGGATTGCGAAGTCAACGGATACAAAAAATGAAGTTGATTAAGCGAGCAATTATCTCCCTCGTCTTGTCCTAGCATAAGCATCTTTGCTTCAGACGTTGACACACCGCGGAGAGCCAAGGAAGGAGCTGCTTTCTTCTTGACCTGCGAGGTGCAGACATGCAGCAGGGATGATAGGGGCCTATGAAGGTTGCAGCATTGCCGCTGCTGTTCTCCCCTGCGTCGGGGTCAGTGTTGATGGAGAGAGACAAAGACCCGCTGACTACATCTCCTTCAGGGCCGACACAGGACTCGCGAGTCCCACTTAGTGCTTCGTAAGTCGCTTTGTGGATCCATAGAGGGCTGTTGTTGAATTTGTTAGATGCCGAGTCCACTGCAACCAAATTGCAACAATCCAGATATGGCCATTTTTCTTCAGTTGGCACAGATGGAGTGTTCTCAGCAGTCGAGCTGCCACAGTCGAAATGCAGCCGGCGGTGCACAGATGGAGTGTCCTCAGCAGTCGAACTGCCACAGTCGAGATGCAGCTGACGGTCTTTGTCTGGTATAGATTCAGCGTCCCCTGTGATCGAACTGCTACGACTAAGAAGTGGTCGGTCGTCTTCAGTTGGCGTGGATGGAGTGGTCTCTGCGGTCGAACTGCAGCGAGCGAGAGGCGGCTGGTCTCTTTACGAATCAGCTGAAGTGGTAGTGAACTGGGGCGGGCACCTTACCGTCCACTCTAGCGGCATCATCGGCCGGATGTGTCGTCTGTGATAATCGGAGCGAATTCAATTGAGCAAACGCATCGGCAAGGGAAAGCGATGCCCAGTACATTTCATTGGATGGAAACTGAGAGGCCATGGCTGCAACTCTAGATTGAAGGTTGGCGACCTCATCCGCTGCAGCACCAAGGAAAGTCTTGAAAGTCATTGCTGTTGAAGAAGGGGATACAAAGAATGTTGATGATGCTCGGGACGTTTGTAGATAGAGGAATATTAAACTGTACTCAACAGTCAATGTATATATACAACAAGTTCGCGTCTGCCCGAGTCCTGTTGCATGCAGGAGTGGTACGGGTCTCGCCTATCCAGAACGGTAATCTTTTCCGGAGATGTTTTCACGGCAGACCACAGCTGTACCCGTTGTCAGACACATCATCTGGAAATCCGTAACAATATGGCTCGATCCGTTTCAAAGATTTTGGTCAACAGCCTCGCTGACTCAGGCACTGGTAATACTGTGGATGCGATAATTGAGGTCCTCGCAAAGGAAGCAATTGCATATCATACTGCCTATTCATCTTTTACTTGGACATAGGGAGGATTAGTTGAGTCGGTGCTGACATTGCTCCAATTTGTGGATCGATAACGCCTCTTGTGAGTGGGGTACAGTAGGAGCGGCAAGGTGCTTGGCTCAGCCCAAAGATGTTGGCCCGACCCCTGTGCTAACAAAATTTGGGGCTACAAAAGCTATTGCCGAGATCCCTTAGCTAATACAACACAGACCGCCAATTCTTCAGCACCAACGTGCGAACATACTTGATTATCCATACCACGCGCTTCTTTTTTCCATGGCTGGCAGAACGAGATTGCACCGAACGATTCAAACAGAATGACACTCACAAAGGACCAGAAGCTGATCGCGAAGCGCCGCGCGAAGGATGTTATTCCGGAACCCACACCTCTCTGGACGGACATCGGTGATGATACGAGGAAGGAAATGATTCAACAGTTACTGGCGAATCTACGCAGATCCAATAATACCGAGATCGCAAAGACCATCGAGCAGAATCCGAACGAAGGCTTTTCCGTATTGCAGGGAAAGATCAAGTCAATGCGATCTGCACAATTAAGTGAGTAATCGTGCCTCTTGTTGGTGAGCCATTTCAACGGCTAACGGGCTGCAGAGAAATCCCGAGAATCCCAAACTCAGGAAAGGACCACGCCCGGTAGCGAGAACACAGCTGCCGCTTCCGCCAATAACGCCTCAGACAGTTGTGGTCACCCATGAGGATGCCGAGGACATCCTAACATCTTAGCCCCGTGATCATCATTTTGGATAGCACAATAAAAAATCAGGACATCTTGCTCCGTGAGGGTTACCCCAGCGCGCATGATTCTTCTACCGGCCGCCGTGCAAAGTGGACAACGCAGCAGAAGATTGCACTGCTCCGGAATTGTGATGAAATGTGAACAATACGTAGAAGCACTCCACATATTCCAAAGAGGCGGTGTGTCGCTGATCATGCAGCTGGTGCCCAAGAATCCTCCATCATCGAGTCATTCAATATATTCCGGTGAGGCAATTTATCCTGTATCGTCCAACCATTCTATATATTTCAAAGAGGCAGTTCGTGCCCAATCAATTAGCTGGGATCTGTCACTGATTGGCATCTGACTCGCGCCCACCCTTGCCTACGGAGAAATTCTCAGATTGGCAGTGCATTCAAACGGTCGGCCACCGTTTTGGTCACCGCCGTCAATGGTAAAATCCCTATCAATACGTCAGCACTAGAGCTACCCAATCGAGTTCCGAGAGTCACCCGTGAAGGCTCGAATGGCGCTGCAATTTTATGCCTTGACGGCGCGCTGCAACTTATCCGGTCAAGCTGGTTCCAAAGTAGCAATCTTGGTTTCTTAATTTAACCATTCCTTATTTCTATTCTCGGATCCGCTGATCCCAGGCCCAAATCCCGAGATTGGCCCCCAAATGCGCCGTAACCGGCCTGATCTTGCCGGCCTCCGCCCGGGCGGGCTGAAGATAACTCAGCACCGTCCGGGAGGATTTTCTAAATTTAGGTTCCGGCTCCTTCCTCCCGGGCACTCGACGCCGTCCCGCGGAGAGCACTAGCTTTTCGGTCTTTTGTCCAGCCACCCGGGCTTGCGCTGCTTTCGAGGTCGTGCAAGCTCCTTGACCATGAATGCCGTTCGTTCAGTGCCGGCAAGCTCTGATAAGTGGTCTCCAAGCATCACATCCCTCGAGCGTCTACGTCTGCATTCTGTCAAGTCATTTCTGTCGTCATGACCCCGTTCCTCTGTCGCGTTGTCGATGCGCGCGACCAGCCGATTGCAGACACTTGCATAACTGCATTTCCGCCTCAAGGTCCAGTTCTCGTGGCCGTCACAGCCACAGACGGCTTCGCCAGCTCCTGGACTACGCACGCTTGAGGAGCGGAGATCTGGTCAACTTCCCAGCCGCCCTCGATTTATCCACGCGGCTGCATACCCTTCGTTCACTCTGGGTGTGACCAGACCAGCTACGCAGCCCTCCATTGACCCACTGGCCTGGCAATGCATCTATATCGACGTGCACCTGAGCGTTTCGACATACTGCTGCGTTATTCCCAGGCTGAAAGAATCTCGCGCATACTGTCTGACCCCCCCTTGCCGGACACCCGTACCCGCCGGACACTAAAATGCGAAATGCCCCGCACAATTGCTATATATTCAAATATACAGAGGTAATTCAAATCAAATCGTATAATAATAATAAATATATCATCGAAATGACCTAAATTTCCTCATTCCAAATATCTAGGTAGCATACAGCTAGCCCGCCCAGAAGATGTACGAACTGATAGTGAATCCTCACGTGGAATATCTGCATTATCGTCCTCAGAGTCCTCCTCGTCAACCTCGTCTTGAACCTCCAGAATATTCTCAGCAGGCAAATCCTTCTCTTCCTGGGCTGTGTTGGCCTCTTCTCCAGCCGTAAGTGCCTCTGAAATAATCATAAAGCGTTTGTTAGGATTGGGGATCTTCTTGCGCTTTCGGGTCTTCGAAATAGCCTCGTTCTGAGCTTTAAGGGAGGCATTTTGCTGTCGGAGCAAGATAACCTCAGCCTGGAGATCTTCAAGATGATTTGCAATCCTCCTCAACTTGCAACTTTTGAAGTTCTTTCCGATAAGCTGCTTTCAATACAGCAAATATGCTATTATCTAGTGGCTGGAGGCCGTAGGAGGTGTGTACAGGGAGAAAGCAAAGGAAAACATTATTCAAGTAGCAAGAAGCCATGAACTCCAGCTTTTTTATATCAGCACATTATCCTCGAGAAATATCACCTCGAGCTTCAAAAGATCTAAACTTACAACCAGAATGGCTGTGACAGAGATCTAGGTGCCTTATCCAGTGTGTCAGCCGCTAAAGCTTTGGGCACCCAGAAAGAGGCCTCACAAACAGGCCACACGTACTGTTTTCCTGTCGTTCATGCACCTCACAGCCCATGTCCGGGATGTTCGCTTTCCGACTAGCCCGACTTTGGGACACTGAGAAATTCAGTCATAAATATATACAATCGCAGCACAAAGCACTTTAAAACTGTACCATTCTCTCGTCCTGAACTCACATTTCATCCTTATATCCATTTGGGCATTGTATTGACAAACTTCTATTCGTGAGCCTTAAAGATGGAGTGGCAATCTTCAGGTTAGTATGGAACCCATCGGATGCGACACCTATGGCTGGTATGACAAGCTGACAAGCGCTTAGATCTCCCGCTCACCGGGCTCCGCATTGCGTCCAATATCCAATGGAACGAAGCGCTTGAGGATGATGTCCCGGACGTCGAATCTCTTGCCTCTGAGGAGCTACAAGCTCTAGTCCTTCGCGATAACCAGCGACGGCCATTTCCACCAGGGTACTCCGATTCTACCAAAGCCTCGATCACTAGCATGAAGCACCGATGGCAGCGATTCTGCTTAAAGCTCAAAGATGGCAGCAACATGAGCTGGCAGCAACGTTTGGGATCCCTGTCATTTGAAACGAAAGGCCTTGCTACGTCCTTCTTCGCCCATTTGATGCGACACTCGAGAACCAATCGACGTTACCTTCTGGATCCTGCGTGACCCCGAGCAGTCAGGCGGGCGCGATCGACTTGCCATGCAAATCTTATTTCGCTTCCACAAAGGCCACCAAATTAAACGAGTCCCGACAACATTCCTGTTCGTGGAAGAAAAGCTGCCCATCATCTGCCCTATTTCTCACATTCTTGCCAAAGCACTGGCAGAGGGGGCTATTGCTATAGGCGAGCCTAATGATGCTGCCTCATTCTTTGCAACCAGAATCAACCGGCCTGGTATCAAGATTCGATGGAAAGAGGAGTCCCTGCACAAGCCACTCTTTCGAAAGTCAGCGAAAACACTACAAGGCTATGACAAGATTGATGAACCGCTCACACAGAGCATTTTCAACGACCACTCTCAGCGGCTCGGCAAGGAAGTCGGCCTGGAAGAACTTCTGCAAAATTATTGCTATCGGCGAGGCTTCGCAGAGACTGTTGATCGTAAGTACTTAATCGCTGGCCCTGCAAACTAGTCTCATTCTAACCCGACAAAGGTCACTATAGGCAGTCCGTCCGAGATCAAACACTGCGACACCAGCCGAGAAGCGATACCTACCAAATGGCCTACCACAATTCCAGAGTGAATGCTGTAGTGCAAGACGCCTTTCTCGGCCGTGGGACCAGCTCACCGTATTTAGCCGTTATGAATCATATGAGCATTCGCCGCAACGAGAAGGCCCCGAAGATAGTGCCCAGCGAAGTAATGGACATGATTGGCCCAAGCAAACTCGTGCGGCGGCTTGCAGCGGAGCTGGGAAACATTCGTGACCTACTCGGGGTAAAGTACGGGAAGCCAACGCTCGCCATAGGGGATGACTTGCTTCAACTAAAGCAGAAAGAAAACGAGCTTCGGGCTGCCAAACAGTCACAGTGTCGAAAGGTTCTGCAGCACATGCGCGCAGAGTTCTTTCAAATGTCAGATGACGATCAACTTCAACAACATTTGCTTAGCGACATATTGGAGAAGCCTTACATTCAACCTGCTGCAGAGCCACAGCAGATACACTATGCCTCGTCCGAACGAGAGCAGATCTCGGAAATTTTGCGCGACCTTGACCAGGACTTGCCAGATGAGGAGATGCTGCAGAGGAAGATCGATGCCATAAATGCGTGAGTGGCGTACGCGTTCGTATGCGAACCACGAACACAGCCAAAGCAGCCTAGCAAGCGGACCTCGCGAAAGACGTCGAACTCCTCGACGCCCGGCCCAGCCATCACATCACAGTTGCTAGAACCCCCCCCCCCCCCCCATCAAGTTTCGCCAACACTCGATTGATTGCTCCGGACCCAGCTGAGACGATCGTGGTTGCTACCGGGGTCGAACCTTCTCCCACTCCTCCAACACCATACTCCGAGCCCATTGCTCGTCCGATTACGCAAAGCTGGGTGCCTTCAAAACTTGCCAAACTCAACCCGCCGCCACCTGTTCCCTGCATCTTCTGCGGCAAGCAATACAAGAGGACAGGTAATATGTGGGATCACGTTGACGATCATCTTGGTCACGCTACAGATAACAGCTTTGATTGTCCTTTCCCGACGTGCAAAGCGGAGAAAGTGGTCTACAACGACAGCATGGTTTTCAAATCCCACGTATTCAACATTCATGGCGTGCGTTTGCGGCCGAAGCCTACGAAGATTGGCGGTCGCGATCGGTAGGCGCTATAGGGCCTTCTGACCACGATTCGCGGTACCGGTTCTTGTCGACGGTGTGCATGAGATAAATATGGCCTGGCTAGAAAATTTGGAGCACCGTTTTTTCTATGGAAATGTTGATATGGTGCTGCTTGCTTCATGTGTGTCGACGCTTTCTACATTTCTATGTCTAGGAGAGATTTAATGCGTGCATTTGAAAGATATTTTCTTTTTCTTTTTCTTCCTATCGTTCATGTATCAGACTGCCTTGCTCGTAGTATAGAGATCTATGTGTGTATCTAGTATTCTTATCAAATCGCTTAGTGGTTCCATTCCGTCTACAAAATACATCCGATCTAGTCCGTGCTTCGTCCGCACATATAAATTTCGTGAAATTGGCAGAACACAAGTTTACGCTTAAAAAGAATGCTCTGAGATACTCTAGCTCAGGCACTATATATCACTTTTATCTCCCTCTAAATTCTCCTTTCGAATTCAAACTTTATCTAATATTTGCTAAGGAGTATGTAACCATTACCTAGCGTTGCAGCTTAGGTATAACGTATGAGGTTTACCTCACATAGACTGCAATACTGCCTAAGAAGGGGCGCGCGATCTTAAGGAGTTTGCGGCCGTTCACATTCCTCTGATTCTTCCTTCGATTTTTCTTCAGGCCCTTTCTCCTCTGCTAGTTTCTGTAACCCTTTGTGTCCACCCGAGCCCGGGAAGCTTGCCGGTCCGTACAAAATCGGTGGGGGGTAGCTCTCCAGCTGGATTACGTTAGTATATAAATCTTCAATATAAGAAACTGTACCTTTAATACGTACAAGTGCTTTGTGCGGCGGTGGCCACGACTCATTAGTATTGCTACTATAGACGAAAGTGCGAAAGTCCTTTCGAAAAATAGTATAAATTTCAAAGCCACAAATTTCGTGCAGCTCATTCATCTTCCGGAGTAGGGTAGCGCGTCTCTTGATGCTCTTCAGCCTCAGCCTCTTCGCTTCCTTGGGTGATAATCGACTTTCGGCGCTGCAGCCGGTGAGACGGGTCCCATATCCGGCTTCGCCGGATCTGTCTTCAGTCCGAATTTTCGTGTCTCGCAGCCATATTTTCCCCAGAAAGTATCTGTACAGACAGCCGAGACGCCTGGTGTATTCCTGGATGGACAAACCCCTAGAGCTCCGTCGACCTGATGCCTGGCTCCCGAATCCCGGTCAACTAAAATCTTCCTCCATTAACGCGGCTTAAAATTCCGATCCGGGCTTCCGGCTCCGGGTCAAGTTTTGGATTCCCGGTTTGGGGCGGCTTGAGCATTATTTAGCACGTTTCCTACCCATAGCGAGTGCTTTGTTCCACCTAGGCTTGGCCATCTCTTAAATGGATCGCTTGTCTCCTGAAATCCTCGCGTCTATAGCAGGCATGCTGCCGCTGGATTCGCTTCGGAACTTCCGGCTCACCGCACGAGGTTTGGCTGAGGTGTCGGCCTCAATCATTAGTCAGCATCTTGCGATCATCAACGTCGGCTGGTGCTTAACTGCTTTCGAATCGTTCGGGCCCAAAACAGACGGCTGGTTGAACACACCCGTCATATAACAATCTATCATGCAACATGGCCAATCTGTTCCCGTCGCGCATGGAAGCTCCACCCGCTACTCCTCGGCGGAAAGGACAGATTTTTCAAGCTTCCTTCTGATCATGTGGCTGATGAAGCATTTCGCCGCTATCAGCAGTTCATCCTTTATGAAGCTGCTCGTGATCCAACAATACTTATCACAGTAATTCGTGCAATACCTAATCTAGCACTTCTCACCATAGCCCCCCTGCGGAAGCGGCGTGGCCCAAGGCAAATATGGTACGAACATATCAGACGGACGATCTGGCTGGAGCCGAAGGTTCAGGATCCTATTGGCGCGACAGTGGAAATGGCAATACGAGCTTCAGGTAGCTTTACAGACCTTTGCATTCATGGCGACTTTCAACCCGACAAATTTCGATGGAGTTCCCCATGCCCCTCTGTCCACAGGCTTACAGTACATTCGCTAGGAATCAACGACTGGGAGAGTCTACAAAGTTTCCTTTACTGTTTCCACGCACTAAATGAGCTATCTCTGGGTACGGCCCATGGCGCTATTCTTCAGCTGCATCTGCTGGTTTGTCCCCGGCTGCGAACTTTCAAGCTTAGCGGCTGGCGTATCCCAGGAAGGTCCCTCGTTCACTTCATACAGCTTCATAGGCCTCTTTCCGTGCTACATTTTCACAACGTCAGCCTAATCAGCGAATCTTGGGCTTCTATACAGGAACAGGCACGTTTGGCAAATGTCGAAGTAAAGATCATGTCGTACAATTAATTGAACCCGCGATCCTGGGGTGGGATTGCAGCCAGCTAACAAACTTCGTACTATTTATGTAGTAATGAGTGTGTTCTTATATCCTGTTGCCTGTTTACCGTCTTTAATCCTGGATTACTTGGATCACTTGAATTACTTAGGCTCCTGTCACAGTTGTTCCGGTTACTAGTTACAGCAAGTTCAATATGACTAGTCATTGTACCAGAGCCTAATCCAATAACCCGGTTACTGGTTATGGCAGGTAAAGACTGACTGGCCACGGAAAAAGGGTGACTAGTCATTGTAGCCACCCAATAATCCGGTTACTGATCACGGCAAAAAAATGATGACTAGTAATTATAGCTATCCAATAACCCGGTCACTGGTCACTGCTATAACCAGTAAACGGGTTATTGGATTAAGCTTCTAACTAGTCATAGCAAGGAAAGACTGACTAGTCACGAAGGGGTCATTGTGACTCAATAACCTGGTTACTGGTTATAGTATGCTAAAGGGTGACTAGGTATTAACGTTTTCCGATGCCTAGTAACAGGGCCAGATGCCGCTATGGCTTCCTATAGGACCACTATCTCGGGAGCAGATGCTCATGCAAGCGGAGGTCTCACGTATGAACACGTTGTCCGGCTCCCGAGGACTGCTTCCTGTTTTGGGCGCCTGGTGCGAGTATGACCAGTCCCCGCCGTGAAAGTCGTAAGCTCCACTTGATGTGTCTTTGTTCTTTTTCGCTGAGTGATCGTCCTCACTGCTACAGCTGAACCATCCCGGGTAGGTAGACTCGGGGAGTTACTCTGCAGTCGACCAGAACAATGAAGTTGGAGGCCAGGGGCATGCAAAACTTGTCAAAGGCAATCGATATATCAGAATCATTGTTTCATCAGCTGAATAACGCAGTAAGCAAACTAGTCCTTGCCTAAGCAGTGATACTACCCTTCATATTGCCTAGCCCACGGATTATCCACCATCTCCAGCAATTCTTCCTAAGGCACGATGAGTCTATGATCCTCCATAGTCTTCCCCTTGAAGCACTTATCCTTAAGATCCCAGTAATCGCCTAAGTTAGTTAAATTAGAAATAAGTATTCATCATACATCATACTCAGTAAATCTAATAGCAAAAAGCTTATCTAAGAAGCTGTTAGCCGCTCCGTTACCGTCGACTCGAAAGGATTCGGCATATGCTTATCACGAAGTAAGACCTGCGCTCAAAAGCTCTTTAGCTCGAAAGCCCTTCAGCTACGCCCAGAATACAGTTCTGGAAGCTAGAGTACGAGAACAAAATAATTATATATATGGCCCCTAAGGGACTAGTCAATATGATATACATCGTGAATATCTATTTACGGCACAACTCACTCTCTTTAGCTTTGAAGCAGTTAAACGTTAAGAAAGAAATTGTTAAGGGGGGCCGAGGTGGTCGTCAAGGCACGTACGTGTCGTTTGACACGCGAAAGCCAGCGAGTCTTCCCCTCCTCCCATCGCACCCGAATCACAATTACTCTTGACCATCAGAAAACTCTATCTTACAACCAATGAAGTGTCGGACTACAGCCGTGGCAGAGATCTTCATCCAGCAATAGCAAAGGGCAGAAAGCCTTGCCGTTCAACCTCCACCACAATGGGATGCGGCCTAAGCGTGATATTGCGAGAAAAGCTTGAGGACTTAATTATCAATGATATTCTTCAAGAAGACAAGGTAAACGATAGAATGTGGTTTGCTGGTGCTTCCAAGGCTGATAATACTAGCTTATCGACTCTCTTCGCGAAGCTAAGGTTGGCGAGCATTTGTCGAAAAATGCGAGGCTAAACCTCCAGAATCTGGCAGCGACAGACTGTGAGCCAGCACAGAGTCCCTCATGAACTTCTCAGCTGAAACATCTGGTTATAGGGCTTCATCCAGACGATTTTCCCTCTTTAAAGTCCGATCTAAAGCAGACAATAGTCAACCGCAGAGATGTCATATTCCGAATGTTCCAGACTGTGGTGTATAATTTGAGGAAGCAGTAGCGTTCAGTGCTGTCTTGTTCATTAGGATGAGCGAAATTGCCATGTTCCTTCTTGAAAACGGTTTATGATATCGTCTTGTGCACTCTCCATCTCATCTTTCACAGAAGCTTCCATCTCTAGTTTGATTCCATCAACACGATCATCAATATACAGCTCGTATTCATCTCGCACTTGGTCCAAGACAGAAACGGTGACCTCAACAGCGACATCTCCCTGGATATCATCTGCAACCTCGGTCTTCAATCCGTTGATTTGTTCGCTCACGAAATGCCGGGTAGCATGAAGAACCCTTTCTTCCATCTGTTTCAACTCCCCTAATATCTCGGTCCGCAGAGCTGTCTGCCCCGCCAGGAATTCAGAGCGCAATGCCAACTGGTGCTGTGCCATAAGTTCGTGGCAAAGCTTGCGCACAGCATCGCCAGCGTCGTCACCAGCATCCTCGCAGGGTATTCGTCCTGGGTCAACCCGCTGACGCTTTGGTGGTGGTCTGTCAGAGCCATCATCATCTCGACGTTTGGCCTCGCCGTTGTAAGGGGGGGGACTTTGCTCAGGCATCCGTGGGACACTGATGACCTGTCCTCCCTGCCCGGCGTACAGGCTGTTAAGCTTGGCGAGCTTTGGACACGAGGTTCACGAGGCGCAGACAGATGCCCCACAAAGTATGTCGGCTTCACCCTGGGAGATAGCATGCGTGGGCAGATAAACGGCTAGTCTGGTCTGCGTCGCCATCGCGCGGAGCGATGAGCATAATCGTTTCTTTTCTGAAGTCGGAAGCACCCAGCCGCGAGGACCTATCAACAGAACTGGGCGATGCAGTAAGAACTGCAAGCGCCATCGGGGCAGTGACGACCCTGTTGCTGTGTGTGTTGAGTGGCTAATGGAGCTGATATGCTCGGGGGGAATGTGTAGGTAGACAGAACCGTTCTTGTTGCCCGGGACAGGGAGAGACACTCGTAGCTTGAAGAAGGCAGTGTTTTTCAAAGTATCGAATGCAAAGGTGCAGTTCGCCGGGAATGGATTAATCGGGAGGTCAACATCGACCGCGCCGTCGATCGTAACAGCTTCGCGGATGAGAAGGTTTACCGATGTTGACGAGGTTGCGGCCATGCTTGTCGGAATGCTGCTGGGAATCTGTCAGCGTCTGTACAATCACAAGGACAGAACCGGCGGAACAAAATTCCCCTGCGTGGTGTTCAAGCAGGTTTCCCACCCGCCCAGGCTTTTCGAGACGCACTGCGCAAGCTGACGCCCGGAGCAGCCTTGACTCAATGTTCCTCGTCACAAGGAACGAGACAATTGGTATGAAACGAGGCACAGAAGGATTATAAAAAAAGAGTCCCCGCCGTTCTAGAAGCAACAGCACATGCCCAACAGAAATATATGGTAGCTTGACTGTACGGGAGTTCCCTACGAGACGTGCTCGGAGGAGACAACCTGCCCCAACACCCAGGGGAAGGCCTGTAGCTTGGTGATGGGGGCGCGCCGACCAGCAGTTCTGTGTGCGTACTGCGGAAGTGTGCAATGCAGTATTTCGGCGTCGGCATCGAGAGGGCGAAAGAGACAGAGAATGTGTCGTAAAGTGAGTAACCTACTCACGTCAATTCATGTGCAGAACCAACTGCCCTTGTACGAAATAATGCGGTAGCTGGTTGCGAGATAACCTCGGGAGTTTTTATCTAGTGCTCAGACCAGCTCCTCACATTCAGACAAGTCTCAGCGCAAAGAAAGCCCAGCACTTATTTGCCTAGACACTAATCCCGCTCCCACCCAAATTTGCAGTCAATCTGATAGTACCGACCTACAGTGGGTCAGCAAAACTATCTAGACACTCCTAAGTCCTCGGGAACAGCCACATGTACTACCTATCACTCAAACAGCCATTTCTCAGCCATACTTGATCCAAACTACATAAAAAAGATAGAAATCTGCTCCTAGGTACATTGCCTTTAATATCCAAGAAGATCGGCTAGGAAAAGGCTGGGGGACTTAGGTTTGATTGGTAATCTATGTCTCATTGGGGGGAAAAAGGTGGCATGGTCATGCCACCTTCCGCGCGTTCCCATGGTCAGACCACTTTTGTGAGTTGGCCATGTCAGCTCCACCTTCAGCTGACACCAATGCATCACCGTGACCCGCTCTAGCCAAGATTTTGAGCCACCTTCCGCCTTTAGCTGCTCCGAATAGTTGCCGTAGCCAGGTGTTATGACCCATCCAACATGCAGGTCACGAAACAGGCCCCGCCAACAAGGAACCAGGTGTCACGACCCAACGTCGGACAGTCAGCCAGGATTACATAAGCAAGGGTTAGGGTTATAAAGGAGGGAGGATCGGTGAGATCGCTACCGATCCAAGCAAGCCTCACACCACGGATCGCTGAGCTCGCCAACGATCCATCAGAGCTAATATAGTCAACAGGACTGAAGAGCAGGATATATAAGAATACGTTCATTACCATTAGATAGACTACTAGACATAGCTCTTTAGTCGTCAATCTAAGTATTCATTTGTTACACACTTGAATAGCTCCAAAGGCGAATGAAAGCACTTGCACGGATTGTTTGTTTATATTTCCGTATTCAGTTGGTTACTACTTTGACACCGCTCTTGTTAGCATAAACCCTTGTGTACTTTAGGATCTTCGGATACTGCAGTGCATCATTACACCAGGTTTGAATTTGTCATGCCACCTGCAGTAGCCTGAACAAATGAAATGTATCCACGCAAGTCTAGATACCCTGCTCTGGCTGCGACTGAGGATTTGATTGCAACAACGGATCACATCTCCGGAGATCATGGCTGTTCTGGGTGGGCGAGGTCTCCATCATCCTGTGGTCTCTTTCTGCGTGAGACAGGATTCTGACCAAGGCTCCGCCACGCATGCCAGGGAGAAGAGTAGAGTAGGTAAAAATGCTCTGTCCGCTGAGGCATATAAGTGCCTTTGTATAGTCTGTAGTGCTCTACCCAAGACTTCCCTGTCTCTATCAATTTTACTTGTCTCCTCTCGTTCCGTAGCAATGGCTTGCTCTCAGGACCCCAGTTATGCCATGTCGGCAGAACTTGCTACCATGAACTCTGAACTCATAGAGCTGATGCGTCGCTCTTCCGGGGATGACAGAACATTACTGGCATATGGAGCGCTGTGGACGGCCTGGCTGTTTAACCAAACCCTCACTCATGAACTTGGCATGAAAGGTAAGCTACCTTCCCGGCCTCAGCACAACTTCGGCTGATCCTTGACAAAGCATTTATCAGGTGCCAAAGACTCGTTCTTCCCTGCATACACATCAGATATGAGCTCCCACTTCGCTGAGCAAGAGACTACCTCTTGGAACGATGACAGAGACTCCTTCCAAATACTGATATCATCTGACGATGACGACTCAGTAGAGTTACATCCAGAGGTGTGTGAAGCATTGGCCTGCCCTAGTGATTATGGAGAAGATTGGATCAGCGATTCATTTCTTTACCATGCTTCGTTCGGTGACTCCAATGAAGTAGATGGCAACCATGACGCGAACATATCCCCCTACACCTTCGACGACCACAAGCAAGCCACTACAGGGTCCTTGGATTATACGGCGAGCTCAGTACCAGTTACCAAATATATACAGGCAAAGGTGCTCTATGGTGGAATTCGTGGGTTGTGTCGACATCTGAAGCAAAAATGTTTTGAAATGGTATAAGATGAAAGTTTGGTAAATGCTGAAAGGATAGAAGTCAATCTCTGTATCCTATTTGCTTTTCAATAGACTTTGCTTTAGTGAGATAATAAACTGATCGGAACTTGAAGCTAAGACTTTCAGAAATCTGATCTTGACTCTGATAAAAACTACCCCATCCTCCTTAATCTTATCAACATAGCCACATGCTGCTTCCTTGTGGCGATATCTGACTTCTGAACAGATCATTGTTGACAAGCCTACGCCTACCACCCCTTTAGCTACAGCCTTTGCTACAGGTTTCATATCATGTCGTGCCCGACTGTCATTTTTCCGCATCCTTTCTGCCAACTCGTCCAGGTATTTTGTTTCGGATATGGACTCCTTTGCTTTATAAGAGCTAAGACCTCGCACTCTTGGACTGCAACATCCCTTGCATAACTTTCACTTAATCCACCAGGAGCACAAGAGGGTTTATGCGACTCCTTTCACAGTTGCGCGGACCTGTATCGTCCCACCCCCATAGTACTACCAGTGACTGCCTTCCGAGTGAGGCTGTCAATCGAGGGAGGTAATCTGAGGTTGTGCGAGGCCAGGTGGGTCACTGGCCCCACTATCGCCAGCCAACCTAGCTATAGCCCCAGTTAGCCAGCTTTTTTCTTCCCTTCCTTTCTTTTCCTCCCTTTTTTCCTTCCCTAAGCGCAGTCCAATACAGTTCATTTCCCATAGAGGTTCTCCCTATGATTGGTTCTTCCTGTTGCTGAGTCATTCTCATCTTGCTATGTATTACGTAAGCAATATTCTCCACCAATTTTTCTTGGAAGCTATGACACATGGCGGCTTATCCTGAACACCTACTTAATGCTCTCCGCATCAACAATACAAGCCTGCAGGAAACTTGGAAGCCAATCACGACCGGCTATGAACCCCGAAGACCACCATAATGAGATCGACCAGATTCTCGACGATATTCTCGATGAGCTCGGGAAGCGCCGAAGAATCGAGAAGAGCTTTGCCAAAGAACTACCCAAGGTGCGATATGGGAAATGAACTGTATTGGACTGCGCTTAGGGAAGGAAAAGGAAGGAAAAGAAAGGAAAAACAGCTGGCTATCTGAGGCTATAGAGGTAGGCTGGCGATAGTGGGGCCAGTGACTCACCTGGCCTCGCACACACCCCCTCAGCCAACCTCGCGAGCCTCGCTAGCGATCCTCCTCGTGGTGTTTTCTCTCCTCTAGGTCCTACTCACTCCATCTCGTATACCAGATCCCATTTCCAATCCATTCGTTGTACCCTAATAGATAGAGCACTGTTTGAGGCCTAAGGCTTGGACGAATTGGCTGTGTTTGATAGCCTCCAACGGCTTCGTCAGGCTATCAGCTGCTATTTCCTCTGTGCTTACGTGCTGAATGCTGAAGTAGCCCTCCTTCGTCTTCTCGACAACCTATTTGTACCGGATATCTATATAGCGAATCCTGGCGGCGTTGTTCCTGTTCAAGACGTTGTATTTGGCATTCAGGCTATTCATAAACAACAACAGTAGCTTCTCAGGGTGTATACTAAACTTCTTAAGAAATGATCAGATTCAAAGCAAGGCTTAGCTAGCTGGGATGAGGTTTACGAACTCGGCCTCTGTAGTAGATAGAGTGATGAGATTCTGTATCTTCGATTTCCATAGCACGGGCGCACCAGCTACGAAGATGATGTATTCTGCTGTTGATCGATGCGTTGAGAGGTTATTACTAAAGAAAGCATCTGTATACGCCTTGATAATGTTGTTTATTAGCATCTTGCTGTTGATAATAATGCTCAGATCTGAGAAGCGTTCAAGATATCTAAAGAGGTGCTTCTGAAGGTGTAGATGCATAGCTGAGAAGCTTATATTGCTCTTCGCTACCTTATTAACTGTATATATGATATTAGGCCTCGTACCTGTTAATAGCTAGTTGAGAGCATCAGTTCTCTTCTGATACATCTTTGTTTCCTTATTCATAGGCTCCCAGTTCTTGGGAAGTTCGAAGCTAGCAGACTAAGGAGTTTTTGCTAGTTTGGTGGATTCGAAGCTGTACAGCTTTACGATCTTTTTAGTATATTCCTCCTGCAAGATGAAGATAGTTGCATTCTTCTCATTCCTCTTAATGTTGAAGCTTAGAAACTTCTTTGGATCTCCCAAATGCTTGAGATTAAATCGCTTGCTAATAGCAGCAGCAATCTTGTTGATATCTGAGAGTATGAGGCTAGCTATCAGCATGTTGTTGATGTAGAGGATCAAAAGAACTCTAGTCTTCTTGTTTCTGAAGATATACAGCTCGTTGTTGAAAGGCTTGAAGCTAAGGTCTTTGAGGAAAGGTGTGATAGTTTCAAATCATTACAGGGGGGATTGTTGCATGCTGTACATTCCTTTGATTATGAGCTAAACCTTGCTATTACAGCATCTGTAGCTAGGAGAAGGTTTAACAAAGATTCTATTGCCCTCAGGGATAGGGAAGTTCAGAAAGGCAATAATAAAGTTGAACTTCTTTCAAGCTAAGCTTTTGATGGCGACAAAAGCTATGAAGAGTTTGATGCTTGTTGAGGATGCAATAGCTGAGTATATATCCTCCATAGCTCAGCTCTCCATCTCGTAATTGCTACATATAATAAGCCTTGTACGAGGAATCTTCTTATCTTCCAAGGAGTTCTTAGGGTTGTTCTTGAGATCGAATACTTACTTAGCAGGAAGGATGTTTGCATCTGGGTCAGAGTTCAACTAGTTGTAAGTATAATTCTTCTCAAGTTTAGCAATGCTCTCGTTGCATGCAAGCTTCCAAGCTTTATCAAAGTCAGGCGATTGCATTGCCTGTTTGTAGTTCTTGGGTATATTAGAGGTTTTGATATTAATAAGATACTGAATCTTAAGTGCTAATAAGCTGATGAACTCGAGAATTAGTTTATAATTATTGTAAGGAATAGTAGCATTGATAGCAAGAGCATTCAGGCTTTTCGAGGAGTCTGGAAAGCTTATGCAGTTCTTGCCTTTGGCTGCTTGTTTTGGCTGTTCCCTTGTAGGGATTTGAGGAGTGTTTGATTGAGATCAATGGGATCTCGGGATGAGCTTCTTCTCGATCAGAACATCTTCATCTCGTACTCCCTAGGGGATATTATTATAAGGAAGGCCTTCAACGGATAGCAGGATTCTAGATGGTTCTTCTACTGATTCCTCCTCTTAGCTTGTTATATCTCATTCCTCTACTATTATATCTCCAAGAACCTCTCTCTAGCTCTTTATCTTGTTTGTAGGGCTGTACTGAGAATTATTCTTCTGGCTTTCCTCAGATTCTTCCCTGCTCTGCATCTTTGTATGTATTTCTGGCTTAGAGATGCAATCTGAGCTTAGCAATTGGAAAGCTTCTGGAATCTTAGTTGGAGTTTTATTCAAACTTGCATCAGGAGTATAATCTTAAGAGTCTAAGATTTCTTGGTTCTCGATAAGCATATTTAGTTGGATAATAAGCTCTTGAAGGGTAGATAGGGTATTAGCTTTCTCGAGGATTATTGTAATCATTATGAACTTGTTCTTAATGAAGATATTGCTGAATTCAGCTATATGCTTGATCTCTGCTATCTCTGAGTTGTTCAGAGAGGAGTTTTCGCATTCTTGTATCTTGATAGCTACTGCTCGATAGACCTTATCAGCTTTAGCATTATATACTCATATAATCTTCTCTGAAGATATATTCCAGAAGAGAAGCTTAATCTTGATGCTTGTTTTGGCGTATTTGTTGCTTGATTAGCAATATGCTTTCTTTATATGGATTCAGACTTTACTGCTTACGATTCTGAGGAAGCTAGCATCAGGAATCGCCTCCTTGTTGAGATTTAAGCGTTCTCCCAACAGCTGAATAAGTGCTTTGTTATCCTCGTTTGCTGTATATAGGAGAAGATTGATTATGCAGCATGCTGCTTCTATTGTAAATAGCTACAGCTGTGAAGGAAGATTAGCTGCATTGTGGGCTGTTCATATCTTCTTGACTATATCTCAGCCAGCTTTTTCTGCCTTGCTGTTTATTCACAATGAATGAGGAATAGTATAAAGAATAGCAATGCTGTTCTCGTTTGCTCATCTTATGAGCTTTGAGTTCTTGAATAGGGCTGTAGCAAGGCTAAACTCTGGTTTATTGTTACATCCAAGAGCTTGAATCTTCCTGCTCGATTGATGCTTGAAGAAGGCAATAAACTCTCTGATTTAGCTGAATATCTTGTGCTTTCTGTTTGCAAAGTAAATCCAGTGGAAGTTTGTATCCATATCAACGAAATGAAGGCAATAGCAACAGCTATTATATCCCTCCTGAAATTCAATGAGATCAAAGCGGATAAGCTGGCTAGGGGCATTGTACTTGGGTTCCTGGTGTTTTCTATATATATTCATGAAGCAGTTCTCTAAGCATGGTTTGCAGTAGAAATCCTTGTTCTTGATAATCATGATGCTAGCTCTCTTCGCTACACCTTGTATAGCTGCTGAGCCAGCATGCATAAAGCAATCATGAAGGCGTTTATATGTGATCAATATAAGCATCGCTGGTTTGGCTAGAAAACCACCCCCTGAGGGTTCAGAGCGGTTGATAGCTTTTAGGACTAGCACCTCCTCTTTCCAGTTGATCTGGCATATCTCTTTCTTGTTTGCAGTATTGATAATGTGGTTCATACAGCTATTAAAGCCATATCCACACGCCATCAGCTTACCTACGCTGATGAGGTTGCAAGGCATGCTTGGGGAGAATCTGGCATTCTCGAGCGTAATAATAGCAATCGATCTATTATTATATATTACATCGAACTATACTATTCCAGCCATTTCTATCTTGAAGGATTCTGCTGCTGATTCCATAGCTTCCTGTTCGCATAGTTGAACCAGATCCAGGAACTACTTGGGGTTGTTAAAGAGCGTTTCTGAAGCGCTTGTATTAGCAATGATGCTATTCCTCAAGAGTTTTCCGTTCTCGACGAGAGCAGAGATGGCAACTGTAGCTGGTTTGCTAGCTACGCTTGATCTACCAAAAACTGTTGGTTCCGCTGTGATCAACGAACTCGTCAATGTTAGCTGAGCTGTTTAGCCTTGAGTGTTGTTCCTGCAGCTTCATCCAGACATGCTATAGCATTTGCTACATTCCTTACAGTGTTTCCAGCTAGAAATAAGGTATTTCTTGCATTGGCAATAATAGGAAATCTTCTTGATGATTGACTTAGGCAGCTTTATGCTGTTGACAATGCCTGTAAAGGGCAGGGAGTCCTTGCAAGGCCACTGCCTCGCACCCCCTTGAGCTCCTTCTGAAGTATTCAATGAGGTTAACATTTGAGCTGTCTTCTTAAAGGATGAAAAGGCCTTGTTATCTATACCTGTAATAATAGCTGAATTGATCTCTGCTATAAGGATATCCCAGGTAAGCATATTCAGTTTATAATCCCTTCTAGCAGATGCATGCATTTCTAGTAGCATATTCTTAATCTTTTTCAGAATGATAGCAAGAAGAAAGCTCTCTGAAAGCTTCAGTTTGAGCTCCTTCAAGCATCTCTTCATATACTATAGATCATCTCTAAAGGCTTAGAGAGTCGAGTAGTCTGCTACCTTGCAGTTTGCTAGTTGTATAGCTATTTAGTTGATATAGTCTTCTGAGTGCTTAGGAATCATCTTGAGAATAGCATTATATATCACATACAGGTCCTCTTCTTCTACAGGGAAGCTAGCATTCATTAGCATGCTCCTCATCTTGTACAATGTGCTTTGAAGAAGGGTAATCACTATTCCCTGCTCTTAGTTCCACTTATTCCATCTCTTAGAATCCTTCTCTTTATCAAGCTTAGGAATAGAAGATTTGATGTATTTGCTCAAGCACATCTGCCTAAGAATCAATACTACTATCACTAACCAATCCTCGAGATTCTTCTCGCTGAGGAGGGTAGGGATAGCGTAGGTGATCAGCTGCTATAGCCGACTTGTAGGTTCCTCCATCTTCAACGAACTGTCTTGCTAAAGGAGAAGGTTTTGTTGTTATTATTGCTGCAGTTGAGAGGCTTCTGATGCCTTTATTGCAGCTGTTTGTTGTTATTGCAAGAGTTCTTCGCCATTCTCAACATCCTCGCAGTATGGTCGAGTGGAGGTTTTCAGGCCTCTTTCTCGTGGTTTTTGGTGATTTTGACTGTCGCGAGTGCGTACGAGGTCAGAAATCAAAGGTGGGCTTGTAATTCAGGGTCAATTGACGAGGAATATCGTCAAATTGATGAAAGAAGAGTGTGAGGGGTTATAACCTATGGGAAATGAACTGTATTGGACTGCGCTTAGGGAAGGAAAAGGAAGGAAAAGAAAGGAAAAACAGCTGGCTATCTGAGGCTATAGAGGTAGGCTGGCGATAGTGGGGCCAGTGACTCACCTGGCCTCGCACATGCGAGATGCCTCCGATATCACGACCGGATCAATCTTTCTTAAACATGGCGGCATAGCAGCCTGGGTTGTGTATGCCTTGATAGAAAAAAAGACAAAAAATACCGGCCACGTAAAAGGAAAAGGAAAACGCAGACTTCTTCTCCAGCGTATTCAAGCCCTCAATGTCGAACAACAGCAGTCACTTGCAGAACAGCTGGAGGCAAAGATTACAGACAATCAACGAGAGTACTTCCAAAAATGCATCACCGAGCTCCTTGCTGCGAAGACTGGCAATGATTCTGAAAGGGAACGCAGCGCCACAGAAGGCTCTCAGAGGACAAGAGACAGTTCGCGGTCAGGACACGGCGCAGGACATGGCGCAGACAACAGCGAGGACACGGCGCAGGACACGGCGCAGGACACGGAGCAGGACACGGCGCAGGACACGGCGCAGGATACGGCGCAGAACACGGCGCAGACAAGATCGCAGGGCAACAGCGCAGACAACAGCGCAGGACACGGACACCGCGACGGCATAGATTCTGCAACCCCTCAACTCGCGATACTAGGACAGGTCTTCCGGATGCCGTCTACGATCACACGACGCCTTGAATCTTCTACAATACCTACTTCAACGGGTGCTCTCGTTCCCAACCCAATCGAATACTTTAAAGAAAACCGACATATTTTCACAAGCGCTTCCATTGCTGTATGCAATCGCATCTTCCCTGACTATCTTGCCAGATCCATCCCAAAGCGAGCCAAGCCTGATACAGTTGAAGCAGCAGTCTCAATGGTAGTTCTATCACAAGACTTTCCAGGGTGCCTGCTAAGGATAGAGGTCACAAGTAGCAAGATTGAATACATTGCTTTGCACTTATTTCACACACGACTAGAGATGGCGGATGGTCGTCGTTATCTATGTCTAGAGAATGGTCAAGAGGTTGCTCCCTATCCTTGCATTACGCTCCAAGAATGCTTTCTCGAATCCATTGCTAGCTTCTTCGGCTATTAAGTTGCACAGGCAATATTCGCTACTCCGATATACCAGGCAGAGGTTCGAGAAGAGAAAGATAGGACAGGCTGTGTCTCGATGACAATCTCTGCTGCGGCAGATAAGAGCGCAGACATTTTCATCCAGTTGGGACTGAGAGAAGGCTTGGAACTTCGGAACAGATTATATACCTGATTTTGATAGTGCTATATAGGTCTACTATTCAATCGCTTTTTTTTAAAAATCATTTTTAAGCTGGTATCAAGAAGCAGAATAAGATAGAGAATGATACAGGAAGGGATAATCACTTCACATTGCCCTCGGATATAAGGTCGAACCATGGGAGAAAGCGGTTGTGAAAGTTGAATATGCCCGGTATTAGCAGGAAATAGGAACGCAGAAGCTAAGAAACCGCTCTATCCCAGCAAGAGCCGAGAGCCTTCAGATGCTTCAAAATAAAATCAGAAACACTTCTCAACAGCCTGTAATCCTTTAACTCAAGTTTTATTACAAGATCCATTATTACTATCAGACAGCCGTTCCAAAATACCATATCCAAGTAATTCATCTCGGTGAACTCACATATCTCGCAGATATCAATGAGATCAAGATCATCCTGGTGATCGCTTTGCTGCAGATCTTTCCATCTGGTATCGTACTGACTGCAAAATTTGACGAAGTTGAAGGGATCCATATCAGCACAGTCAGCAACATCCCATGCAACTCCCTTGATAGTGGCTGCAGCAGATATCTTATCATCATCTAATACTTCTGAGCGGATAAGTTCCCAACGATGCTTTGGAAAAGCAAGGTCTACAGATGTTAGCATAAAATTTATATGATATAAATGCCAACTTACTTGGTTGGAATGATAGAGAATTAGGGATAGAAATGCCCTCCCTGTTGGAATCTTGGAGTTGACGAAGTAAATGCATCGCTTGGCTCAGCAGGTACCGGATCCTAGTTATCTCCTCTTGAGATGAATAAAGATTCGAACCAAGAGAACGAATGAGATCTCCAGGCGTAGCATCGACTAGAGAGAGCAATCTTGCCACTCGGATCAAAGAGCCTAGGATCTCAGAAATATCTATCTCAGGTAGCTGAGGAGAAATGTCTGGCCTATCCATGCTGTGAGCTGAAGCGAGCAAGGGGGAGGCTCGGGCTGATGAGTGCTGAGTATCAGTCATTGCTCTAACAGGAACAAGTGATAGAGATACTAGTGGTGAAGGCTGGCTAGTTCCAGGGGCATATTGATCCATGTTGTTATGAATTTCGAGATATGCTTGGAATGTAGAGTCATGCTTTGAAAACCGGAAGAGCTGCAGCCTTTTTATGCTTGGAGATAGATCGTTGGATAGAACTACCCATGAACGAGCCCAATGCCATACTACTATTGTAATTTTTTACTTTGAATAGCTATAAGTAATGTTCTATAAAACAGGTTTGCAACTCATTCTGCCTGCTAAAGATTCCTATTATCAGAAATGATCAGAATAGTTTAGAATCAATTTATACAGTAGGGCTAAGAATGCTTTTTTGCAATATAAACAGAATCAGCATATATAGCTGAGATACTATCAGAAGCAAATGCAGCTTCACATTTACAAACATGCAATAGTGCATTCGAGGCAATCATCCTTATCTACTATACCCCTCTCTCTCCCCCAGCTTTTGTGCATTGTAACTCATATCTGTGGAAGTTAGGCAATTAGTCTCATGCAAAGTACTTAATTATGTATTTACATGCTTTAATCATAGAATCCAGTTTCCTACTTCATACAGCCTAATTACGAACGATATAACGATTATTTTCAAGTAAGTATGATTTTTGGATAGTATGCACGGATCTCATGCAACTGCTAATCATCCCATGAAGTAACATGCTTCAACATAATATTCACGAGATATATATGCAACCAGGGTAGTCAGGCGAACAAGCTTGAGATATTCATTCCATTCTCTATTCAGTCTAGTTGATTGCTTTCATACTATTGTTGTGGTGGCCAGGGTGGTAGTCCGTGGGACATGGAGTACAGTGGGTCAAAGGGTTCTCATACATATAAAGGATACCACCCACTTTTCAAATTCTTTAGCTATAAGCAACAATCAAGCATCCTTTCTCTTCTTTTCAATTTTGAACCCTTTGGACAGGTCTAAGACAGGTTTTTCACCCTGTTCTTGTGCCCGTGTGGCCTTAGTTTGCTGTCCTCATCTGTACAGGCACGCTTGGGTTGCACGAGCCCTTGCTCATTGCTTCAGCAGCTGTTCGTTCCTTCTTTCGAAGGCGACGGCGCCCTAGTTCTGGTTCACTATCTCAAATCATTCACATTACCTGTAACAAAGCGCAGTAAGCAAGAGTTTATCCAAAATGCTAGCTTATTTTTTTGCAATGCAGGGATTTATTCAAGCTAACTACCTTCGCTCATATCAAGCTTTTTCGAAAAGCTCTCACCAGAATCCATTTTAGATATATATTCTCTGTGGAAAAGCTTAGCTATTAAGCATGAGATCTAGCTATCTTTGTATTTCAGATATTGACATATTTGTTCAGTTCTAGAGTATTTGTTAGTTAATAAGTATAATTTGATGATCTATGAATTCGAACTTACTGCAATGATTAATTGATAATATATTTAATGAGATATGATATTTAAATTGGAAGCTCTCTGAGGATTGCTGATAGTTCTTGATATCGAGTATGCAATAGAATATAGCCTTTTGATTTGCTGCTATACAAGCTAAGGATACTTCATTGGAATACTATAAGGCGAGCTTGATTATATAAGTAGCTATAAGTATAGCTTTGTATTTTCTGCTTGAGTAAATACCTTGTAATATAATCTGTATTATACAGTTGAGTTGTTATAACTCACTTCCTGTATCTTGCAAAGCTAATTTAGCAATGATTTCATTAGCAAACCTCGCTCCCCTTTTCAGCTGATCTAAGTGTTTCAGTTAAGAACTGTTTATAATAATCCTCAAGATCTTATTGAGCTCATCTGGCTCTGCTCATTCAGAAGTATACAGAACAGAATATAAAGAAATCAACAAGAGCTCGAGAGCTGTTCGATTATTTTTTCCTAATATACTAATAGCTAGCTTTTCTGCAGTATTTATTAGCTTTTCATTGTTAATTATCAGAGGAAGGCATTCTAAAAGTGTTTGTAATTCAAAGCATACAGATATGTTGCTTGTTCCAATTCTCTCTGCAAGCCTTTGCTATTTCAGCTTTACTAGCTGAGGAGTAGTACTATTGTTGCGCAAGGGTTGTTCCGGATTGTAAAAAATGAATTCGAGGCTATTCATCGATAGTACAGCCATCTCATTCTTCGTAGGTTTCATTTTGGTTGCATGCATAATTGTGAGATATGAAGGTGAAAGAATAACTGGTTCTGAATGAAAGCAGGAAAGTGCATATCTGAGTTCTGCTTGAATCAGCAAGCTATATATGCATAAAGTTCCTCATGCTGTCAGCCTTAGTGCAGGTCTGCAAGATTACTCTGACTAATCTGGTGTTCACTCTTAATGAATCGGTGAGTTGGCGTCCGGACTAGGCACTTATCAATCAGTTTTGCAAAGCTCAGCATCTTGAAGCTCTTGCTGATTCCTTTCAGAAATCTAATTCCGCACCCAAAATGAGCTTATGCATGTATTCCTCAGTAATAGCACACCCAAGCTGCTAACGAGATGTATGCAATAGAGTAGAGTTAGCCTAGCAGCTGAATACTGCACAAAGTATATGCAGTCTCTCATATTTCAAAGCTCCTCTGTCAACATTGCCCAAAAACGCTTATATTCCCATCGTATCTTTCCCCAAGCCTCCTCATGGGACAGCAGCGAGTCTCCCGGAAGCCCTAGCCTCAGTCTCTAATATCAATTCAATAGCTCATCCAGTGGGCTGATTTGTTGTATTGAACTATTCTAGCAATTCCGAAGCTATAACTAATATGCTCCTTATCATTGCTCGGATTTCTGCTAGCAATACATCGCCACTTGCGCTAGCTACAATTCGAAGGAATTGCATAGCACAACATCTAATGTTAGCAGAATCTCTGCTCATTTTCGTGGATACTGGTTTCTCTGGTGATCAGCAGTTCGACTTCGGCACAGAAAGCAGCTGCCAGTTTCAGTTGCCCGCTCTGGACAGTATTGGATGACGGCATTGTTCTCTTCGCTTCGAAAACCGAATCTTGAAATTCCAGAACTTTGGTGCATTCTCCGATAGCATAAGAACTGCAATCATGATAGATGGTTAGCAATGGGAAACTATACATGGTATTTCCTTGCGTTTGTTAACTGGTATTTTCAAAATTGGTTTCAAATTCCATCCTCATCTTTCCTTTATTGTATCTCTTTAAAGAAGAGAGGCTTGATGATAGTCTTTCAATCATTGAAGCTTAGGAGTTTAGGAATATGATTCCTATAACAAAGATTTGATGCAAATTTCAGCAGCATCATTACTAACTTAAGCTTAAGATAATAAAAAACTTCCAATATATACATTATTGCCAAATGCTATTACTATTGAATTGATTCTAATATCAATTTCCAGAAGAATCTAACTTGTTTGTTAAGCTACAATCTTGAGACTTTTATTATTCTAAGCTCTTGCATTCTGAGCAATCTGAAAGATCATTATAGTAGCTAGCTATTTACAAGCATTGAATGCAATATTATTGCGCAGCAGAGCCTTTCCAGCTTCTATTATCTTTATGATTATGGCTTAATCTACTGAAATATTGAGTCTAGCATAATTCTTGTTTCGTATTGCAATGGAGCTAATATCCAGATCAAGCTTCATGATTTCGCTGGCTTTACAGATGATTCTCCACCTTGGTTACTTTTCACCCTACCAGAATCGCAGCTAAGCACCGAAATCGCACCTACATGGCGTGGCGATAAGTCAAAGGGGGGGGTTTCCGCCCATCCGTAGTTCCCGCCCACCCTGGTCAGCCACACTACATATATACATATATATATATATATATTGATTAGCTTTACATACTATTCACCCACTACGATGCAATCCTCTTCATCAGTAACTAATTCGATATCGCTCTCTTCATTCTGACTATCCTCGTCTTGATTGACTGCTATTTGGGCTCTCTGTATAGCCTCAATATCCGCAAACTTCGAATTCGGGCTCACATCAACCTTCCTTCTTTTAGTAGGCCTCATCGCCTCAACTTGCTTTTCCAATGCCTTATTTCTTTCCAAGGCTTGAGCAAACTCTATATTCCTCTCGCTATAGGCCTTCTGTATCTTCCTAAAGAATAGGCGTTGCTGTGGTGCTGATAAAAGACGGTTCCGATTCTCCTGTAGCTGTTGATATAGCTGTTTAGCCTTTCGAGGGGTTGAAAAGGTAGCTGGCTGGCTCGAGGAGGCTTTTGAGGATAGCTTAGGTGTGCGAGGCCAGGTGAGTCACTGGCCCCACTATCGCCAGCCAACCTATCTATAGCCCCAGTTAGCCAGCTTTTTTCTTCCCTTCCTTTCTTTTCCCCCCTTTTTTGCTTCCCTAAGCGCAGTCCAATACAGTTCATTTCCCATAATTCCTCATCCTCGTCCTCAGTGACATTATATGCGCGCTTCCTGTCAGGGCTTGGGGGCCGGTTCCATTCGCGCTTCCGACGATCGTCGGGCTTGCCGTCCTTCCCGGAGCAGTCGTAACCAAATAATGGCTCGGATGCTCAGCCGCTATATATACGGCCTTGAGCACCTAGGCGTTCTCGACACCCAAGTTCGCCAACTCAAGTGAGCATAGCTTTTCATACCGTTCGAAATCCTTTCAGCAATAATCATCAAGCCGACAGGATCAGGGGCTTTTAGTTAATCATTGTATAAGAGCAAAGGTATAAATTGATGATATTATATTTGTAGTTAGCAAAGTTAATAATGTTGGATATTGGAAATAGACATTCACGACATAATTATCCTCTCTGTTTAGTGATTTAGAAGATTTAACTTGAGTCAAATGTTAAGCAGTTGTGGTATACAGATTATCTTAATTACGAAAAGTGTATTTGGCCTTTTTGCTGCTGCCAGTATACTGGGTACAAGCCTTGGTATTCTTTTCTAGACTCTTGTTAGGTTCTATTGCTGCGTAGCATCTGCTCAAGCTGTATTGGTTACTCGGCTGGCCCTTATAGATCATCCCGTAATACGGGTCTTCTAGATGCTGCAGTTCGCGCTTGAGGCATGCTTCGCAAGGAATGGCCCGGCGCCTGGTCGTCAGCTTGTCCTGAGAAGACTGCGCCTGAGGGGGCGTCATGGACACTGGTCGCTCTGGAGATCCCTGGCTGGCCTCGCTGTCGGGAGTCATGCTGATGAAAGCAGAAGGGATGCGAGAAAGAACTTTGGATCAAGAGCCGATGTTCGCCGGTAGTCGTCCTCGCTGCAGTAACTGCTTGTGGTGGGTATTCTGGGAGAAGAAGTCTGTTGCAGGAGGAAAGGGGGCCAGCGAGGCTGGATGGTACCGAAGAGAGGGAAGCAGCATTTTGCAATGAGAGAGGGAGGAGGAGCGGGACTGTCCCAGACGTTGATAGGGTGAACGGCCGAGCACCTTGTGTGCATAGAGGTCCCAGAAACAGCGTTGAGGTGTTTCTCAGCCTCTTCTCTCCTGTTTCATCTGTTCTTTTCGCAGCTCAAAGAAAGGAAATTCCTCTTGCAGTGGCCATCTGAGGCTTGTATGAGGTGGTTTTCACACCTTGCCTCCCTGCCACTCCCTCCCCTACGACGACTACACGATCTGATTGGCCAGAACGCGTGAGGCAAGTGGAGCCCAGACACGGCGGGGTCTCCACATTTCCCACAAAAGCAGGACAGGGGTTCTCCATCCTCGCCTGCCCACAAGGCTGCCCCCAATGGGCAGTGGCCTTGCAGCATTCTTTTTTCCTTTCTCATATTCTTTTTTCCTTTCTCAACAACCCCTTTCTGCTGCCCATCTTCTTGGCTTGAGCTTTTTCAAGAGCCTGCGCGACCCAGAATGGCGTCTTCAGAGCCCGACTCTGGCTTTTCTCTGCTCCCCAGTTCCCCCAGTTCTCCCACCTGCAGTCCGACCAGATCTCGCAGCCGTTCCGCGACCCCGGTTCCTCGCCTCAGCGAGGAGGTCATCGCGAGTCTTAGTCGAAACCCCTCATCCGCAGGACCTTGTGAAGGTAATGGCCATGTTGACAGTGGCAATGCCCGGTATAGCCTTCGTGTATCAAAGCTTGGAACGAATCTGACTATGTACGCGCCTGACAGTCCGATTGATGATCCTGCATCAAGCAAGACAGAGGACGATTCAGGTATTGGATGGGACAGGAAGATCGAAGACCACCTACTCTATGCTTGGAGACTGCTGGAGGACATCGAGTCCAGGATAAAGCAGAATGAGGAACGCGTAACCCAGAGCGTGCTCCAGCTCTCTCTAACCCGCCAGATGATCCAGAACGTGGAGCATTTCAAGAACTACGGAAAATGCCTGAATCATCCAGACGAGGCATGTATGAGGATGCTGTTCCAGAATATGCCGTGTGGGCCTGAGTTCGTGTTTGAGTATTTTCGTGTGGTCGGCGCCACGGAAAGAGCTTCGTCTGTGCCAAAATGCCCAGATGAGACCTGTGCGAATCTTGGCCCTGGAGATTCGCCTGTCCTGGCACCTCGCAGTGTTTCTCACGAGGCGGCTGCTGGTCACCCTACGCTATGCGCTGGCTCAGAAGTGGACGATGAGCAGGAAGCTGAACATTTCAGCCCTCTGGCTGTATGCAGGCCAAATAAGGTGAGACTTGAGGGAGCTTTCTTCTGTCATGCCTTTCACATCTAACCATCTCTCAGGCCCAGCGAACGGCAGCGTCTCGAGGTCGAGAGATGTCTTTTTGTTCTCCAGCCCCCACTCAGAGCTCTTTTAGCCCTCGCAGCATCCCCTTCTACTTCTCCTTCTGCGGGCCCTGCCGGCTCTCAGGGTGCAGGTCCCTTGGGGCCAGTACGTCCTATCCCCTGTCTTGGTTGTGCCAAGAGCCTGGCCAGTGACCAGTCCGACGGAGCATGCCACGATATGAAAGATGCGGCGTCTTCTGCCTGCTGTGCTCGATGCTCGAACGGCAACGAGTGTGAGTGTGTGCCTGTCCCTGGCTACCTGATGCCTTTCATGAGGAAGATGTACGCGGCCAAATCGGTGCTTGCTTCGTCTCCTGCGCAGACCGGCGCCGAGTGGTCTCTTCTCAAACGCAAGCGCTCAAGCGCACCGGTGCAGCAGGCAGCCTCTCCCCTCGGCGGGTTGCGGCTCCACACTCCGATCAAGCATGCTGTCTGGGCCTGGGAGGCCGCCCTGGAGCACTACGAGAAGGGTGCCTTTACGGATCTCGACCGCCGCGTTCAGGACCTGGAGCGCACTCTTGAGCATGTGACGCAGCAGCGGGATACACTTGTGATCCGGAGAGAGATAGACCAGATCCGTGTCGCTGAAGCCCGAGAGGCTCGTGCGACCGACTCTTACTATGTCTGGCGGGAGAAGCACGAGGAAGCCAGGGCTGGGAAGCGTAGTATCGTGCTTACTAATCTGGATAGTCTCTGTGTTGGACATGGCACTGGTAGACTCGGTAGACTTCTGGGCCTTCTCAAACCTCCGCAGGCAGACGCAGAGGCAGTGGAGAGCTGGCAGCTCAAGACCAGCGGCTACTCCGCAGACGGAACGAAATCGTACTCCGTAATGGTAGCGCACTTCATGCGCACGCCAGGTGGTCGATACCCAGGTGTTTCTAACGCTTGATAGTCTCAGTATAGGCGGCGCGGGTCGCATGGCGAGGCGCTATCGTGTTAATAGCTACGCGTGGTCGTAGCAGGGGCGAACAGGGCGCGACAAGACATGTCAGTACAGAAAATAAGTGCTAGGGACCGTGTGGTATGACAGATGAAGAGAAGGATTGGAGATAGCTTGAAGAGATGGGGAAGCGGAACTTGCCTCTGAAGTGATTGTTAGCAGCATCTGAGATCCAACTGATCCTTCCCCCCCCCCCCCCCCCCAAACAAAAAGCTGCTCAATTAGAATGCGAGATGTCATATGAAGATGCATTTATTTCTTCAGCTAAACAGCATCACACTCGCAGGTAAACGCACAGGCTTCCTCCCATATAGCCTTCGAGTCTCGTAACCCCTTAATTAGCAATGCTGTATTTGTTACAGGGCTTCCAGAGACTAGCATTCCAGTCATATCCTTCGGCTCCAGCTTTGATGGGAGGTAACCGACTAACGCGAAGAGCGCTTGTGTAAGTATCCATCCTTCTTCGAGACAGCTTAGCCGAACCAATACCCCTTCACTCTGGGGATTAAAGCCGATGCAGGGAAAGTTGCGGAAGCCCTGAAAGCACCCGATAAGGCTTTTGTCCTGTTGCGGTAGGCAATCTTGATAGCGAAGCCCGCTCGGTACTCTGGCAACAGCGGAGAGCAGGTGCTCGCTTGTCACCACCTGCCAGTCCATCACGACCCTTCTTAATTCCCGCACTGCATTTAAGAGGTTTGCTGTGTTATACTCTCGTGGCAGAATCCCTAGCTCGTTTCTGAAAAAGATATTCATCAGCATAGATCGGAATCTTGCATAGAACGAATGCAGTCTTACATCCGCAACAGTGTGCAGAGGCCTTGGATGAATTGTTCCCGAGAGATGTCCAGAGTAATACTCTTGGGTTCCCAGCCGTGATATCGGTTTGGATTCTCCTCGCACCTAGACCTGTAGCGGTAGACGAGAAGACTTGCCCCTGATTAGCTAGTTTTCATCCTGATAAGCAGTAGGTTATAAATCATACCACGGCATTTTTGAGGATATCTGCTGAGTAGCGAACCTGGCGAGCAGTTTAGGGCAAGGTGGATTGATGTCTGCATTCGGGCTGTGTGAATGGGAGAAGAGAAGCTGAGATGGCTGAGAGCAGGTGTTCTGTGCCTGCCTTGCGCTATCAATAGAAGTTTCCTGGTCTTTCTATGAACCATAAATTCAGACGAAAGTATGGATATCTCATGGATTCAGCAGCATAAGCGGTAAGCTGCCTTAGATTAGGTTCAGAAGTTTGCTGTGTCTATCCACCACTTCCTCCAACCTCTCACCTTTTTCTGACGTCTTTTTGAGAGTATTGCCTTGCCCGCCTACCCTCGTCTCTGCCCTCTCCTTCCTGCCCAGCTGGCACTTCATCCGCTTTCAATCTTCCTCAACCCCTTCGATCTTTCTGACGTTCCTCGACCTTCCCCAACCCCTCGCGCCACATTAATACAGCTTTCCAGCGTGCAAGCAATGCGTGTTGTCTCTGCATCCAATTCAACCATAGTTCTGATTTTTGGTTGGGGATGCGACAGGCATGCTTTCTTTCCTTAGCCCCTTCCTCATACAACTATCGGGGTGTTACCTCACCCTTGCCTTCACAGGGGCACGACCGGCCGAGTTTGTAGACGGCGAGAGAAAAAGCGGCAACGATACATGTCTGGAGGAGTTATTTCCACAGAAAGCAATAGGGGCTTTTGGCAAAGATAAAGACAGGGCACTTGACGAAAATTCCCAGCTCCTCCAAGAGCTACTCGCACAAGAAACCATTTGCCGTGGACGTCCAAAGGCGCTCTGTTACGAAGACATTTTGCTGATGGTCGTACGCCACCCTGACACCGGCGGCAACGTCCTGGCGATGTCCATCAAGTTTATATACCACAAAGGAGCAGATAATAAGCCAAAACCGTAAGTAGTTACCCGGTTGTCTTTAATGATTTTGGAACTAATGATTACTCTAGGACTATCTTCTTCTTTACCCCTACCAGAAGATTAATCTTCTGTCTTATCAGCGTTATTGTTAGTCTAGCAGGATCTGATGGCGCGTTTGCAGCGACGAATTTAACTAGTGCCAGACAAGTCTTTCAGGTTAAGAACCAGGGACCAGTCAAGTGCACTCCGCTACGCTGGAAGAAAGAGTGGCTCAAGCGGCCTATATTCCGCCGGTGCGACGACTCTTTGCCGGAGGATAAACCCGACGACTTGATTTCAAAAAATGAATTGGACGATGTTGTTTCAAGATATCAACCTCTTCCATATTACAAGCTAAGAGATGATATGACGCATTAATCGCTAGATAGTGGATGTAAGAAGGCGATTGAACCGAAGGCCTGGCGTAAGGGAGCAGCAAACTCGGCTAACGGTATATCATTTCCATGCTATAAAAGTCGATTTTAATCTAACAGCGCGTAGGCCACGCACCTGATGCTGTCTGCGACCAGATGATGCGCTACGATCCGAAGTGAGCCACATTTAATAGCGCATATATCAACAAAAAGGTTCAGTTTCATCTTCAAAACGCATTTCTGAACGAGCTGACCGAAGACAGCCTAATCGGAATGCTTTCATATATAGGTCTTATGCATAACCCCTGTGCTAGCAAGAATATGGTTCCTGATGAGATCTGGGAGAATATGCTGCCTGATCTGGAGATCGTTGCGCTGGAAGTAGAGAGAGCACAGCTTAAAGGCGGCTAATACAGGATCAAAGGCACAGAAAACGAGGAGCGGATTCGAGAGCTGACTAGATCAATTGCGATCAAGCAGGCGCAGCGCGATAATGAGATCCGGCGCGAATACCGGGCGCATCATTTTCACAACCGCCCGACCTGGGATGTTGAAAGACAGGCTAACGGGCAAGAGGAGGAGCAGTACTTTGAACCGATAATAAAACTGCATATACCCGAACGTGCTCAGCTCGCTAACATCCTTTGCAACCAGCCCGACAGCCCAAGCTCTAAGAAGCTGTTCGAACTCCGTATCCAGGCGACCGAGCTTATGATCGCTCTATGTGGTAAAAGAGAGACTATAAAGCGAACCCGCATGCGACGGAAAGCTCCGGCTGACATTTTGGTAAAAGAAGAGTCTCCAGGGCCAGACCCCTTCCCGCTTCTAATGCATAGGGCACAATGCCCGCGCTGTATTGGGGACGAAAGGCTGTTCTACGAGGAAAGGATATTCAAATTCTGCTGATCTGCTGTGATGTACGATCATTTCGACAAAAAGCACGCGGGAAAGCTGAGCGGCATGAAACAGATGTCATGCAGCCACCGTAAGTGCCGGGAGCAGGCACTAAAGTTCGAAAACCTAGGCCATTTCAAGAACCATGTGGAGACAACCCACGGCGTTAAGTTACGTCCCTAAGTATATTTATCACTATAGACATGGGTAAATGTACTCTAATATCTCAGATTAGATCTAGAGGTTATAGCCTTAGTCTTAAGCTGCCTTTTGTTAATAAAGCCTGTGCCTACTTAAAGCTTACTCGCTTGCCTGCTTAACGTTTAACATTTTGTACTTAGGAGGGGGGTTAAGGTACTACTATTTAAGGTGGTCCAGTTCTTACGATCTTCTTGCCTAACCCTTCCTTTCTTTCTCCCACTATCTACCCTATTGATTTGGTATGTCTATGTTCTGCTACAATCAAGATTGTCCTTCCCAATCTGCCAGCTTTAAACCTTAAAGCCTTTCCTACTCCTTATATAAGCATATCTTTTCTGCCGTCTTATACGGTTTTTTTTTCTGCCGCCTCTATAAGCGTCTTTTTTCTGCCGTGCTTATGCGATATTTCTTTCTGCCGCTCTTCTACAAGGGTCTTTTTCTGCCGTTATTACATAAGTGTTATGACTCATCCAACATGCAGGTCACGTGTAATAAGCCGCGGTGGAAGGTGCCACTATACTAGATAGATCGAAAAGATCAGCAGATATTCAAACTCGCTGTTCAAATATTCCTTCCAACCGTACATGTAGCTTACGCCTAAACCACGGGTCGTAACATCACGGAACCGCAGAGTTGTTAATCTAAGTATTGTTTCACCACTGGAAGCAATAGCCCTAAAGGCAGTAGGCAGTAAACACTTGCATCGCTATTACGAGACTGTTTCCTATTTAAGGCCGATGCTTGGCACCGCTCTTGCTAGCATAAACCCCCTATGTACTTCAGGATCTACGGATAACTGCAGTGCTCATTACACTTGCCCTTGACAAGAGGATTGGGCATATGGTCGGGTGCATTATCGACGGCAGGGCGGCCATAAAAGAATGGATCGCGGATATAAATATTGTCCTTAATAGCAGCAACCACTAAAATTCTCTTAGCGCAAGGCAGCCATACAATTAAGGACAAGGACATATAGTCCTCCACATTAGGGACGCGAATTCAGTAAAGTTAATTTACCACAAGCTAAGTAAGGGGATGCAGGAGCGCTGCGCACTGCTGCTCGTCATTGCTTATAATAATGTTGGTAACAAAGTGAATAATAAAGGACGATAACAGGTGATTGTACCACGGTTGGCCATAGAGCCACCGCCATGACGCGGTCTACCGTATTATAATGAATAGCATTAAAACTGACCGAAAATGGCTTAAGTAAATAGAATGAGTTTGTATGGAGCTATCCGTAATTTAGCGTGTGTAAGGTGCGTGGTTCCCGATGGTGGGGGTGTGTATTCACGTTGGCAACCCTCTTTACCGATTTGGGACTTCACGATACATAAGGTCAGTAAATCAGTCGAAAGGGTTGTTGATTAACAGGAAAGAAATTTAGCTATCAATGCTATTTGTGGCGAGATCTTTTATACAGAAGGTTCACAGCATTTACTATCGTGAATGCACTAAATCCTTTTGGGAACACCGGCGTTCCGGTAATTCCGTGCCCGTAGGCTCGTACGGATCCACAGGGGCCTATAGTTTCGAAGCCTGGCCATGGCCTAAGGCAGCAACAGTCACACACAACACAAGTGGAGCTGGCGGTGCTGGCCTGCACAGGAGGATTGTTTTCTACAATCTTCAACATTGCCCAGACCTCTTAGGTATTGAAATATACGAAACCGTTCCACTAAATTTGGTATACTACAGCCCTCCGCAAGCTATGGGGAGTATACCAAATTTTTTCGTATATTTAAGTCTTTATCCTAGGGCGCTCATCAATTGCCAGCCACACTTTTTATCTTCATTTGCCAGCCGGGGGGAGTGGAACGGTTAAAGGATCAACGGAGTGAATGCCGTGGGCGGAAGCAGCTAGCCGCTGGAGGGCACGGCAGGAGCGGAAGTGTTCTATGTACTCTTGACCAGCGCAGGTAACGAGTGCACCTTATTACAGTGCACTCTTGACCAGCGCAAGTAATGAGTGCACTTTATTATAGTGCACTCTTGACATGCTTGGGCAACGAGTGCATCTTACAAACTTACCCTAGACTTGAAATTTCAATTTCAATTCAACTTTTTTTTTCCTGCTCTCCAGCAACTAGGATCCACTCTTATGACAGCTAGCCAATCACTATACAGCCAATCACACCCATACAGCCAACCACATCTATACAGCCAACCAATGATGGCGAAGGCTGCAAATAGTACACTCAAACCATGGGTCTTTGTCACCATCGCCAGCGCCACTGGTAGTCAGGCTGTCGCCAGGAGCAAACTGCTGTAAGAGGTATTCTTGCGAAGGAGGAGTGAGATCGGGAATCTCGCCCTGGCAGCGCTGAGCCCAGTGCTAATGCTTATCTCGGATACATCGATCGTGAGCTCGTTGCTCGGCTGGCGTATAATCCTCGATCTGACTACGCTGATGGAATATTCCACTTAGCCGGTTCAAAGTAGAGGGCTGGTTCAGACGGGGGCCAGGTGCGGGAGGAATAGGCTGCGCACCTAGCTGACCTAGAGAAGCAGCCTGCAGAATACCGCGTTCTCAGCCTCGAGAGAGAAGCGTAGGAGATAGATAAGGAGCGGAACTAGGACTAGATACAGGATTAGTTGCAATCAAGATCTCTTCCTGTATAGGACAGAGAGGCCTGAGAAGCAGTCTGGATGCTGGATTGGCTTCTTCTGGAGAGGATAACTCTGCAGCTGCTGCGCTTCTTCTAGTAACAGCAGAAAGAACTCAATGTACAGTATTTGGTGCTTTCTATCAAGATGTTAGAAATCTGTACTCGAGAGATATAAATATGAAGAGAATCAAACCTGGGAAGAGTTCTGCTTGTTACAGCATTTCTGGCAGTTGATAGCTGGATCTCTGCAGCTTTTCTTCTTCTGAAAGCATGCAATCAATTTAATCTTGCTACAGTTACAGCATCGTTGAATAATTCCGGAACTCTTGCAATTGTAAATCGTTTCCTGGTTGCTATTGTAACCAGTAATATCGGATTGATCAGCCTGGTAGAGCTTGAAAGGATCGTGCCCATCTCTATCAGGAGGATGAGAAGGGTTGAGCAGCTGTTAGCTTACAGTAGCTGATATGCTGAGCCTAGATATGATTACAGTATTAGTAGAGATTATTGATAGAGCACTTGTAATGAAAAGCAGTAATGAGTGCATTCAGCTAGAGCACGCTTGTAACGAAGGCTAGTGGTGAGTGCACTATGATTGAGTGCACTTGTAATGCGCGGGAGTAATGGGTGCGCTGAAATAGAGTATACTCTTAACTTAGCTAAGCAACGAGTTCACTGAAACGTACTTTGAATAGACCTCGATAGCGATGATGGTTTGAGGGCTCTGTTGAATGATTTGTAGGTTTGTTTGTTCGTTTATTTGTTTGTTTATTTTGTTGCAAATTTTTCTATTAGATAGAAAGAAAGATGGGTGGATAGATATATAGATGGCAGGCATATAGCTAGCATTTGCTATAGCAGGCTAGCAGGCCTGTTTTCAGTACAGATAAGATTGATAAGAACCTCAATAACTAATAGAAATATCTGAATAGCTTCAAATTATCTATATTCAAATCTTCATCGAAGAGCATTAATTAATTACCAGGGGGAAACCCCCTGGACCCCCTTACCTGCGGCGCGGCCTGCGGCGCTTGCCTCCACCACCTTTTTCAACGATTTCCGTCTATATTAGGAAGGCACGATGCTACACTTTCCTCCTCTTCAAACGCGGAGATCCCTGGAGGTACCTCTTCACGTGACCTTTGACCAATCCCCGTACAGGAATTATTGCAGTGGAACCCAGTTTAGAACACTCCGCCACGGCATCCACTCCGTTGAATTAGGTGAATTACTTTGAGAGACTCTTAAGTGAATTGATCCTTTGGATTGCCGAGCATTTGGAAACGGTTAACAGGTTTTGCTTCTATCTATCTTGTTACCGTGTTTGGGATCTTTATCCGTTGGATTCCAGTATTAATGAGTTGCGGCGTATCTGCGGTCCTGTGCCTGTCGAGCGTCCAAGTTGGTGGGAAACAACCGAATTCGGGACCCATTGGAAAGCCTCAATTTAGTCTGCTCAAAACCAGCTGCTTCAGAGACTTGAGGGGGATGCTAAGGAGCGGCTCCATTACTGTGTCGGCTGCTCGACATTGCATCCTGAATCTAGACCTACGGCCGACTACGAGACAACCTTTTGGAATGCAACATCTGGTTTCGAGAAATTCTGCCGCGAGAGCGACATCGATGTGAGGGAACCGTGGGCTCTTGCTTGTGGTCTATGTGGATCGTCGCCCTGGGAAAAACATCAAATCGAAGTCCAAGACCGTTAGTTCCTCTACGGCAGGAAGGTCGACTTTTACTGCGGCGTCTTCTGGGATGCTAACAACACTGACCCCGAGTTGAGCTTCACCTGGTCGGAAGAGGATACCTCCGATGACACTGAAACGACGAGGGATGACTCCGGTCGCGCTTGGCTATCCCTTCACCGTACAGTACGCGTCTTGATCCCACCTTCCCTATCGGACAGAGTTCAAGCCGGGCCTGCATTGCCCCAGGCTCCGATGCTGTCTAGTGCGTTGGGACAGGTTATTACGCCGCAGCGCGAATTGCACCACAGATTCCCCCCACTCCATCTTTACATGGACATCTGCCCCGTGCTCCAAAAGAATTTGAGCGGCCTCAAAATGGCCCGAGAGGATAGTGACCGCTAGTGGCGTGTCAAGAAAGGTATTTTGAGAGTTGATGTGTACTCTCGCAGATATTCTGAGCAGAAGTGACAGGAGGGGACCACTCTCAGGGCGTACACCCGCTACAGCATGCAAGACCGTCTGTCCGACCCGATCGAGCGGACAAGGGTCGATGCCGTTGTCTAGCAGTTGCGCAACAGTGGCCACCTTACTCTCTGTGGAAAAGCGGGATGATGGTGTCCGAAGAATAAAGAACAAAAGGGGATCGCCGGTCGCATTAGGTATGAAGGTGCTGAAGTTCACTCGCTGGGAGGTCAGCAAGATGTCGACCATGTGCGCACCCTGCAGACAAGCCTCGTACAGAACCCAATGGTGGCTCTGTGTCAGCCCGATCCCCATACGGACAAGGCTGCGTACTTGCTCCACATCGCCGGCTAAAATAGCAGTAGCAAGAGCAGTTGAGTCACACTCTTCAGTCTGCGGGTCAGGCCAAACCGGAGATGCGTCAGGAAGAGACATGATATGGGAAGGGACCGAGGAGGACGTCATGACGAAGATAATGCTACAAGTTGCCTGCCATCAGACAGGTGCAGCAAGGGTTTTTAAGAAGACTTGTGGCTCGACCGGAAACAGTCGGCGGCTTCTCAATTTCAGGTGCGCTGTTCTCGTTTCTGGACGCAGCGGTTCTGCGAGGCGCCACTTTCACAATAGGGTCCTATTTTTAGGCCGTAGACCTCTGAGCATATCGCTAAGGATATATTTAGTACAAGGTCTACTTTGCACAACGCTTTAAGTACTGCCACTGCGATTCAAGAATTCAGGAATAGGTTTGAAGGGGTTCAAGAAGTATTTAATTGCAACTCCACTGTGACCTTACACCCAAAAAATAAGATCAATCTGTCAAAATATGGATTACAGCAACGTGATTCTCCAGGCGAATAGCGTCCCTGCATATTATAATATTGCAGCAGTAGGGGCCCTTTGCAGCGTTCTTTCTGGAGTTCTGGTCTTGCCTGGGACTTTCACCTCGCTTCAGAAATCAGAATCCTTTCTTCAACATATACCGCTTTTGCCAGTATCTGCTATATTCTGTTGTGCAGGACTTGCAGGTGTTGCTTATCTATGAGCCAAATTCTCGAAAAATCCTTACTGGCTACTATCTCGTCTGTTCTTGTAAGGATACCTTTTTAATACTATATGCCCCTTTGCTAATAATTCAGATCTGGAGCCCTAAATTCTTTAAGCGGACTTATTTCTATTCTTGTAAATGTTTACACAGCGAAAAATGGCAGATGGTCGCCCACAGCTTGGGTATCACTTGGCATTGTATTGTTATGTCTGATTTTTATGACAATTATGTCCTGTATCTGTAAGTGGCAGTTATATCTTTTGAAACGGCAGCCTCAGGGAGAGATTCGACGCTGGGTTAGACTTCACGCCTCAACTGAATCAGGCGATTCGGTCCTGGTGGCTTGAGCTCTACTCTAGTGGTCTGGTAATAGATGAGCTCTGAATTCTGGTAGCAGACAAGCTCTGAAGCCTGGTAGTAGATGAAGTCTGTGGTCTGGTACTAGATGAGGTCTGAATCCTGGTAGCAGGTGGGCTCTGAAGCCTGGTGATAGATAAACTCTGTTGTCTGGTAATAGATAAGCTCTGGATTCTGGTAGCAGGTGGGCTCTGAAGCCTGGTAATAGTTAAATTCTGTGGGCTGATAATAGATGAGGCCGGAACCCTGGTAGCAGGTGGGCTCTGAATCCTGATAGCAGATCAGCCCCTTAGTCTGGTAGCAATAAGTCTGATGACAGAAAATATCTCAAGTCGGGTAGCAGATGAGCTCTGGAGTCTGGTAGCAGCTAAATCTGGTAGCAAATGATATCTTAAGTCTGCTAGCAGATGAATCTTAAAGTCTACTAGCAAATGCAATACAAAATCTGATAGTAGATGAAATCCGAAATCTAGTAGTAGGATGAAGCAGGAATCTTGTAGCAGACTACCACAACCCGGATTTCATTTCTCTGAATCAGGTTCCTACAATGCTCCATAGAAACTCTACGCAGGAGACATTTCTACACTCCCTCGCCACATCCAAAGGTGTCTAGCCGTTGTCATTCAACGCAGTGACATAAGCCTGTACTTCTGGCCGGTTTGTAAGCATCATTCTGATCATCTGTGACCCAAGCGTTTCACTGCTGTCTTGGACCAGATCTGTATCCCAAGCCGCAATGTGCAGGGCAGTGTTGCCGGCACTGTCGTGCCCTAAAATATTGATTCCAGCATCAAGCAGAAGCTGGATAAATTCGACTTTACTACCCCGAAAATTCCGATCTGATGCGTACAAAATACGGAGAAAAGGTGAACCTTCAGAGGCATCCATATTGAAAAAGCTGTCTTCAATTGCAATTTCATCGCAGCTAGAGCTGCAGGATCGCCAGGACTCTGGAGATCCAACTAGTGTGACACCGTCTTCCGAAGTGGGCGTAAGTGAAGCCATAATCGCAATGATTGAATTTAGTTAGTATAACGGAGGAGAGGCCGGTGCAGTGTCAGTTTATATTGCTGATTTTGTATGCTTTTCTTACTCCGGGTTCTTGAATCCTGATACGGAATTCACGGAAAGAAGAAAGAAGAAAAAAAGGAAAAAAAAGAGCGCTATAAGATCTTGGTAATCTAAACTTGCGGTGTCTAATTTCGCAGGTCCCCCATGATCTACTAATCATGGCATCGCACTGTTGGATAGATCTTCAGCGGGCGGGGGTCTGCGATGCAGTCTTAGTGGAATACAAAGATGCCTATCAGCACATCAGCACCCATCGTACAGAACTGCTTATTATTTTGTTTATACGAGGCAGGCTTTCTTCTGCACGGCTCCATCGGATAGACTTAAACTGTGTTAATCATCAAACAATTATCGCTGAGTCTACTTTACATTTAGCAGAAGGCACCAGAATAATCGGATGCAGTCCTGCAAAAGGCAATATATCCTTGTATCCTCTACGCAGTGGGTATGCCAAGCATACCGAGGTTGCAAATCGCTTGCATGCCCTTGCGCTTGTTCCAATAAGTACGGCTGTCGTGTTTCAAGAGGAAGAGTTTGGAATTCTTGACAATATTCTGCAACTGCTTGCCACTTGGGTGAAGTTGATCGCGGGCCAAAGGAACAGATACCGACCGCTGATTTGCATATCGCGATCTAGCTGGCCAGCGCCCGAGGATCTCGGTCTTCGAATGACCGTGAAGCTTCGAGCTATCAATGGGAAGCTCGACCCGAGCGCTTCAGAGACAGCTTGGAAGTCATGCTTCACTGGTTTGAAGTCAATATATGGCCCACGAGACTACCAAGGCCTGTGCTATCAGGTCACAGCTGTATCTCGAAGTCTATTAACCCAAAGGGCTCCGCTTACCGGCTCGCAACTTATTCAAGTCCTTCGAGCCGCTTGTCTTCACTTCTCATGCAATGTGGCCGGTATTTTCAATCTAATGCGAGCTGCACGCTCGTTTCCACTGCCTGAACAGTTTCAGGAGCAGGTGCGGAAACTCTTTGACCGGAGCAGCGTTGCCGTACAAATGCCTCGTCTGGTAGCATCAGTACTGCTGAGAGACCAATATCTCGCCGGCATAGGCGGTAAGTTAATAGGCATAGGTAATGCCTAACCGCCGCTGACATGGGGCAGCATTTCCGCATGATAATGTTTTTGAGGAGCTATACCATGATAAGATCGCTTTGGCGAGACCTATTATACAGCGGGTTCGGAACGAATTCACCTCTCTAGCACGCGAAATTGACAACTATAGCATTCACCCACTTTCATTACACAGGAAAGTCCTGGCCGAAGTAGGACATGCAGGAAAGGTTTATAAATCATTATGCCTCTCATGTTTGTCCTAATCTGCACGCTTTACTCTATCATGTGGTCACGAGATTTGCGAGATATGCGTTCAGTGTTACGGCTGCAGCGAAAGCGGCTATGATTTCCAACTGCCCGCCTGCCTCCTGTATGGGAAGGTTAATAACATGCTGCTAAATGTCAAACCTCGATCAGCAGGTATACGCATCTTAACACTAGGGAGAGAGAGGAAAGATAGGATGAAAATTGTAAAGCTTTTAAAGCATATATATAGTAAGCTGCGATGTCCACTGCATAATCTGTTTGGTCTTGTTATTGCCAATGGAATTGGTATTTTCTTTACTATGATGATTTTCTGCAAGCATTAGTGGATGACTGCCTATATCATCTTCGGAGGATTTCATCATGCAAGATAGGCAAAGAGTCTTTCGACTTTGGCCCGCGGACTCAGATTTGGTGTAGATAAGCTGCAAAGCAGTAAGGTACAAGTGGTCACCGATTAGTTAGCTTCTTCCTTCTCCCGCGTAAGGGGTTGCTTTTCTAATTATTAGATTCTATAGTGCAGAGGCCAAAACACAAGGACTATGGCCGGGATGTTCCGTCGACCTCGAGATTAACTCTACCATCAGCCACAATGTACTCGAAATAAGAAGTCAGATCGTGGCTTCACTCTTCTACCTCAAGCTGGTTGAAATGCCGGAAGAAACTGAGCTGCCTAATGTGATCACTCTGGCTGTAAAGTGCCGGCGGCCCAAACTTGACTGCTATCCTAACAAGGATGTGCAGGCGCGGTGTCTGCCTTGGCTTCCGTGGTAACGGCGAGATCGAACGTACTACAGATTTCTATTCGCCGGGTGTTCTAGCCAAGGTGAAGTCGGGTTATGTATTTTCAAGAAAATTTCAAATCTACGTCCAGTCCATAGATAGCGGCTTAAACGTCAGGATCAGAAACACACTAGGCACAGGCTGGAACTTGAGCAACTGCCCTCTCACACTGAGAGACCTTCAAGAAGCAAAACGGATATCGTTCTCAATAGATAATAGCCATCTGGAAATTAGAGTAAGTTATTTGAAACTGCAATCCAGCTGTGCACTTCAAGCTATCTACAACAGAGCCCTGATGTAATTTCTATCCCCTGCGTCGTTGGTTAACGCCGTCGAAGAAGCTCGGCTCTCTGACTGATCGCGCCCCTGATGTCGTCGTTCGTATGGGCGTAAAGTTGAACGTCTCTCTAACACTTAACCAGCCTCCAGACTTTTGCTTTTCAGATGTCGACCTAGGACTTGGTAGCGTAACAGGCCTCGAGAGGATATCCTCGTCAAGAACATCATGTAGGTCACTTGCCGCCTGTCCAGCATGCTCCGGATTTGAAGTACCGAAATCCGTCCTACATCGCTGTAACGTTTTTGCTGCGCAACAGTCATGAAGTCTTCGAGTGTGAAGATTCAGCAAGGGACAATTAGCAATGGTAAGGGGAGGAAATCACTGTGAGACCGGTATAAGTGCAGCTCGCTATCCCGCTCACTGGAGGAACGGAGGTGGGCCAGGAAAGCTAGCGCCCACGGGTATGATGGGTTTACCTTGTTGCTACCAAATGACGCCCTACCCCACATTCAGCCGCCAGGAATGACTGACGAATAATCGACTCGGAATAGAAATGTTCCTTCCGGCTAACTCAGCCGCATAGCTGAGCTGGTGCTTCTCTAAACGCAACCTCCATCAACCGCATCCACCTTAGGAGTTATATCCTCCTCCTATAGCATCTCAACTACAGTCAAAGATCATCACCAGCTGCTTATCTTTTAGTACTTCGCAAAGAAAAGAGCATCTCGAACGTATCCATTAACTCAACTAAGACGGTAAAGAACGCTAGCTAGCTTCCAGCTCTGCACGCTCACTCAGCTGATTACATTATAATACAGAGCGTTGCAACCTCCTGCTAGAACAGACTGTTTTGAAGCCATCTCGCCGCCCAACGCTCTCGGCTCCGTTCCCAACCGCATCAAACCGCTCCTATATGCTGCTCTCATCAACAACTCTGAAAATACGCTTACGGAATCAAGTCTACTGCATTATCGAATCAATCCCCCTTCTTATACTCACAGCCTCTTCTCTCTAGCTTATGCTGTAGCTCTACATACCTACAATAGCGGATCAATTGCTATTAGAGATCAGAAGCTATCCGATTAGGAACAAACTTGATGCTTTTCATGCTTCTTTTGCTTCACTCTGTAAAGACAGAAACATCTCTTGCACCCCAGACGCGCTTGATCAGCTTGTTAAAGAAGGTAAGAGAAAGATGAATGCTTAGCTGAAAGAGTCCTGTCTAAATTCTATACAGATATCCAGAATCTCGCCTTCGATCTCCTGTTTACTATCCGAACCCTCCCAGCTCTCCGTAATCTGCGCTCGAATGCAAACCACAGCTCCCTTAGCTAGGATCTCCTGAGACTCATCTCTGCTGTTCTCTCTAACAACTTCGATCTCGACTGCATCAAACCCCTCCTCAAGACAGCTCTCGATGACCGTTCCGGTGATACACTGATCTGAGACGAATTCCATGCCGCTATCACTGCATTAGCCCCTGCTGCCCCGAAAACCCCTCCTCGAAGCATCCCGACGCCTGTTAGCAGCACGCCGGTGGTCCGCTCCACGTCGTCGTTTCAGGGCAAGGAGCAGACCAAGAAGATACTGAATCAGGCTCTCTTGTACGAGCTCAACGGGACTATCTTTCGAGGCGTAAACAGCTTCTTCGAAAAATACTTCGAAAGCTAGTTATGAACCAAGCAGTGCAGAACTATCTACCAGTCCATCAGCGCAAGACATATCGATGAGCGGTAGACGGACTTTTCCAATCTCCCAATACAGGAGAACGTCTGAGCATAGCTGCTTCAATTCCAGGAGAACTTTCTCGTTAGTATACCATCCACATACCACAGCGCTCCGAGCATCAGCGCTCTGACGGGCAGTAAGGCCTTGCAGCAGCTCGATGTCTTCCTGAAGCCTAGAGGCGTTGATACTTCCAAATACAACTGGAAGGATATACTCGTTCTCAGAGAGCATAAGCAGTCACACCCCAGCCCTAAAACGCTGCTGCTACAGCTCTCTCGCTACATGTACAATCTCTTTATCAGCCAGCTTATCCGTCGGTTTGCTTACAGATTCTTCCTATACGGAACCAAGATGGAGCTCTGGATTTTTGATAGATCAAGCTCTTACAGCTCTAGCGAATTCGATATTCACAAGAAGCTCAATAAGTTTATACTCTTTCTGGCTGGATATGCATTCATAAGCGATAAGAAGCTCAGCCTCAATACTTTTACTAACTGCAGAAGCAGCAAGCGCACTATTACTCTTACAAGCAATATGTATAGCAAGAAGAGGAAACTACAGCTAGATCAGAAGCTATTCATTAAGCAGAGAGCAGTAGTCTGCTAAAGCATAACCTACTTTAGAACAACTAATCACAATAATGTTATGAAGTTCTTCTAAACTTCGAACAAGCAGCTCCCAGAGGCAGATCATCTTAGGCTTGCTTACGAGAAAGGCATTGAGGGCATTGCTCAGTTTGTAGGATATCAGAGAATTACGAGCATTGCTAATCTCCGCAGCAATCTCGTATTTGGTCGCCCATGAACTATTCATAGTGCTGCCAGCGCTGAGCTCACATCATCCCGCTTCCTTACTTCGCAATCGCTCCAGCTGCAGCAGATTAGCCAAGCCGAGCCGAACAAACAGTTCACCAATCAATCTGGATCCCTAACACAAGTACTGCAGCTAGCTCGCCAGAAGAGCCATAACTCAAGAAAGCGAGCGTCTGTTGACAGCCAGAATATAGCTACTGCTAAGAGGCAGAAGTCTAACAGCCACTCCTCAGGGCTCTGCTACGAGCTGAAACCTGATACTCCGAGCAGTCTATACAATCGGAGCTCTAATTCATACAACAACCGCCAGCTCGGCTGCCTCGCTATCTCTCCTGCAGGGCAAGGTCTTAACAGCTTCACAACTATATCTGAACTGCTTACTGCTCTCCGAGACGTTATCAGAGCTCATCGATCTCTGTACTTGACCAGCAAGATTCTATATAAAGATATCTCGAAAAACAATATTATCATTACAGATCCTCGCTATGCTAATGAATTTACCGGAATGCTAATCAATCTTAACTTAGCTAAGCAGATAAGCAGCGGTAGATCAGGTGCATGCTATCAGACTGGCACAATGGAGTTTATGGCTATCGAGGTCCTACGGAACGCTGAATACACCTTCCGACACAATCTGGAGTTCTTCTTCTATGTTCTCCTCTGGGTCTGCGGCTGCCGGGCATGGGAGAGGGGGTTTCTTTGCAACCCAAAGGAAAGGCTGCTCAATAATATTTGGAAAATGTAGTATATGGGTTCTTTTGATGATATTGCATGCAGCAAGTAGGGGCTTATGCATGCTGATGGCTTTGATGAGCTTCTGGCTCAATTTCCGCTATCCCTTGCCTATGTTAAGCTACTATGCAGCGAACTTCGCCGGATTCTATTTCTCATCTCAGCTGAAAGCAAGTTATATATTGGCACGCTGCCAGAATCAGAATCTCTATACGATGCTACTATTAAAGAATTCAACAATGCAATATCTAGCATTGTATCTTATCCGGACTCCTGAAGTGGCGTTCTGAGAGTTATAGATAAGATAGATGAATAGCATTATATCGATATTCCTGATAGCTGAATTGATTTCATCTTTAGATGCTAGATTGAGATATGCAGTACTTAGGGAAGCTTTTGATCTTCGATTGTTATGTTTAGGGCAGCAGTGTTGGGAAATCTCGCCCAATAGATCAAGATAGGAATCGGATCTCTAGATCTTGGAAATCTGATATTGTATGAGTTCGACCGTTACGCAGCTATGTAAGCCACAGCCGTTTCCAGTCAGCTGGGAGTGGTCACTCCTTTTAGCTGTCGCACAGGTTATGCAGCCCTCTTGCTCTTTCTTTCGAGCATTCACGATATTTGAATCGTTCCTCGACCCCTGATTACGGCAAAAACCTCGAATTCGACCTCGAATCGCGCTCAACGCGGTTGAATTCACTCAAAAACAACAGAGAGAACCCTCAAGCTAGTCCTTTCGACCCTCAAGCTCTTCAGGACACCAAGCCGTCCTGATTCCCATAACAAATGAACTCTGATAACGAGAACATCGCAAGCCAGTCCATTAACAAGAACATACAAGCTGTTCCAAGCATTGAGAAGGCGGCTACAGTCCCTCTTCCATCATCACCAAGACTACCAACAATGATGGCATTCAAGATGGACGGAACAAGGGTGATGTTCATCCAGCACAGCGTCCCAGCGCTTTTGGGAGAGCCTGAGAAGTTCCTGAGCTTCAACATCAAAAGGGACAAGGAGAACTTGACGATCTTCCTCTCGCAGGAGGAATATGCCAGAAAGATCGTCACCCTATACAGCTTTGAGTCACACAAGGTCGCGAAGACCCCGTGGCCGGTTAGCTTTGAACTGCCTAAGGCCTGGGAGCCTCTTTATAACCAGACGAAGCTCTATCAAAAGCGTACAGGAGCACTGAATTGGCTATCTACTGGTACGAGGCCTGACATCTCGTTCACGGTGGGAAAGATCGCCAAAGGTAATGCGGGCTCCTCAGCAGCTCATATACACCTTCAAAAGCACCTATTTCGCTACCTCGAGAGGAACCTCGACCTTAGCATCCTCTTCAATGGTTGCATGCTCTTGAACAACATCGTTAACGCTCACGCTGACGCATCTTGGGCTGACGACATCGCCACCAGGTGGTCTACTGCTGGCTACGTTGTTTTCGCAGCAGGAGCGCCTGTTATATGGAGATCAAAGGTACAGACCTTGGTAACATTGTCAACGACAGAAGCAGAATTCGTCAACCTGACCCCAGCTGATCAGGCCCTCGTCTGAGTCTAGTCTTTCATCAGGGAGTTTGGCCTCGACGTCAAGAAGCCTCTACTCCTCTTCACGGATAGCCTGAATGCTAGGCACAACGTTCTGAACAAAAACAACGTAGCTCGTACGCGCCACATAGATATTCGTTTCAAGTGGATTGTCGAGAGGACCAGTCAGGGTGACTTCAACATACAGCACATCGGCACGGGGGATATGGCCGCTGATGGACTGACCAAGGCACTTGAACCTAACAAACACACGAAATTCGTGAAGGCCCTTGGCCTCGTGAGTTGCTCAGTCTACGAGTGACGACAAATAGGTTAGAAAAAGGAATCACGGCGAGGAGGATGAAGGAAAACACCAAGGGAAAAGTCACGAAATACGGGTTGGTGGTGAGGATGGCCTAGCTGTTGGCTGAGGGGGTGTGTGCGAGAGCCAGTGAGTCACTGGCCCAGGGCCGTGCACGGCCTCTCCAGCCAGCCAACAGCCAGACCTGTTTATAGCCCCAGATAGCTGGCCTCGTAGCGTTTCTCTTCCTTTCTCTTTTCTCTTCAGCGCTCAGCAATGCAATCTTTTTGCCCTCGCACATATAGATCATACGTGCATTCCCAGTCTCAGGGAGTGATCACTCCTTTTAGCTGTTTTCGCATACTTTATCTTTCTCCAAGGCTTGAGCTAATTCCATATCTCTCTCCTCATAAGCTTTCTATATCTTTCTGAATAATAAGCGTTATGCTAGCCTAGATATAATATCTTCTGAGTCAAGGGAAAAATTGCTAAACAGAAAGTGTGTTATATGCAAAGCGATGAGGTATTTGTATGATGATATATGTGCGAGTCCAACCGTTAGCTATATAGATCACCACTACTTCCAGTCAGCTGGGAGTGGTCACTCCTTTTAGCTACGACAGATCTTGCATGATAGCACCAGCTTCTGAACGTGTTTGCAGAAATCTTCGTTTGGATTGCAATAAAAGATCTAACTGTCTCCAAGATGAAAGTCGCGGTAGGTCGAAAGCTCGACTAGCTCAGGCTGCGACCCGCTGGTAACAGAAGTCGGTTGAAACTCGTTGATGTAGAACTCGTTGTCTGAACCTTCCGCTATCCGGGAGGACTCGGCCCGGAGCGCCGACAAATTGGTGGATAGCAGCAGCTCTGAAGGCAAGATCGCACGGACTTCTCCCAGCCAATCTTCAAGACGTCTTTTCTTCACACTGTTCTTCGGAGTCGGCCTAGAGCGAGAAGTGGGCGGGGCGTGGTCGGTGCATGGCGGTGTGCAGGCACCCTGTTGTGGTTACGTTAGGAGGCAGTAAGCTAGTGCAAGCGAGATCCAAGCACCTACTCACCTGGTCAGAACAAACTATGACTCTTTTGCTTGACTGGTAATCGATTATGCTTAGCGATAATGGCCGTTGCTTCTTCCTCATGATGGCTGATGGTCTTAAGGATCATGCGTCAGGCGGTATGTGTGTGTGAGTGTTGTCGGCCATGATTGCCGGAAACGAGAATACGGTATCGTCCGGTCTGGCCTGTGCTGTCCATTAGCTGCTTCTACCCCGCAGTGATGTGAACCCTACAAGCTTACCGAGCTTCTTCAGCGGTTATCGTCATGGCATCCATCTCGGCCGTCATAAGCTTGCTTTGTTTGCCCGGCTTCCGTCCCATTCATTTCCACAAACAGAGTCAAGTCAAAGCAGCTCCCCGAACCCAAGTGAGGAACCCGACGGGCCTGAGAAGAGGGATGCTGCTCTTTACAGAGGGGCGGGTTGTTGTCATGGCGGTACGAGCTTCGAAAGAGACAAGCCTTTTTTTTTTTCCAGTGCAAAATGAAATACAAGACCCGATCACAACTTATCCTGAATTCTAACCCCGAAACCCCGATCAGTCAGCTAGTCCATATTCCAGCTGTCTCTGGGAACTGTAGTTGCTTTTCCCTGAAGCAGACTGTCCCTGCTCTGAACCCAACTCTCTCGCCAGATCTCGGGCACTGATGCATTCCGACCTAGAGAGCAGCATCTTGCTAACAAGGTTACGGAGTTTTGCCTCCTTAGTGCTCGCGCATCCGGGCGGTAGCGTCTCGAAAGCGTATCTTTTGATTTCCAGCATCTCGAATCATGCTCTCTGCAAGGCTATTGCTTCGGGTTCGTACAGAATAGCATTACGGATGAACTACCCGGATTGCTGATCGAAAAGAGAAACCTTGCTTATCAGATATAGCATTAAAACATTTAATGAGAATATATTGCTTAATATCATCTCATTTTGATTAGTTAATTGTATAGCAGGTTCCTTATACTATAGTAATCCATCCGTTTGAGTAATGCTTTCGCTTACGAAATAGCTAAGCTCAAAATCGATAAGTATAGCGCTGTTTTGTCTATAATATAAGATATTCAGCGCCTTAATATCATCATGGATAATATTCTTGTTTTATAGATAGCTCAGCGCACTTGCTATATCAGCACAGATAGTATAAGCATTATCGATAGTTCTCTTGAAATAGCTAGCTCTTGATAAGTTTCGTGAGTAATACCATTAGAAGCTGCTCAGATCATGAGCATTCTTTAGCTCCACAAGAAGCACTAGCAAGCAAGCATCAAATACTACAAGGCTAGCAATGTATAGCTGGGGAAAGCGAGGATATAGTTAGAAATATCAAGGAGAATTTGTTATATATAAATGAAAAAAAAAAAAAGAAAGAAAGAAAGAAAAAATAAAAAGAAAGCATACATATTGCAGACCACAATGTATCTTCACTTCCCTCTTCCAGCGATCAATAGCATTTTGCACCGGATTTTCATCACCTGCAGCAGGTTTGTACATCTTCACAATAACAACTCGGAACTGTTATGCGATTCTGCACTAGACAGCCTTGAAGATGAGCCCGTGGCTTCTGGTTACCAACCAGCCATCAAGGCGCCTCATAGAGTACTCGCCTGCAGCTGTAGTGTGATCAACTATGTGCAAGATGCAGCCTAGGGGAATGCTGAGGTTGGCTAGATCGTCAATCTCATGCGCGACGGCTTTCCAGATGAGACTCTTCGCAGCGTTCTCGGGATCGGAATGCAGGTCGGCAATGCTGGCCCTCATGCTGCTGCGCTGGTGGTCCACCGAGAGCCGAGCTGCCTTGGAAGACGACGACACAGCCCGGGCTGTCCTCTTTTTCGTATGCTCCTCGAGAAGGAGATCATAGCGGTACGGTCGGAGCTGGGAGCTACAGGCGGGTGCTGTCGCTCTGGAGGATCCAAGAGCCCGGGTCGAGAGTTTTGTATTTCTTGAGCTCTATGTCGAGCTCTCCCAGCTTGTCTGGCCTTCCTGTCAGGCGGAGGAGCCCCGACGAGTTGTTGATTAGGAGAGCCTGGTCTTTCCACAGAACAAACAGGATGGCAGTTCGGAGATTGCCAACTGCTAGTGCATACTCCATCTCGGTACGAATATGCGTTGCACCCAGCACCTTGTATTACTTAGCTGCTGTCTCGGTAGAGAAACAGGCCTGTTCGGATATCTACTGCTGGCTGCTGATCGCTCACGCCGAGTTATTCAAAAAGAACTCTCAGCCGGGGCAGCATATCTACCTGCGGGTCGATGGATGCTGCCTGAATATACGCAGCGACGATGGCCAGCAGGCTCTGATCGGACTTGTGCAGCAGATAATCACTGTTGTGAATGATGTTCGTGTGGGCTGTGTAAAACTGTTGTAGCTCTAACTCGAGCTCGAGATCCCGGGTTGGGGAAGGAATCTGTTGAAATCATATTGTTCTACGGGGCTGTCGAGATGAGCGATGTGTTGTGCATGGCGGCATTTTCTGCTATACTAGGCATAGACCAGTTCGCTGAGAGCACTGATGATCTTAGGTTGATCAGGCTTTGCTCGGAAGGAGGGAGATCTGTTGGGCTTTCGAGAACCAGACGTATTACAGCAGAATACAGAGCGGGATTGTTTCTAAAGGCGGCGCGGCGCGTAGCTGCTGTGCTCCCTCAGCTCGGCGGTTAATGGGGTGGGGCCGGGAGTCGTGCCTAACATCTTGCTAAGCTGTAAATGATGCTACTCTGAGAAAAATCACGACTGCAGCTGCTATAATCGTACAAAAGAGTACATATTATCTTTGGATTCAAGAGCAGGAATCCCTAATCTCTTTATGTTCTTGCGAGCCCAGCTACGCGGATTTATGCTCTGTGAATCAGCAGGTGGGAACTCGGTTTGAGTGCCAGGCGGTTGCGGGGCCAGGAGCGCTTAACGCGTCAGGGGGCCCGGGAAAATCCACTTGCTTGCTTGCTTGCTTGCTTGCTTGCTTGCTTGCTTGCTCCTATTCAGCTATTATGCTTTGAAAAGCACAACCATTCCAGCATGCTTTCCATTCTATAAACAATATGACAACAGACGTTGCTTTTTCTTGTCCGTCTTCTTCTCAACCTCAAGTCCGTCCTGCCGCCTCTCATAATGCCTCCAAATCCCCACCCATGAACTGCGGACTGGCCCGAACAGTTTCAGCAGTATTACAAAGGCTATTTCTCGGACAACCCCTCCTACAATTAGCCAGCCGAGAAGTTTGGGATAGACAAGCAAGATGTCTTTACCGTCCTCGCACTGCGGTTCAATACGATTACGATAGCGCTGCTTGATACAAGCGCCTTCTGCCGAAACGTAGCCTATCTCAGTACCATCGCGCGAGACTGTAATGAGCTCTTCAGGCTGCTCTCTAAGCAGCGGGATATAAAGCATGAGAAGATTAAGAGATTATTCTTAGTATCAGTGCAATATTTGTTTCAAGAAGCTCTTATTGAGCTGCTGAATATGCAACAATATGCTAACTTATGGAAGATTGTTCATTATGGTTCTTTTGATAGCATAACTAGCTTCTTTGCCAATTTCCTGCCCAAAAACCAGCAGGCGAAGCTGCAATCACCGCTGCAGGCCCAACCCGACCCTCCCCTCCCTCCCGCGCTCCTCGCTATACGAGCCGAGTCGGAAACGCCATCCTTTGTCACAGCGCCCTCGCGCGCCTCGTCCGCTGAGCCTCAGGCGCTCGCACGACCGATGCGAACAGCAATCAAGCTGCCCAGGCGCGCAGCGGCGCATGCGCAGCCCAACCAGGCTGGAAGCCTGTCGAGAACTTCGGGCAGCAGGGTCCAGAAGCGAACCCGGGCTCCGAAGAGCTCGAGGCGCATCCGCTGCCGGCCTCAACAGTCTCCAGCCCTACAGACAGGAGACAACAAGATACAGACGTCGTCATCATCACCACCACCACCAATACCAACAGCAGCTCCACCCCCCGCCTCCGCAGCTACGAGCACACATGGTAAGAAGAGAAAGCGGGACTAGCAAAGAGATGAGGCAGACTGTGGCCCTGCACAGCCGCAGGAGGCCGAGAGCCGGAGGTTCTATCCAGAGAACAAGAGGAGAAAGACACAGGCGGCGGCAAATACAAGCCCTCCCTACTCGGCAGGTGCCACATCGGTGGGTCCGCCAGCGGAGGGCGGCAGCAGCAACAGCGGCAGCGGCAGGGACGATGCAGACCAGGCATATACGCTTCAGGCGGGCGAGAGACGGGCAGGCGAGAGGACAAGGAAGCCAGCCGCCGCGGGGGCAAGAAGAGCACGCGCTAGCTCTGGCAAGACGTCTTCCTTAGGCTGCAGCCCTCAGGTCCTCCCGGCCACAGCAGTTCGCAACAGCCGAGCACCCCGCACGAGGAGGGTGAGCCATTCAGGACAGAAGACAGCGCGTGCGCATGACCATGCGAGACCTGGCAGGGAGAAGTGGTCCCACCCGCCGCTGCCGCCGCCGCCGCCTCCTGGGCCGACCTTGTCTCGGATCACCCGCGCACAGCGCCAGCGTTTATCACAGGGTGGAGATGCACAGCTTGTTCGTCTTGGAGAGGGCGGCAAGGCCGAGGTGCAGCCAGGAACACATATCTCTTCTCGGCCGAGGAGACAAGAGCACAAGAGGCAGCGGATGAGTTGTAATGCTGGCCATCCTGGCATGTAGTTGCGGATACCCCCTCCTTTTCTTTTTCTTTTTCTTTTCCCGGCTTAGCTCGTTGCGGATAGTGATTGGGGAAGACTGCGAACAGAATTCTCTGTATGCAAGGCTCGTATACCGGTTATCCTGACAGGGTCGGATGCAGCCGGCGACGGCCCTCTGCGCAAGATCGTCACGCTGGGGGGGAGGGGGGGGGGAAGAAGGCAAGAAATCCTGTAACAAGATTGTATACTGGTCATCTTAACAGGATCGGGTGCAGCCAGCGACAATCTTTGTCTCCGGGGCAAAAGTTGTCTACGAGGGCGAGCACGTGCTAGTTATCCTGACAGGATTGGGTGCAGCTGATGGTGACTCCTTGTCTTATTCTTGCTCAACCCAACCCCCCCCCCCCCCAATCCCCCTACCGGCATGAAATGATCGGAGGGTTGATCCTCGTATAGAGACGGCGCATATCATTAGTCCGCATGGGCGAGGGTACGAGGGGAGGAGGGGCTATCTGCACACTATGACCGGGACGCACTTGTGTCTAACATTCTGTGTTGCCTGCTGTGTAGTCTGAGGAGGCCACCAAGGCGTGAATTGACCTCAATCTCTCTCCGTGCATGCATGATCTAATGCTAGGATACGCCTTTCTTTGCTTCTAACGAAAAGGGCACGAGTTTCCCAGCCCTACCCCCAGGCCAACAACTATCTTATTTCTAGAAAAGGAAAGACTGAGTTGAGTGACGCTACAGAAGGAAGAAAGGAAGGAAAGGAGGAAAGCTCCCCTGTTGACGGTGACAATATGGAAAAGGAACTGTATTGTGGTGTGCGCTACTGAAGGAAGAAAGAGAACAGAGTGAACGAACAGCCAGAAAGGCTGAGGCTGTCTAGGGTGCTGGCTGGCAACAGAGGCCTGCACGGACCAGGGCCAGTGACTCATTGGCCTCCTTCACACAATCTTGCATATTTAGAGGGGTTTTCTGAAAATAATTGGTTGTATTATTCATTTATTCATCAGTCGAGGAGGAGTGGTAGAGTTTCGACAATTCGGGAACTCGGTTGTGGCGGCCAGCATAGCCCTTCCGGCGCCCGGGGGAAATTCTCAGGATGGCCCCGCCCGCCGCCACATTGGCAGCGAGCTGCGACCGCAAGGCGGCCGATCCGCCCGACGAGCGGCCTCTGCGTCGATCGGCACGCAAATCTACAACCTTCTGCAAAGCTTCTGTAGGACGGTGTACGCAGGCAAGGAGACGAGGTTGTTGCGGACGCCGGCGAAATCCACGTCGCCGATCCCGATGACTCAGCGTTCCGCGTAAGTCAAGGGGATTCAAGTGGCTTAGCAAGCGAAGTTGACGGTTTCGAGGTACCGTTCAAACTAAATAAGCGACGTTTTTGAGCAAGCGACTTGCAAGTGAACAAGTAAGTTGTCGTCCTCCTGCTGTGGGTCCTCATAGGGTCTGTTTGAAGCCATCGTGACCCACTTTGTATGTAACCTCACCAATATTTCTGGTGGTTTAGCCTAAGCCTCGGCCTTTTCGGCCTGAACTTCGGCCCTGTATTTCTGTATTTGGCTATTCCCCCGGCGGCACGCAGGCCTTTCTGTTAAAGCCCTAGCATTCTCGTGTTCGCGTGCGGCTTCCTCGCGTCTGGCATCCTCATTACTCTTGCATTCCTCTGTTGCTTTTCGTTCCATACTATGGCTGATGGCAATGCGTTCCGGCAGCTCAACTCCTTTTCGAGATACAACTCTATTCAGAAGCAGATCGAAGCCTACGATGCCACAGCACAGTTCTCTCTCGGTAGTCTCAAAAACCTCCCACGTAGCAAGCTTCCTGGACGACCCCATCGCTTCGTTCCGGGCTCAGTAGGTGCCAATACCATCAGCTGAAAGAAATCGTAATGTGTCTGATATCTGGCATTCCGGCGAAAAGCTTCTCGAGGTCATTGTCAAGCCTGATGGCGATCGTTCTCTTAGTTATCCATTCGACCCCCCCCCCCCCCTTGTCGCTACTTACCCAGCATTTCAATATCGAAAGTCGGACAAAGAGAGACGGGCTTATAGCTCATGGGGGGTACAAAAAAGTTCGGGGGGGGTACAAAAAGCTCGGGGGGGGTACAGAAACTCGGGGGGGGTACAAAAAGTTCATGGGGGATACAGCATCTAATATAGAAAAGATCTGCATTGTTTATTTACTTGGTAATATCGGAGATTAGAGCGGAATTATCGGAATGCGAAAGAGATCTCTGAGTGCAGCATTTATGCTTAATATATGCTGAGCATCAGTGGATATTGTATTCCACATATTCAAAATTGCATTAGAGATTGCTAATTTCAGAGTGTTTCTATATTAAAACTCAGCATAGTTTCAGCATATGCTCAAACTATAAAAGCTATTATCTCAGTTAACTTAGTATTTTCTACTTATTATTATATACTAAATATATACTCTGCTTATACAATACTTCAGCTCAATTTCAGCTTATTATATATTCCTATTCTTTTATATAATATCTTCTTATACTACTAAGAGTTTTTCTATTGAAATCTTATCTCAATTATCGCAGTTATTACAATCGAATAATTCTGTTTCAGATTCTAATATGAGAGATGTAGTTAGCTTATGCTTAGCATATATTAATCAGATGCTTGGAGCAGATTGTGCTGAAAAAGTCTCTTAATAGCTTAGCTAGATAAATTATTAATAAAGAAACTAATAAATCATATACTAACTAAAGCTTAGAGAGAAAAATATCTTATGAAAAATAATGAGATTTATGATATTCGAGATATTCCTTTTGATATATTGCAGAATTTTAGCATGAGCAAGATTAGCATCTTATTAAATGCTGCTTAATATATGCTGAGCATATGCTAACTATATATACAGAAGGAGATAAAGCATTTCAGCATTGCTATCAGCTCAAATGATTTACAAACAATATTAGCATTCGAAGTTCAAAATCATTCTATTTTGCTTAATTATTCTGCTACTAATAAAAAGAGGATTTTGTATATTATATATCTTTCAAAATCTCTTATATTTTGTTATAACCCATTCAACATGCAGGTCACGAAACAGGCCCTGCCGACAAGGGACCAGGTGTCACGACCCAACATCGGACAACCACCAGGGATT